AAGCTACGGATCCGCGTCATGTGTGCAGCTGCGATTGAGGCGCAGCTCGACCTTGCAATATGGAATCCGCGGGTGTTGACGACTAAAGCTGAAGACTAACGCATTATGCGGCGGCCTGGCAGCCAAGTTGATAATCCGGACTCTCGGTTGTAGGTGGACCTCGCAGTACCTATAGTTACGACCCAGCCTTTTCGTATAGCCGTTGGACACGAAGTCCGCCAGCCTGCAGGGGTGGTCAACATCTCACCCCAAGGACACCAAGCCGGGCTGGGCAAAAATTCACAACGTGGAGAGGAAGAGGCGGTGGAACGGGCATGATCCTCGCTGTCCTCAGGCGTCCAATTCAATCGTTTGTATGTCTTGGCCCTGAGGGTCCCTCGTCGAGATGCGGTTCGGGACTCATGGCATCTGAGGACAGATATCAGATGAAAGACGCTGTCTGGATGTGTTTGAGGCGTTGTGCCATAATGTCCATGAGTCGCATCGCAGTCCCGCTCCCGCGAGAAAGACAACCCTTTGACCGAGAAATGTCGTTCGGGCTCGGGAAGGGATATCATGATTGACTGCCTGCTTGAATGATGCAAAGGCAGTCAAGTTTCAGACTGGACCACTGTCTAACTTCCCCGACGCACGCCTCTCATGCGGCCACATCCCGCTCAGCAATACCACTGACCAGTGGGCAAGAGAGCCATGAATACGGCCAAGGTGGGAGTTTTGGGGTAGCATCGAGGTAAAGCCAGAGAAACAAAGCGGCGGAATGGGAATGACGAAAGCCCGTCCTGGTTGTGACCTCGCTGATATGCATGTCCGACGTACCAAACAAGCTTGTACCAAAGTTGCGGATACCGTGCTGCGTGGACCATGATAGCCGAAGCTGTGCGGTTGTCTCCAGGCTTCAGCATCTTTGCCCGGGTGTCGATCCTGGTTAGGCGCAGTGGCAGTGGTGGCTGATCGGGTCTTGTCGTCCGTCTGCAAGCCTGTAAGACTGCAAGCCTTAGTCGGCTAAGGTTTTGTTGGATGGAACCTCATAGCTGTGCTGGGGTTGGGCGGGTTGGACGGGCTGGACGGGCTGGAAGGGTGGGATGGGCGATGAGGGGCGAAACGCGTAATGGCGCGGGCTTGAGGAATTCCCCTCCACTTGTGCACACCTCTTGTTGCCAATGGTTGATAGTCCGTTAGTTGACCAATGCTTGTCTTGCGTCTGAATGGTACACGCGCGCTGTTTGGAGTCTCGGAGCAACACACGTCAAGCTCGAGTTCCAGGCCAGGAACGTGTTTGGGGGAGGTTGCATGAGGTGGGCGCGAGACGGCAAAAGCGGCGAAGTCGGGAAGAGAGGTGGGCAACAGTTGGGAACTTGGGATGGAATGCAAGGCCAGGCCTTTGATTTCCTTTGCATCGCTTCAAGGCCACCTAAGGTAACTTGCAGTTGCGCCAGTCGGACTGCTGTGTCCTCAGAAAGGCCGGCACGGCGGGGGAGGGAGACTTGTTTGTTGACAAAGTTGGAGCATTGCATCCGAGCAGTACCGGCCATCTTCTGATTCCATACCTAGATCCTGGCCCCTGGAGAAGAAAGGTCAGAAAGTTCTGATCTCGCTGCCCGCGGTCACCTGTCATTCGATGGAGAGCCCGGCATTTGGGATCAGGGTGCGAACGAGCTTCAGAGGCAGGCAGGGCTGTATCCGTTCAAAGTATCCGTACAGCTCTATCCCATGTTGTGAGAGGACCTATGGAGCGTCGAGCGTCGTACGTTGTGAAAAGGCCGCATCCCTTGATAAGCATTCCCTGTGTACATATCCGTACCTAGGTATCCATATGAGGCCACGCCAGAAACAGAAACGGGGGAAAGAAAGGTCCCCAAAGTCTGTTTTCTTCTTCTTCCCTCATTCCCTTGCCGCGAAGCAGCTGTGGGACCCAACGGCGCCGACCTTCTCTAAAGCTGTGCAAGGTAGGTATACGGAACTTCGTAAGGCAGGTAGGTACCACCGGAGCTTCACATTGTTGCCATGCCATGTCGTGACAGGCCAGACCAGGACAGGCCACACCTTTACGTTTTAGTCGTTGAGATCATCATTAACTTGTCACTGCACACCACTTCGTTCAGCTGGTCTCCCCCTCCAGTCACACACGCTCGCACTCACACACTTTGGGGCCGTCTTCTCGTTCGTTGGTCCGTTTGAGCTGGAGGCTCGTATAGATACCCAAGGCCTCCCACCGCACTCTTGTCGCAAGTCCATTGACTGTCTACACGTCTTCGGCCTTCTTGCACCACCACAAGTCTCGCCCAACTCACGCCCACTTGACGGCGTTTTAGTTCGCCTCGTTGTCTTGATCCTTGATACCTGCAGGCTATCAGTGAATCACCTTTTTAATATTCGCCGCCCAGACCACGCGAACTGGCATCAAATTCGTCGCCATATCACTGGCCCCTCAACCTTTTTTTTTGTTGCTAATCATACTTGTCGAATCGACCCGGCCTTGGACACTATCGACGCCCTTCCAATCTCCGGAACACCGTCTATTACAAGGCAATTTGATAGACCTCGTTATTCGGAGCGATCCGACCAGCGACCCGTCGACGTCCGGGGTTATCAAAATAGCAGGGGTCATTGAAGGGAAACCAGGTACGCACAGAGGCATGAATTTCTTTTGGGCCACGTCCATCATCTGCAAGCTGCGGTCGGCTGCGGCGCCAGGACGTGCCACGATACATGGTGCTGCGACGTGGGATGAAGAAGACACTGACCCATCGTCCATGTTGATGCAACACAGATTGGCTGACATTGGGACAGCGAGCAGAACGCAGAACGCAGAACGCACGACGCAGAACGAAATTCTGAACAGAAACCTTGCCTATCGACCGGACAAATTGGCCCAGGAAGCAGAGGAGCGGAGACGCACCCCCCATTCGACAATCTGTCGATCCAATTCATTGCATTCCAGGACGCATTGGGCCAAGGGCCGAAAGGGAAGGACCGAGAGACAGGAAAAAAAAGAAGCACATTAAAGGAAAGGGGGAAAAGGACACCACTGTGTCCCGCCGTACCTTGAGCTACCACGCGAAGGCGCTTTGAAACACGTGAGGATTACCGCCGCTTGACGTAAGCCACCGCCAGACTGTCTCTAGACGGACAAATCGACCACGACAGGGGCGAAATTGGCCATTCGGGGACGACAGCATTTTGCATTGCTCTGCACCGCCATTAGCATTGCCCATCCAGTTCCACGCACATCAAGCGAACGATCGACGGCCTCCACCGTCCACGTCCAAGCCCTTCCGGGCCCACCGCCAGCCGCCTGCAAACGCGCCAGCTAATTACGTCGCATTCGATCATCGATCAACAGGCAATATCAAACAGGATACCCATTTTACTCGGCCTTCGTTACGAAACGCTCGAGGCAGAACGTCAGAAGCTGCTGCTTGACTGACCTTGAAGGGCTTTCCCGAACAAAGTCAAACCGGAAAACAGGGCATCGGTACGTAACTGTGAACCCAAGGCACTTTACAAAGCACCGACCTGCCTTATCTAAGGTACGGATACCCTGCCAGCTTGCCTTGCACCCTGCTGCAACTGCCGGTGACACGTAAAAAGAAGGAAAGAGCGACAGAACTGACAAGACGGCAAGAATCACAACCAACACCCAACATCACCAGAAATCCTCGAGTCGAAGCACACATCGACTCTCTAGTTGTGGGCAGAAAATAGCCGCAGCAAGAAGCAGGAGAGAAAAGCCGACGGAAAAGAAACGGGCAAGCCGCAAATCACATCACCAAGACATTCATCAACAATCAGGAGGCGCTTGCCGTCTGGGCAGACCCGGTTTACAGCACCAGGACCGACTTGCTTGCCCCAGCGTCCCTGAGCGTCCCAGCCCCCCAGTCACCACTTTTCCCCTTACGTCGCCGGACCTGACTCCAGTGTCCGACCACCCCATCGAAAAAAGACGTGGCGCTTAACCCGTTGCGGCCACCCTCCTCCCCTGCAACGCCTCCAATTCAAATCGCCCTAGCGCATTTCCAGCAAACATCCTGGCGTCGCTCGCCCGAAGTTGCCCCCCGTCAGAATCCATCCGAGAGTTGAGAGAGAGAGAGAAAGAGAGAGAGACGCAGCGAGAGACTCAGACTTCCTCCCGTCTTCCTCCCCCCCCTTCTCTGGCTTCTGTTGCAGCTTGCAGCATCCCCGGGTCGAACATCGGCCAAAAAACAAGGTACGTACCAGCTAGTCCGTGAGCACCTCTGCACCAACTCCTGCACCTGCAACTGTTCCCGTTCCCGTTCCCTCTGCCGGGGCTGTCGTTGTCATTTGTATTTTTGAGGGGTCCCATCGGATCACTGTCGTCGGGTTGCCTGGCCGTTCCTTCCTGCTTGCTACCGCAAGCACACCGCAGCCCAGCTTCATAGGCTGGAAGCTATTGCCGTTGCCGTTCGTACAAAGTGCCTTCCAGGATGTCGACTCAACCTCCTCCCCAACCACTTTCGAGACACCGGGTTCCCTGCTTTTTCTGCCTCCCTGCGACAACGTCTGAGAAGAAAAAAACATTTCTCAAGCACTTCATCTTGCTCTCGACGTCGTCGTTCTCCCACACCCCAAGAGCTGCTTCTCACACAAACACGCATCGTCGACGAGTGGAACACTGGAAACCGCTCGGCCCACGGATACACTGTTCTCTGCTAGTTTCTGCATCCACTTTCAATCCCAGCCGTCGGCAGAAACACCACACTCACGCACACCCCAAACCCCCTACCCTTTCACAATTCTGCCCCTTCTGACGCTCCACCACGCTCCATTATCTCACGCTCCCCCCTGGAAAACGCAACCTTGGCCGCCTCGCTAGCAAGCTCTGATAACCGCTCGCCCACTCTTCCCCTTGCTAACCCGCGATAAGGCACGCAATAGCTCCATCCATCGACCTTGTGCGCCGAGACCAGGTCCGCGCCCACTGAACCCGCCTGCTTGCGAGACAGATCAATTAAAAGTAGCACCCTCCCCAGTCGCCCATCATGGCCGAACACCATCCGCTTCCCGCGCTGCCTCCCCAGCACCAGCAACCGAATCAACACTATCGGCAACAAGGCCCCGTCTCCTACAACGACAACCAGGCCCAGTTCCCGCCTCATCAGCAGCAGTACGACCAAGTTCAGCCCGTCCAACCGCCTCCCAACGTCCAGGCCCAGGCCCCGGCCCAGGTGCAGTCCCAGAATCAACCTCCTCAAAGACACTCCAAGTCCCGGTCGAGGACTTTCAGCTTCCAGTCCAACAAATCCCACAAGAGCTCCGGGAGTCACCACAAGATCGATCTCCACGAGACACCCGAAGAGAAGGAAGCAAAGAGACTACACAGCAAAGCCGATCCAACCGTCGCCATGAGTGAGGCCGAACCTGGTATGCCACAGCTCCTCCGCGATATCTCTCTACCGCACAACGTCTAACAGCTTCCAAAGCCGCCGTTCAGGCAATGACCAAGACTTCCTTGGCTCCATTGCGCGCCATCCAGCACAAAGATACGACCGGTGCTCCAATTGGTAAGCTCCAGCTCCTAAGTACTCAATCTAGTCGATTTCTCTAATGATGTTCCCAGCTGAACCCGACCGATCCAACCCCACGCGTAGCCGGTGGGAACGACCTCTTGACACCATTCGCAGTTTTGAGGCTGCCATTGATGGAGGCTATCGTGACCGGGACCGGCGACAGTCTTACATTCGCTCGGATACAGAGTCAGTCGCAACATGGAACAGACGCAGCAGCTACTATGCTAGTAAGTTTATCTGCCCACCAACTGACTCAGCAGCGTGTCTAACCCAAGAAATAGCCAGTGGAGGTCGCCAACCCCAAGACAGCTATTACAGTGGTCGCCCGGGCTCGTTCCGCCCGGAGGGCAGCCAGATCGAGATGGGGTCCAACCGACAGAGTTACTATGATCAGCACCAGAATGGTGGGGGATATTACAATGGTGGCAACAACATTCCCTACCGACAAAGAGTCCCTAGGACGCAAACTGATCCGCACATGAATGGCTACGCACGCGGCGATCAAAACGTTTATCCCCTGCCCAACAAGGATCGATCATATGAGACTGTTACGTCGGCAGCCGCAAGTGGAAGCTCAGCAGAGCATGCAGGCTACCATACCGACCCGACTAGTAGCGACAACAGCTCCATTGAGCGTGGCGGTCCGGCCCACAGGCCTGAACCCGCCAACGACTACGGCATTGGCTTCAACCAGGACCAAGGATATCAGGCCCCTGCTGTGAAATTCGACAACGGCGCGCCAAATGGAAAGGGACATGCTTATCAAGCGGTGAACAACGGAGCTCAGGTACCCCAGCAGAGCGCCAACGTGCTTCGGAGACCAGTGGGCACCTCGCCACCGCAACAGCAGCCACAGGCGCAGCCTAGACCTGCTGAGCCGGTGAAGAGAAAGAGCTGGTTTTCTAAGCGTTTCAGCAAATCGCCTTGAAGAAGACAAGGCATGAGATATGAGCTGGTTTTCGTTTAACTTTGTCGATACCCCGTTTTTTTTTTCTTTTTAGATTTTGGATGGGTATCCTCGGGCAGAGATCGGCTTATACCTGATATGTAGCTGGTCTGGAGTTGCTGGAGTACCATTTCCCCCTGATGAAATGGCTTTTCGTAATTGGAGGGTTGATGACTTAACAGTATAGCCTGGAAGGTATGGCTATCTAATTTCTGATTAAAAAGAACACAGGAATAATATATTGTTGGATTGAGGCATATGCACAGGATCCGGACGGCCACGGTAATGACAGGCAGGGGTGACAGTCATGGAGGCTTGATGCTGGTCGGCTACGAGAGAGTCCCTGGTTCATTCACGATGCCCAGCGATGACTTGAGGGTTGAGGCATAGGGAATTTTGATAGGGCTCCCTTAAAATACTGCCGTAGACTTACAAACAAGCACGGTCTTAGAAGAGGACCAAATCAAAGAGATGAGATCTCCCGAACAGAGATGAATTTCCCGCCACCAGTGTATCGCATTTAGCGAGATGGACAAGCGACACGACTCTCATTCCAAAGGCAAATATGAGTGCATTCCAAGTTGTCTTCGCAAACGACAAGGATCCGATTGACCGTCTATCCCAACCTTTAGCGGTCTTTTTTCCCTTCCTTCTTCGCTTCCAACTGGTCGCTCTGATCTTCTTTCATGGCAACAATAACATAACTGATCAATACCACGTTGGCCATGACAGCAGCAAGAGCTCCAGCAAATGTCGAGTTCCCTGTTGACTAGATTAGCGGGGCGTGTCCAGATCCAGTTGAAAATTTAATCAGACACAGCGGCGGGATAACCGCGGCTTACCCTTGAAAAGAAAGTCAACTGTGGCAAAGTAGGTGCCAATGGGCAAGACAATCATGGCCAAAGTAAATCCGAGAAGCTTCAAGATGACATCCATTGGTACGGCGGGAGTGATGTTGGACTTTTCGCTGGCAGCTGGACTCGCACCAACCACATCGTCCTTCTCGAGGATGGTCTTCTCGGAGGCGACGATGCGTCGCGTCGCCATAGTGTATCTTTGGCAAGTCGTAAGCGCAATGCCCGGTATAACCTTGGCTCTAGAGCAAGAGACTTACATGTTGCTGTATATAACGACGTTAAAATAAGGCTTGCGGTGTCAATAGAGAGGTTGCGGAAGACTCGGAATTGATGGAAGTTGGTTGGGGCTTATGAGTCGATGGTCCCGCTCATTGAGCCTGCTGCCGAGCTCTCGTCAAAAACGAGATGTGAAGTCAAAAGCCAGCGCTAACAGTTCGAGGCGGCCGGTCCCCGCACGGTGTTTTAATTGATGACGCCAACCACGTGCGGACGCGCTATGGGGATTCGTCTAAGCGCGTTTCTTTCGATTCCCGTGTCAACGGACATGGGGGGGCGTTGCGATCTGCCCCAGAAAAATCCCACTCCAACGCCGCCGTCGGTTCAAAATCTCAACCGCTCCTGTCAGTCTGCCAGGAGCGCCCACATCTTGGAAGGCGGTACGTTTGATTGCCCAATCTTTTGCTCCTTCCCCTTGCGATTTCTCCTGATCGTGCCTCAATCATCTTGCACAGGCCTCAATAATTGACATCTTTGTACAAGCAAAGCCCTCGAGTCCTTTTCTTCTTTGAACAAACCTCTCCCCGTCTTTGTACCTCGCTTATTCTTCGCCTCCTCACATCAGCTTGTCAATCTCCTCCTTACTTCCAACAAGCAACAAAACCTCTACGAACCATGGTGATCAACTATACCTTGAGCTCCTCACCGCCGCCGGTGGGCAGCTCGGCAATGGGCACGTCGCCGATCAGAGGCATTCGTCGCGGTAACGACGTCGACGAGCTCGCTGACGAGACGATCCCCGAGTCCCCGTACCAGACACAAGCCACGCAGATTGTCAACCGAACCTCACTTACGTCCCAAGCTAAGCCGCAAGCCGACCTTTCCTCCTCCCCCTCTTCGCGTTCGGTCATTGAGGTTCCCGCATCTTCGCCGTTCCAGAATAAATCATCCTACTTCTCACGCCTGGTGCCCCCTGGCTCACGGTTCCAGCCGCCTCCCGCGTCACAAGCGCCTTCCAACCCGCGGAAGAGACCATCGGCGGAGCCTGTACTCATACAAGGCTCGTCCGACGAAGAAGATGACCGAAATTTACGAGGCAAAATCAGCCAGACGTCTTTTAAGAAACATGTTGCAAACTTCGAGTATGTTCCGGTGGACAAGCTGCAAAAGAAGATCGAAGAGGTTTCCGAAGCGCTTAACGGCACGATACCGGTTCAATACTACAAGGAAGCTTTAACCGCATGCCACAATAATGTTGAGGACGCGATCAACTACTTGTTGGACGGTCGGCACCTGAAGACCAAGGTCAACAGTTTCGTAAGCTCTACGAAGCCGGACATCGCCCTTAGCGACGAAAGAAGAAAGAGCCTGGAGCGCAAATCAAGCAGGCTCGGCTCACCTAGCAAGCCAAGGCTACTCGGACGACATGCACTGAGCCTACCTACGCCTTCTCGAAGCACCACTCCCTCACCGCCAAAGCCCAAGCGCCGGCGCTTGATGCAAGGTCGTCGCCCCGATAGATCTCCAGTTGCGTCGCAGCAGCCTCACGAAGACGAACCGTCGCTAGACGAGCTCGCCGCCGACAAGGTGGACGAACCCATCATCATCCCTGATGACAACGAAGACGAGGATTTTGATAATGAGGATGAATTGAACGAGGCGGTGAAGGACAGTCTACAGGACAAGGCTCTCCAAGCCATCAACACCAGCTCGATCGAGGATTTGTCGGCCATGACGAACATCAAACTGGACGAACTCAAGATCATTGAGACCAAGAGGCCCTTCGACACCATCAGTGAGGTACAAGCCGTTACCGTGGCCAAGAAAGTAGGCGCCCGCAGCCGGCGGCCCAAGGTTCCGATTGGAGAGACTCTGGTCGAATCAATCATGGAGTTTACTCGCAGCGTCAATGCCATTGATGAGGTTGTGGCTGAGTGTGAGAAGAAGGCGAATAAAGTCAAGCAGGAAATCAGCCGGTGGGATCTCGACGTCAAGGGACAGAAACGGAGCACACAGAGCTCCTCCGCTAACAGCGACCTCCCCATGACGCCGACAAGCTTCCACAGCCAGAAGCTCTCAGAGCCGCCAATCTCTTGCCAGCCAAAGTTCATGGACGGGCACTGCACGATGCGCCCCTTCCAGTTGTTCGGTCTCAACTGGATGTCCCTACTGTACAACAGTGGCTACGGATGCATTCTGGCCGATGAGATGGGTCTGGGCAAAACATGCCAGGTCATTTCTCTCATCTGTCACCTCGTCGAAAACTACGAGCAAACCGGAAAGGGCGAAAGACCGTGGCCCAATCTCGTCGTTGTACCGCCGTCGACATTCTCGAACTGGATGGGAGAGTTCCAGCGTTTTGCGCCTGGCCTCTCGATTCTTGCGTATCAAGGTCCGCAAGCCGAACGTAGAGAGATAGCATATGAAATGCTCGAAAATCCGGCGGACTACCACGTCGTGTTGACCACCTATACCCAAGTCGGCTCTGAGGAGGATTTGGAGGCTCTCCGGGAGCTGCAGCCCGCCGCCGCCATCTTTGATGAGGGACACAAGATGAAGAACCCCAAGACGAAGATCTACAAAGATTTGATCAGGATCAAGGCCGGCTGGAGAATGCTGCTCACCGGCACACCCGTTCAGAACAACTTGATGGAAATGCTGGCGTTGTTGAACTTCATCGACCCACTCCAGTTCAACGGCCGAATGGACCAGCTACAGTACATGTTCAGTCAGAAGGTTACCATTCGCGACGTCAACAATGGTGCTTTCCTCTATGGCGAACGTGTCAGCCGAGCCAGAACGATCCTGGAGCCGTTCATCTTGCAACGTCGCAAGCAGCAGGTGCTCTCCGACATGCCGGCCAAGATTTGCAACGTCGCATACTGCGATTTGGCGCCAGGAGTGCAGAAGGAACTGTACGAAGACTACGAACGTCTCTTCAAGGCAGGGCCGGTCAAGAAGACGATCACCGGTCGGCAGAGCGACCAGAACAACAGCTGGATGCAGCTTCGGAAGGCAGCCCTCCACCCACAACTATTCCGTCGTTATTTCGACAACAAGAAGGTTGAGAAGATGGCGGAAATCCTGATGCAGGAGGTTCCGCAATCCGAGCTGCAGCAGCCGCGAATCGACCATTTGATTGGAGAGTTGCAAAACTCTTCCGATTTCGAGCTGCACCTCTGGTGCCGCGATTACGCTTGTATCAGGCACCTCGACGTCCCCGAGGGATCTTGGATGGAGAGCGGCAAGGTCGTCAAGCTACTGGAGCTCATCCATCAGTACCGCGGCAACGGCGACCGCGTCCTCGTGTTCAGCAAATTCGCCAAGGTCATTGAAATTCTGCGGGAGGTCCTCCACACCGACGGCATCAAGCACTGTGTCCTGTACGGTCAGACCAATGTCGCGGAACGCCAGGATCTGATTGACGAGTTCAACAACGATACGGACATTACAGCCTTTTTGCTGACGACGGGCGCCGGTGGTACGGGCATTAACCTAACATCGGCCAACAAGATCATCATCTTTGACCAGTCCGACAACCCGCAGGACGATATCCAGGCCGAGAACCGAGCCCACCGCCTCGGTCAGACAAGGGATGTAGAGGTGATTCGCTTGTTGACGTCTCATACCATCGAGGAGCTCATCTACAAAGCCTGTCAGAAGAAAATCGAGCTCGCTGAGAAGGTCACCGGCGCAGTGGAGGATGTGGAAGACAAGAATGCCGAGGAGAACTTGGAGAAGGAGGTCCGGAAGATGATGGTGGACCAATTGACGCCTTCATGATTCGAGGTCTTTTCTCGAGACAAGAGATTAGTTTCGATTCGACACACTTTTGCATTGAAGTCCTAGCGATGGGCGGCGTTTACGGCAAACTTTCCGCTAAGCATTGTCTAGAGTTGTACGACACGATACCACAGCATTGAGAGCGAGAAGGGGAATCCGATTTTTGTTTTCATTGTGCCAGAGAAATTTGAGGCACCGCGAGGAGTGCCAGGTTAATAGCGCACCTAGTTGATCTTATCAGAGAGCCGACATGCGGTTCTCACAGGCTTCAGGATATTGGTCTTGAAAGGGGAACTGCGAACAAAGAATAAAAGAGATAGACTTATTCGGTCTAGATGATAGACGAGGATCGGGACCTTTCAGGGCAACCTCGACCGAGTGAACTACATGACTTTCACAGAATGTCTCCGATCCCTTCCCTGTGACCTTAAGTTTCTTGGCCTGTATACAAAGAGATATTACAGGGCTGTTCCATCAGCCAGTCAACCAAGTTTTGGAGATACGCAGCATCATGTCATGACGGCAGTGAGATGGACAAGTAGGATTATAATACCCCTCGAGTTGGCGTCGCAGCATCTAAAACTACTCAACAAAGCCAAACCCATTCCGGATCTTCGCAGACTGTAAAAGTATTCCATGCGTGTTTGTCAATGCGCGGCTCTCGCCTCCCTAGCAGCTCTAGATTGTCGGATTTGTGCCTTGAGTTTCCGCGAGTCGGCTCTCCTGTTCCTCGCGCTTTCCTTGGCTGGATCAAGTTGGTTCTCTTCCCCCAGCGTTTCAAAGGCCTTCAAGTCTGCCAAGAATCGACGAATACGTACACCCGTCTTTTTCCGAATCCATGCGTCAACCTCTTCATCACAAGCAGCCGATATGGCGATGTGAAGACCTCGCAAAACATCTCTGTCATTAATGTCTTGGTCGCCCTGCTCCTTGGGGTCAGAATTATCGCTACCTCGCATTATTTCGCGTGCCTCCTCGGATTGTCCATCAGAGGCTAACACAGGTTCCTTGCCGACGGGTTTTAGAAGTGGCTCGTCAAGCTTGACTTCTGAAGTGATATTGGGGCGAGCTTGTGCGTCTAGCGCCGCTAAATCTTGTCCTATGGTTGCCTCGTTCCCAGATAGCCTAGCTTCTTCCCTCTCTATTTCCCGAGAAGCGGCTTCCATGGCCACTTCCAGAGATGAGGATGAGCGCAAGGTCAGTTTCCATGTGGATGGTAATGCAGGGTTCGGCGTGATGGTTCCGCGACTCGTCAGAGCTGATCGTTCTCTTCTTTCCACTTCCGGGAGCTGGGGGGGTCCTGGCCGGCTTCTGAACATCCTTCCGGACTGGAAAATCGGTGGATGCTCGAACTCCGTTTGTGCAGATAAGTTTAGGAGAGCGGCTTTTTCTTTGGCCTTGCGTTCAGGCTGCCTAATCGAAACTCGAAGAGGCTTGTCCACCACTTCCTCTGGTTCTTGTGATTCTGTAGGCATTCGGGCCTCATGGGACTCCTGGGCCTGCACTTGGGTAGTGTTCTCATCCGACTTAGATAGTACGGCAGCTTGCACTGGTTTGCTGGATGCGAGAGATAACACTTTGCCTGGTGGTGGGAGGTTTTCCTGGTCTGGAAAAACGTCCTGCTGCGACTGCTTACGTATCCCCTTGGGGGCTGAAGAGTCGCGCTTTGGCGGCTTTGATTGTTTTCTTGAATAGTTAATACGAGCTTGAGCCTTAGTAGGTATAGGCGGTTTATCGTTCTCCAAGTCACGGGGTGCTGTCTTCCTTGGATGCTTGCTTTTTGGACTCGGCGCTTCCACCTCGTTTCGAGGAGGGAGGCCTTCCCGGGGTAGCCTGTAGGTTGATGGACGCTGAGCTGTGTCGCCGTGCCAGGTTTGAGCTCGAACATCTCGAGAGGCTTGTTCACCTTTGAAAATATTAGCAAGGACCTCGCCGACGAATCTAGAACTCAACTTACGCCAACCCTTCAGTGCCTCTGTCTTCTGGGGGTAGACTGGTTGCCACTTTGCCAATATCTTGTTTGGCGTGTCAATGGTCGTAAGTGTTGGAGCAGGAGGTAGTTGGCCCACCGGCATGTCGATCGATTGGTCTCTCGTGTTTGGGAAGCAAGGCAAGTTGCAACATCTTAAAGCAGAGCTTTCCTTCTTGGCTGGCACTTCATCGATAAAGGCGAGCTCCCAGGCGTTTGGTTGTGCGAAGTCAACCTGCGTCCCCGAAGTCGATGAATCGGATGAGCTCGTTGAAGCGCTCCTCAAACCATTAAGATGAAGGTGGCCCGGTTCACTTTGTTTTTGGGTATCCTTAGAGCGAGTCGGGATCGCCTCTGCTTTAATGTCTGGTACATTCATGGTCCTCGCTTCCTTTGTTAGAGACGTTTTAGGCGGCAACTTTTGACGCTGCTGTTCAGACGTCACTGCTAGACCGGCAGCTTGGAACTGTTCCTTATACGGAAGAAGAGCTGTAACTGTGTGAAGCGATATAACAGACTCGGGCGTCGGTGTAGAGACAGGCAGCTTTCCCGCAGCCTCTCTGCGTTCGGCGTAGATCTCCAGTTGCCGGGCAAAGCGGTTCACTTCTCGGCGCCGGCTGGAAGTTCTCGACGGGGGCTGAGGTGCTCGTAGAGGTTGATTTGATGATCTGTTTGATGGTGAAGCAACAAGAGATACTCGGCTTTGCTGCGAAAGACTCCGACGAACAGCTTCCTAAACCTGTGGATCAGCAACTCCGAATCGTCTCTCGTGGGAAGCCACCGACTCGCGGTGCTGGAACGTGTGGCCAGGATCCGCCATGGCCGACAGAGGGTAGTCTCCAATTTTGGATGGACTCTCAACAAAGCTGGGGGCTCTTGGCTGTTTCGGGGACCCCGAGGGACCTGCAACTGGCCTCCTACGGACGGGACGATACCTTGATGACCGGGTTGGAACAGCGCGTTGGTGGCGAGAAGGGGCCCCCCGTGGTTTCGGCGATCGAGGACCGGCATGTGCGGAGGGATTCATTGCAATATACCACGCAGGTGGCGTCCGTTGTACTGACGCTCTGCTGCGTCTTCGAGAAGTCGGCGTCAAGGGCTGAAGAGCATCCGAGGCCACAATGCTGCGCAGTCTTTCTAGCTCTCGTTCCCGGGAGACGAGAATCGGGACAGGTTGGCTCGCTCTTCGGGTAGATTTCACAGCCGTCCGAGAGCGAGCAACTTTGACCGATGGGAGTCTGGCTCTGCTGGCGCGCTTGGTGTATACGATCATGCGTTGCTGGCGACGAAGGCTCTCGACAGACTGGCTTATGGGCTTGCGCAAGACGTCCTCTGCTGCCTTGTGTGCTAATGCCGGCTCGGACTTAAGAATGGGCGGTGAACAAGGTGAAATACAGTTGCAGTCCCGGAAGACTCTGTCGCAATCAAGCATCGTCCATGCTCAATAGACTGGGATAGTAGAGATGGATCCAAAGAAGATTTGCGTTGGTATCATGTGGTCTAGGTAAGAAAACGTGGCATAGGAGAGGCATGTGATGATACAGAGGGGAAGTAGTCGGCCTTGTTCCTTGCGTGTGGTCCTGGACATTCAAAATGACGTGCCTTCCAAATAATACATGGAACCTTGTGAAGAAGGATGCGAAGAAGCCCAACCACAAGGCATGAGGATTGCGGTTTCCTCACCGGCTGATGTCCTTGATGCTTGGTGAAGAGTACGTCTCGAGCTGGCGGCGGCCCTTCCGCAGTAAGTGCTCTACTACAGAGAAGTCGCGCTTGTCGACCGTGATGTACCTTTCAAACTCTGTCCTGATGTGCTGGTCAGTATGGTGTGCTGCACAATACATAGTGAATGCACAGGCTTGCCTGGCGAATGATTCAAAGTGAGGTCGCGCAGTCTACGGCTGTGTTAGCGTCTTACATGCAAGTTGAAGAGGTTGAGGAAATCTTACCTGTGGCTTCTTCCGAATTTCCCGAATACATTGTCGGTATAGTGCCAAGACCTCCCGTTGGAGACCAGAAAGGCCGCGCCTTGCTGCTGCCATCGTGAATGTCAACTCAGCGTCGGTAGTGCGGAAGGTATGCTCTTTTTGTGGCTCATGAGAGAGAGTCGTACTGGGAAGGCTCGATGTTCGAATCACTGATGTCAACAGTGAGAAAGACGACTCCGTTACTGTAGCTCGAGCCAATGAGGAAAGGCCGAACTCACAGCTGTTGGTCGAACGACTGACTCAGCAATGACATGCTGGCATGAGCTCCTCGGAATTGTGGAGTCCTATCCGGAAGAGGTACACAGCTGCCGGGACCTCGTGGCGTAATGATGCCGATGCATTAGCCGGCGCGCCTGAGTGCTACGCAACTCAGTTCGCTCTGGCACATCTGACGCCGAACAGTGAGTCGGGGTTAGTACTAGGATCCGTGCTCTGGGGGGGAAGTGTGGGGTCGCCGGATGGTAATCGGAGTCTGTCCAGGTGTTGTAGCCTCTTCAGCACCTCTCCCGATATTCGTCATATTTCGTTATCTACAACATTTCCTCATTTATTGTACGATATTGTGCCCTTCTTGTTTCTGAGCTTCCTGCCCAGGTTTGCAATTAAGTGGTTGTAGAAATGGCGTCATTTTCCGTGAGTCAATTGCTCGCCAATCGTGAGTGACAGCGACCGAACATACTGACTCTCAACCCAGAGACTCGTCCGCTTTCTTGCCCGGGACGGCAAGACGTACTATGGCGATGCAATCCTCCCAAGCGGTGTCACTGACATCGCCAAGGCGAGGCAAGCCAAAATCGTGACGGGCGACATCTTTGGAAGACACGACGTCACGGAAAACGTCGCCGACATCCGGCTTCTGCTGTCTCCTCTTGCGCCCGAGCATGTCAAGACTGTACGCTGCCTTGGCCTCAACTATGCCAACCACGCTAAGGAAGTGAGATAAGAGTCAGAGAAAACGCGTGATTGTGCGCATCAGCTGACAGCCTCCAGTCGAACATGGCCATTCCCAAATTTCCTGTTCTCTTCGTAAGTCATCGTCGTTGATGGGAAAAGCAACGACAGACTGACTCCCTCTCAGTACAAGCCGTTGACCTCCCTGGCCGGACCGACCGACCCCATCCCTGTGCACCCGATCGCTCAGACAGGAAGCACGTTGGACTATGAGTGCGAACTGGTCATTGTCATCGGTAAGACCGCCGCGGACGTCTCCGAGGACGAGGCCCTCAACTACGTCCTCGGCTACGCCGTAGGCAACGACGTGTCACACCGCGAGTGGCAGATCCAGCGTGGCGGCGGGCAGTGGTCCCTCGGTAAAGGCTTTGATGGCTGGGCGCCGTTCGGCCCTGGTATCGTGACCAGCAAGGTCGTCAAGGACCCGCAGAACCTCAAGATCTTTACCAAGGTTAACGGGGAGACCGTTCAGGTGGGAGTTGGACCGCAGCAATGAAGTGGACGTTAGAAACTAACGGGCGAGCAGAATAACAATACAAAGGACATGATCTTTGGCATCAAGAAGACAATCTCTTTCCTGAGTCAGGGCACTACTCTGTTGCCGGGAGATGTCATTTTCACCGGAACGTAAGTAGATGAACGACGAGTCCTGGTAGAACCTGATGCTAACGGTGAGCATAGTCCCGAGGGTGTTGGCATGGGTCGCAAGCCCCAACTGTGGCTTAAGGACGGAGACATTGTCGAGGTTGGTCTTGAGAATGTAGGCTCTTGCATCAACAAGATCGAGTTCAGTAAGGTCAAGTCGAAGATCTAATGGCAAGGTTGAAAATGGTGAGGTGGCGCAATATAAGAATTGTTCGAATGGTGGCCAGTTGTATAATGAATGAAATCTTGCGTTTTTAGTCGGAACAAGGATTAGTGGCTGTGAGATGGCGCCTGCCAATTTCATGCCAAACCGGCAAAGGCTCACGAGATGAAAGTTGCGGCCTGGTGTAGAGGACCCAGCCGTGACCAGAATGAATCCGTCATCAATCTGGAACCAAGGTAGCGGTCACATGGCAGGCACCAGTGGCGGGCGAATTGCGTTCACTCCAATTACACACCTCTCGACAGACGTAAAATACGCCCCTCTTACACGAGCAATCAGTAAAACATCATTTCACCATTAAGAGAGAGAGCAAAAAGACAATGTATTTGCATCCGCCGATAATCGAAATCGGGTCCCTTGCTATCCGCGGGTGTTCATGGAAGGCAAGGATGATAACCACTACACTACAGATGCCGCTGCTGAAATTTTTCAACCGTTTCAGGTCCAATAGACCACTGTACCGAATCCTTGCAGGTGGGGATGCTCGAGCTGGCTCGTGCTCGCTTAGGCTCTCAAGATTTCCCTCGCCGCCATTTCTTCTCTCTCTCTCTCCAGTCTCTCGCATCGTCATCATCAAGAACAGATGAGAGAGTGTGAATCATGTTCGGTATCCTTAGTCCGAGATTACTCGTTATTTACATACTCCATGCTCTGCTCAGGCTTTCTGGGACTATTCGAACTCTCAACCAAAGATGCCAGCCAATCTGTGCCTAGTCGGCGGAAATTCGGCTTGCGAGGCACGGCGATGCATATATAAGATGATCTCACGGCCTGTGTATTGTCACCAAATGGAACATCTTACCAGGTGCAAAAATAGTAGGAACCAAACTACAGCAGGGAAAGCGTTGCGTGACATATTCCCAAACAACCCCTTCGGTGACCAGCTGCGGCAGTTACAACTTGCAAGGCGCAATGCACTCACTGCCCGCGCTAACTAGCCGACATGCCCAACTCCGCCCCCAACCAACCAGCCAGTCGGCCTTCCTCGCGCTCTGCAACCTGTTTCTTCACCCACAACCTCACCAACCAGGTCTCGGCTCGCGACATCGTGTGTGGCGAGTCTGCCTTGAACTATTGGCTCCGTCGGCGGTTTCAACCATCTCCTTCACTGTTTACACGCTAAAGCCGATCTTGGCCGCCGTGTCAGGTAACTCATGTTGTTCTCCATACTACTCCACGCCCCCTTCAGCGGTCCAGCTGGGGCAGATTCAGCCATGTGAGGTGTTATAAGAGTGCCTCGTCGTTGTTCCAAAATGGTTCTTCAGGGTTGTCATGAGGCTCGGGGGAGCCGCCAACGTTCCTTGGCTTCTTGGTCCCCGCTTCGCTCACGCCATGCAGTGAGTTTCTGCGCTTTCTCTCGGGGGATTGGTCCGATCCCTCCCTATCTCTCCACGGGTCTGCTGCGAGACGTCAAAGTCGACGCCTCCCGCCTTGATGGCTGGGCTCGCGTGGTGTTCAGTATTTGTACTCTTCTCTCCGTTCCATGTCGGAGAAGCCAAATCTAAACATCTATATCCATGACTTCAACTATGTCAACTGTCATCGAGATGGAGACCGCGACGACTGTGCCCGCCCGCCTGGAAGATTACGTGGGGTTTTACGGCGACCCATTCGTGACCCTGAGAGACTTTGAAGACGATGAGGTGAAACCCCTTGCTGTCAGTAAAGGAAGAACAGTTCAGAATCCTGCCGGTGAAACCGACACCGAGACAAACACAGTCCAGGACGATGAGGACCAGTGGGCCAGATACAACCCACCGGCCGCCCTCAAAACGGCGCCAAACCTCACTAATATGGTTGCCCTCGAAATCCTGCAGACTTCCATTGAGAATGTACAGGCAAGAGTCGCCGAGGACAATCAGCGAAAGCAGCTCGAGGACGATGCCAGGCAGCGGGAAGCTGAAGCAAACGCAAACAACGAGGCAGACGGCGCGGCAAAGGAGCCGTATCTGCCCATCATCATAATCCCCGACGGAAGCGAGCCATCCGCAGCCGACAAGACAGAGAGTGTCGAGAACCTCAAGCTGTTTCCGGAACTGATGGGAGCGAGTGAGGGCAGTTCACCTCAGGGACTCATCGTCCTACCATTCCAGCCCAAGAAAAAGAGTCGCTTCGTCCTGACAAGAATCCTACAAAAGATTAGTGAAAAGGACTCGACGAAGAAATATTCCCGTTTCGGCGGCAACCCAAGCAAAACGAGCCTTGACGCAGTGTCTGATGATGCTGTCACGAAGAAGGAAAAAAAACCTCTCGTTACTGTGTAAGTCTCCCCCCATCTTCGATGCCAGAACGCTTTCCCTATCTAACAAAATAATCCAGCGGGTGTGTATCATGCCTCGACGACTTCAGTCCCAAGGAAGTGATCAAAGTCACATGTCACAGCTACTGTCGCGACTGCTTCGAGCGTCTCATTGCCTCTGCCGTTCAGAACGAACAGCAGTGGCCGCCCAAGTGCTGCCTCAACCACATCCCCATCCGTACCGTCCTACGCAACGTCCCCGCAGACCTGGCCAAGACCTGCAAAGACCGCGCTGTCGAGTGGAAGATCCCCGTCAGCGATCGAATCTACTGCGGCAACCTGGACTGCGGCCTCTGGGTGCGGCCAGAACATGTCAACCAGGGCCTGCGCGTCGCCCGGTGCCGGGACGGCCATCTCAGCTGCACCATCTGCCGCGGCCCGCACCACGAGAACGCAGACTGCCCTCAAGACCGCGACCTGGCTCTGACGAACGCCCTCGCCGAGGAAGAAGGGTGGCAGCACTGCGGCAAGTGCCAGGCGCTGGTCGAGCACCGCGAGGCGTGTCAGCACATGACGTGCCGGTGCGGCCACCAGTTCTGCTACGTCTGCGGCCTGCGCTGGAAGACGTGCGCATGTACCATGCAGCAGCTTCACGACATCAAGGCCGGGGCCGCGGCGAGGAGGGCAGAAAGAATGCGGAGGGTGGCTGAGGAGGAGGAGGAGCTCCGCGATGCGTTGCGGCAGATTGAGGAGTTTGAGCGGGAGGAGGCGCTCAAGGCTGAGCTGCTGAGGCTCGAAATGGAGAGGGTGGAGGAGGAGCAGCGCAGATTGGAGGAGGAAGAGCGCGTTCGTCTCGAGAGCCTGCGACGTTACGAGATCGAGGTCAGGTATCAGGAATTGCGGGAGCTACTTGACCAAATCCACGACTTGCAAGACTTCCTAGTCCGATACCAGCACGACAAGGAGAAGGAACTCACGTCCGAGGAGGCGAAGACGTCAACGGTGGAGCTCGAGTCGAAGCAGCAGGCGGAGCAGCTCGCGCTCGTTGAGAAGGCTGCGGACAAGCTAGCCGTCAAGGTGAAGAGCCTCACGACGGAATACGGGGCCCGCGTCCTGGAGGAGCAGAAGACTGAGGACGCGTACCTGCGGCAGCTGCAGAGCTTCTTCGCTGACCGGCCCTCGAGCGAAGAACGCGTTGAGAAACTCATGCGGGACTTCCGCAGGGAGATGGATAAAGGGTGGCGGGCCTGGGAGCGGTGGAGGGCCGAGGAGGTGGCCCGGTACAAAGTCAAGGTGGAAGAGGAGCGGACGATCCGGGAGGAAATAATGTACAGCGTCCGGAAACGACACGAGGAGAACCTCGAGAGAGTGCAGGCTGAGCTCGGCAGGAGGCAGGCTGCCGAGTTGAAGTGGGTGACACTGGTCGTTGCTGAGAGGACTCGGATGCTGGACCAAATGGAGAGCGCGGAGCTGGAGGATGGTGCGGAGATCAACGTAGCTCTGATCGAGGTGAGGGACGAGGCAGGGCCTAGTTGACGCTGGGAAGGCGGCCTGATCTATATGGTCTTGGCCGTCATTCTAATGGTGTCCAAGACTTGGCTGGAAGGCTAGAAAATGGGTGAGAAAGCAAAGCAAGTCATTAGGCAATTTGTCGCGGCTGACACAAGGAAACACCTTTCCCAAGCAATTTCCCCCAAGTTAATATGAAGATGACATTCACATGTAGTACCTACTTTATAAACTTGTCCAAGGGCACCGCAATAGGACCGAGAAGTAGTTGCCCAACGGCACATGAGAGTCACCCGATATTGTCACGCTCTTTGAGAAAACCAAGATCAAGATGATATACGTGTAGACTTAATCTTATCATTATGTGTGTGTCGCGTATTCTGTACAATGTTGAATGGTTGGGGTATCTGCATGCTCATATGCGCTCATGACACGAGCTCTAAGCTCTGAATGCTAAATGAGGGACTCTCATTGTGGTGTCAAGCACGTCTTCAACCGCGCTTGTGCTCCAACTCCTCGGCCTCGTGGCCTAGCTTAATCTCCTGCTCGACCTGGGCGAGGTCCAGGTCCGCAACCTGAGCTTCGGTTCCGTCGATGACCTTGACGAGCTCCTCGAGAGTAGGTCCCTTTGTCTCGACGTAGAACAGGTACACAAAGACGAGTTCGAGGAAGATCCAGCACTATTTACTCTTCATAAGCCAGTGTATCGTCAGGTTTTAGAAAAGTAATAACTTACAGTGTAGATGAGATACAGCTTCCAGGTGTGTCCCGAAAAGTAGTCGAATGCGTACGGGTTAGCGTAGTTGTTGAGCGTAAGGGCGGCCTGGACGGTCAAGTTGACAATCATGAGACCCTTAGCACGCAGCTTGTACGGCAGGATCTCGATGGAGTAGCTGATGAGGAGACCGGACCACGCGAAAGCGTAGAAGAAGCCGAACAGCCAGATGAAGAAGATCATGGCGTAGTTGGAGCCGGGTGAGCCGTGCTCCTCGTACAGGCCGGCGGAGAGGGTCCAGAAGATAAAAGTCATGAGCATGCCGCTGGTGGAGGCGAGGAAGATGGGGCGGCGGCCGAAGCGGTCGACTTGCATGGCCAGGGTAAGGGAGGTGATGAGGGAGAGACCAGTCTGCCCTGCGGAGAGGCCGAGACGAGCGGTGGAGCTCTCGATGCCGGCGTTGGCGTAGAGGATATTTGTGTAGTTTGAGATGATGGCGTTTCCGGACCACTGCGAGAAGAGACCGAGGGAGATGAGGACGATGAAGCGGTACTTGTTGCCGGCGGTGCGGAAGAAGTCGAGGTAGCTGCTGCTATTCTTGGCGGCGATCTCGCGCTTGATAGTCTCGCGGATCTCACGGAACTCGAACTGAACGGTCGGGTTGTTGGTGTCACCGTTGGCGTGGTACTTGCCCAGGATCGCGAGGGCTTCATCGTGGCGGTCCTTGGCGATGAGGTAGCGAGGAGACTCGGGGACCCCTTTTTGTCAAGTTAGAATCTGAAGGGGCACTTTGGCTCGAGGTGACGGCTTACAGAAGATGAATGCGAGCTGGATGACGGAGGGCACTCCTTGGCCAATGGCAGGAATACGCCACGACCACTCGTTTCCAAGGAAATCGGTTCCGAAAGAGAGCCAGGCAACCACGAGAGCACCGACGTTCCACAAGCAGTTGTAAACTGTCGTCAAGCGAGCACGATGCTGAGGATGGCACAGCTCAGCGAGCAACATGGGCGAGGTGATCTGAGCAAAGGAGTTGCCGAAACCAAGAAGGACACGACCACCCATGAACACTGCGAATGATCAGCTTCCGTAAAGCGCAGACACACTTCCCGAGATACTTACTGCCCATGCTCGTGCAGGCACCCTGCAACACAGCACCCGCAACCATGATCAAGCAGCCGACGACAATAGGGATCTTTCTGCCAAAGTTGTCTGCGATGATGGGACTTTTCACGGGGTCAGTATATTCGTGGACCGGAAGGGATTTCTTGCGGGCTCGTCGCTTACACAATGGGAATCGAAACCAGACTACCAATTTGGTAGAAGGCACCAAGAAGACCGAGCTGACCTCCCTTGGGGTGATCGAAGAAAGTCTGCCACGAGTCGAAGTTCTGGACTGAGTTGAAGAACATGCTGGAGAACACACAATGTCAGCGCCTATGCCATTGTATTTCATCTCATGGTCGTTTGGTAACATACCCATCGTAACCAGTGGTTGCGGAGGCAATGCAAAGGACGAAAGCGTAAAAGTAGAGCTTTCTCAGGCCGGGGTTCTTGATCCAGTTGACCTTTTCAAAATCCGGCGCCTCTTCCTGAGCTTGGACAACAGCCTCGCTCTTGGGCTTCTTCTGCGTAATGCCCTTCAGGAGACCCATGTTGGTGTCTACTCAATGGAGCTGTGTATCGTGTCTCGTAGTAGATTAACGTTTTGGCTTTCCCGGGCAACCAGAGCGAGAGCCAGAGCAGTCTCTGTGTTTGGGCCAGAGGATGACTTGAGAGGGACGACAGGAGAGGGACAGATTGATCGACGACGCGGGGTCTCCAGGTCTATTATATGGAGCTGTGGATGATAAGACGAACAATCGGAAGCGAAGCATACTAACAGTGCGAGCAGTCCAGACGCGGCATCGGACCGGGAAGGCCTAGGTCTACTGTAGAGATGGTCTTTCTTGGGGGCCGGGGGGGTGGTTGTCAGGCGGGAACCCTCTGGTTGGGATCCTTTGCGTGAAATCCTAGCGGACGTCGACCGGCCTCAGTCAGCTGTCAATGTCAAGCAAGTTGTGAATCTCGTCCGCACGAGGACACGCAGCCTGCTGGCCAAGGTAAATGCCAGGCTCAGAGATTAGCGGTGTACGCGGCACAGGGGATTGCCACGGTCTTCCGGCAAAATGCGAATGAGTTCGACGTTTCAAGGCAAAGCTTCACTGCCAAGTTTGACCCGAGAAGTCTTAGTTACGAGGGAAGCTCACTCTATTCTTACCCGCACTAGGCTGTTTCCCCTAGAAAACTGCTGCCGTCCAAACGGATGAATGCGAATTAAACCCCCATTTCTCCAGACTTTGGAAATTGTATTTTGCCGGGCACCTGTGTGGACACTTGAATCCCACTAGACAAGGACAAGACTAGATGGAAAAAGGTGTGAGCGTTCCCACTTTGCTGAACGTTCCCCCTGGGGTCCCGTGGAGAAGGAGGTGGAGGCGGCAGGGAGGTAACTGGAGGTTGTTGTCCTTCAAGTGGAGACTGTGACGGTCCCGCCCGCTGCCCAATTGTCTTCCCCAAGATGGCTCGACTATGACTGAATCCCGCGAAAGGACGTGGGCGAAAATCAAGGCGCAGAGTTGACTGTTCTCGGCAGCTTGTCAGTTGACGTCAATGGATGAAGTGCCGGACAAAAGGCTGTAAAAGACGGACAGCGTTTGCGGGAAGATTGACCCCAGAGATATCCCAGCAAGAGAGGACGGATACAATAGGAACCGCAAAATCAGACGAGCTTGGGGTAGACTAGTCTACCGCTGCGGGGGAGACAAGGCCGAGGTAGACTACTCATCGCTAAGCTAAAATCGTCCGTCTTTGGCTGTGGCCCCCTGTGGGAACATGTTCTCGAGTTGAACCCAGCATGACGCCTCCGCAACTCGCAAGCTCAGTTGCTCTCTTCCGTGTGTTTCCGCCTGCGATATCATATCTGGGCCGGTTTGATGAAGTGATTATGCCGGGACCGCACTGAAGCATTGACAGCTGCATTTTCCTGTGCCCCAAATACTTTCTGGTTAAATGAGAAAAATGTTGCTCGACACGTAGAAACGAGTGCTCTTTGGACGCATGAAAAGCAGTAATCCTACAACAAGTTACTTGTGTGCTCATGTCAGAGAACCACACTTTGTTACGATGAGGCGGTAGGCCAGACCGAAAGTGCAGGTATCTCCGTTTCGTCGATGCAACTTTGTCGAAGAGGGACCCCTGCTCAGGGAAACATCCTCGGCAAAGTATTCCGCCGTACGTATCCGTTCCTTTGTTATTTTTGGGGACGCACACAATGGGCATGCTACAAGTCAGTCTCCCTTGCGTTTCCTCAACCAACTGCATCCAGAGGATGTCTGTGTATGTTTCCACGATAAATTATGACGATATGATATGCCTCGTGATGCCATATGGCGATCTACGCGAGGGCTTCTCATGCTGGCGGGATGGATTTCGCAGCGATGGGGCGATAGCGGATGCGGTAGGCGAACCTCGTAACTTGGTCGGCCGAGAATTCCTCTCTGACCGGTTCAGTGTTACTGATCCACAGGCCCACAATCCCCATGTTCAATGAGGGTGTGGAGGTGTGGATTCGTGGGCGCATGGAGGGTCACCACAATATCCATCCGTCGATACTGCTGTTGGACCGTCAGTCGATCCACGATGAAGTGGAACAGCCCAATTTTGCATGCCATCTCGTCCTGTAACTTGGACCAAGGAGTGGCAAGGCTTGCCATTCTCAGTCAGAGCATTCTTTGACAGACTTTTGCCAAGATACTTATGAGATGAAGTGTTCACGTGAATGCTGACGTGCGTGGGTAAAGACAGCGGAGGGGGCTTTAGTAACCGTACGACACTGGAGAAGCTCCTACACAGATCATCAAGTTAGTGGAACGGTCCTGACCCTACAATAAGCGTCGTGGGTCGTGAATATGCATTTGTGGGGCTCTATAACAAGACGAAGACTCCGAGAAAGTCGCACCGTGTCGAAGCTGGCTATTGGAGAAGAGTCGAGGGGCTGGAGATTCTCTTAGCGTGAAGTTGAAAAAACGGCTACTGCGCCGCTACCTCACAGGGGCTTTTCCTTTTTCGGGATACCCTGTCTACACTATGGTCAGCGCCGCCCAGGGCACTCTAGGCATTTAGCCATTTAGCCTGATTTCAGGCTAAATGACACGCGGTAGTGGTTGATGGAGGGAAGATGGCGCTATGTCGATGGCAGAACATTGAATTGCAGGGTCTCGCTGGTGTATGAACCAACACGAGGGGAGTTGCGCCTTGATTCACCGTTGTCGGCTCTCAGCCGACGCGTTGCTTGTTGCAGACTTGCAGTCGACGACGACGTTCGCGTTCGAGACATTGCCCGCCGTCTTCGTGCTTCCTCTGATCCGTATTGTCGGACGGGCCGACTTCTTCATTGATATGGCAGCCTGTCGACAGCCTAGGCAGCAAGGTAAGGGCATCGGTTGCGTGTCCCGGAACCAGATCAGTCTGCAGGTTGATGATCGCCTCATCTGACCATCATGGCTGTAACCAACGCGCCGACTTCGACTTGGACCGGCAGCCACATCCGAAGACCGCAGATTCGCAAACAAGACCTCCAGACTCCTGCTCGAACAAAGGCGAAACACTTTGGATCATAAACCTGTCGAGATGTAGTTGATTTGCGGCTGCTTCTAAAGGGCAGGGATAATTTATCCATAAATTGCCGGCATGTTGCCGCTAAGGGTGTTGTTCCCAAGGCGCCGATTGCTGGGAGATCGTCGAATCCATGATCTTGGGACCAATTGCTTATATTGCTTGCAGCACGGCGTCCTCCAGGACTGGCCCCTGAGGTGTAGCAGGCCGCAGCACCAAGACATTGACGTTCCTGTGAGAGAGAATGTCAAGCGGCGGTACCTGCATGGTAATCGGTGTTCTTTTTGTCCCGTTGTTGCCGCATGTTGGCTATACCATGAAATAAGATCTCAGATGGACGGAGGTTACTACTTGTCGCCAGTCTCCCAATGCAAAACTGATTTGCTCGGATTGGTATTATTGAAATGGTCCCATTAAAGATTGCAGTTCGCCTTTTCCCAGTTCTCAAAGCGCAAGTCGATTAACGAAGCGTTTTAAATACGCATGTATGAGGATATCCGGCAGGTAATGCGGGTTGATTTGAGGAATTGACAATTATTGCAGACTGCACTTTGGGTGATAGGTGCACGGACTCCAAGTCGACCAGCTCCTTCCCCGCACAACTCCGGTGCCATCCCGTCCTCGTCCCACCGGCAACTTCACAAGCTTCACTTTACCCAAATCGCAATCGTAATCATTATTGGCTAGGCGCGTACTGCCGCTTGTGACGCTGTAACGGATACAAAGAGAGGAGTCCGCATCCCGATGGAAATACTTAGCACCAATGAAGTTTGGCGTCTGAAGCAGAACTTCACGGCCAAAGAATCATCCGACGAGCACTTCTTCCGATGCTGGAACCACCAGGACTGCAAGTTGTGCCTGGCGGAGAACGAATGTAGCTGGTGTCCCATGGTCCGTTTACCGCATGCGCGTGTTCAACGCTAATTAGAACCGGGGTGCTAATCGTCATATTTCGTTCATGATACAGACGTCCGCCTGCGTTCCCAATCCGTACGCAATTCCTTTGCTGGCACCCGCCTATGACGAGAACATTTGCCCGCACTGGGCGGAACGGTGGGAACTGCGCACCAAGCCGCTGGGCTGTCAAGTTTCGACCATCACGAGCCTAACGTCTATAATCTCCATCGTGTCAACGTTCGTCGTGCTCTTGTTGGTGACCCTGGTCGTGCTCGGCGTCCGCTGGGGGAGAAGCCGTACCAAACAGGATCCAGATTGGTGGCGGCGGCAATTTTGGCGATCGCGACAAGCTCTTGGCGGCGAACGCGACCCGTTGCTGGGTCAAAGTCAAAACACAAGAGATGAGACATAGCAGGGGTTACTAGCAGGACGTGCTATACCTTTGGCGACGTAATATAACGCAGTCGCAGATGCGCGGGATCCAAATCCTCTCCAAGTGCGCGGGCTACCGGCAAATGATGCGTTTATCCCGAACTCACAGGAGGAATGATGGCTACTTCATCGCCAGGCTGGATTATCGGATCCTCACTATCATCCTGTCCAGGGATATCTACGTATTCTAGGTTGACCGTCACCAAACAAGACTCCAAGAATCTCTCTTTAAACCCGCCATATCTCTCTTCAAGTGCATCGAAGAGCTTCTTCAAGGGGAGAGGGGCCTGTAACACATCGTATTGCTTGGACGTAAAGGAGCCGGCGCTGGCAAAGAACAGCACGTTGAAGTGGTCCTTGGGTGGCCTGGGGGCCGCAGCCATACTCAGATAAAGCGTGTTGGTCGAAATCTGCAATCTGATTGGGGGTTAGCCAATGCTTTGAAGCTTGAGAAAATACAAAAAATGTGGTTAATGATGTTGGTGTCAGAGATCTTGGTGATAATTGTGATACATCAAAAATGATTCAGGTAATACATGCTAATTTGGATACATCATCCCAACGGTTATAACGAGCAAAAACAGACTGTTTGACTTACCACTTCGCGATGAGACCCTTCCAAGGGTTGAAGGGTAGAGGAGAAGGAAAAAGAAGACCTTGGGAAACCAGAAAAGTTTATACCTGCAAGAACCGAGGAAGTGGGGTAGTCTGGGTGAAATTTCGGTGGCCCCGGTCACGTGATGCAGAGCGAGGATTCTGCCGCCATGCGTTTTTGCAGCTCTCAGCTTTACTTGCGGGGCAATGCGCGATCATAGTGACAGTCGTTGTCCTAAAAGGTCACATGTCGATGTTTGGTCCCCAACATTCCGTCAATAATCCGACCGTTGGGCGAGTTTCTGGGCACGCCAGTTGAAACGGCTTCTTAGATCCTTCAGCGAGGGGGATTGGGTCAATTAAGGAGAATGAATCGCGCAGCAGTAAGTCGAAATGTAGATGGTGCAGAAGATGTTTGATGAATTTTCCCAGGCTGTCCATTGATGATAATCTCGTAGACGCCGTTCCCTTTGCCCTCCAGCGTCGCATCACAAACAGGTACACGAGGTCGTTTCGTGCAGAGTTGCCTCGCGGCTGGTGGGAGAACCTTGCTGTATTCGCCATGCAGAATCCGTTTTTGACTCCTCTAAACACGAAAGCCGTGAGCTCGGGTGACGAAGCCCTCGCAATGTTCCTGTCCCATCCTCAGAACCATGATCCGTTCCTCGTAATGTCCATAACACACGCCGCCGCCGATCGCCGCCTTATCTCAGTCTGCGGGCCTCACGCTCAGACTCGAGCAAGCAAAGGATGTCGTCCTCACGGACTGGAACAAGTCAGTCAGTATTAGTTGTTCGTGGTTCTCGCTGTTCCCCTTTGATGGGGCGTCGCAGGTATTCGTGGTCGCTTACCGGGTCCCTTGACGTTACGGATAATGGAACGGGTCTCGTCGTCCATGAACTCGACGCGGACTTGGGTGACACCACCGCGGGAGCCTATACGCAGTCAGAAAATCTGCCAAAAATTCCTTCCGTCTCGATGTATCGTGGGATCGATCTCGTCGAATAGGCTTCGTTTCTCTAATTTCTCTTTTCGGGGGAGAGGCGGGGCATACCGGTACGGCCCAGGACGCGGGTGACCTTCACAAGCTTGACAGGCTGCTTAGCGGAATCCATTTTGACTGCGGCAAAATTCTACGTCAGTCGGCAAGATCTCTGTCAAATTTCTCGGCGTCGCGACACGTACATATATGTGGTTGCGAAGGTTCTGCTGGGTGGTGGGCTGCGCGGATTGATGGAGGACTGCGATTACGATCTTTTTTTCGCTGCAAAGACTTGTGGAAGGGCTTTAGCGAAAGGAAACCCTTCCACGGTGCGTGCTAGGGACCTAGCATCATTTGATTGGTCTGGATAGGGGCGCTTGGTCCAGCTGATTTCTGCCGCCTTCACCGCCTACCGGATTACTGCTTCGATCCATCGTTTGCACTAAGAGATGGTTCATGGGCAGTCAGTGAATGAATGACTGGCACTATCTGTCCCTGCATTAGATTCCGATGCATCAAAAAGATGGTACCGGAGGCATGCTCAGGAGGTGAGACTGAGAATCTACATGCAATCTGTCAAATTCATAGCGTTTACCAAGTGCTGGTTGGTATGGTTGAATTGGTAGTCTACCTCTAAGGGAAATGCTCGGCTTTTGATGATTGGATTTGCAGTGACATACACGCGTGTTCGTATTGCAGTTGGTATCTGGTATTCTTCAAGCTCTCACACAACAGTTCAACCGTACCAGCCGCACATCGCAGGCTGGATCAGGAGTCCTATAAAAAGTTGAAGTTCGACTCAGTGAATTGATTAAAGAAGGGGTATCTTTGATGACGGAAGCCAATCATGGCAACTTCGCAATGCGTCCCTCCAAATCCTTTACCCATGCCTCCATCACCTTCATGTTCCCGGTCATGGCAGTGCCTCCTTCCTTCATCGCCTCCTCGACCTTTTCCAGGCCGTCTTTCCATTGCTTGAGGTCCGTCGCCATATCCGTTTGCTGTTTTTCAATTCTGCCGAGCATCTCGCTCGCAGCCGCAGCATCAGAGTGAATCGCGCGGAGTGACCTCAGGCGGTCAAGCAACGGCGGCAGGAGAGGAGCGAGATTCTCAATCGTAGGCAGAGTTCCGTAAAGAGCGTTGATCTTTGCGAGTTGCTCCGGGGCCGGCGCGTCCTCGCCAGCAGCCGCGCCATTGCCAAGGGTCTCCTGCGCAGACTTGGCCCCCTGGCGTGCTTTCTCCAACTCCTGAGCTTCTTGAATGAGGGTACGGACCCGACGGCTGATTGTGTCCAGATTTGACGTTGACGCCTGTGACAAAGCCGTGATCTGCTTTTGAAGCCCATCAAGCGTCGGGAGAATGGCTCTTGGCAACCCATTGATATCAACTTCCGGCAAGGCGGTTGACCCTACTCCGATTGCCTTTTCAAGGAGAACAAGTCGTCGGTCAAAGTCCGCGGCTGTGGCAAGAGCGTGGCTTTGTTCGTACGTAGGAGCATAGGTGACAGTATAGGTCGCAGAATTGCCCTGTGCCACCATTTCCTGCGATTCGTCTTGAATTTGCCTGGGTGGTTGAGACCCTGACTGGAGTGAGCGAGAACTGTTCGTATGCGATTCCAAGGTTTTGGAAATCTCGTCCAGAACCTTGCTGAGAGACCCCAGCTTCTCGTCATGATCCCCTGTCGTAGGCTGTGCTGCAGCCTCTTTCCTCTTTCCGTACTCCTCCTTAGCTTCCTCGACTTCACGTTGCAGTCGCGCAATCTTGCGTTCTAAACTATCTTCGTCATCTTCATCGCTGAGGTCGCCGAGTTGCTCTGTACCATCCTGCAGGAAACGCTGGCGTCTCGTTGATGCCTTGTATGATTTCCGTTTGCCATCCACTCGATCCGAAAAGTCGACCCCTGTGGCGTCCACACCCGCCGGAAGGAAACGAGATCGTGCTTGGTCTACCCGAAGTCGGGACCTCGAAATGCCGTTGGCGTCGTCGTCAAGGTCGTCATCGTCGAAATCATCATCGGAGTGCGATTGCCCGGTCGTCGTCTGTGTGCACGTCAGCGATGGCCTGCAGTGTCTGATTAAAGAAACGTACCGGAACGGTGGAGGTGTCATCTGTGAGCTCTGGCGTCTCGTACACGTCCGGGGCCGAGTCCTGAACGTCGTCAGTATCGTCTTCTTGGTATTCGGTGACGCGGATGTTCTGACAAGGTCTGGCAAAGCTGCATATTTCCGGTTCAAAGCCATGACGGAAATTCAGAGAAGAACAGGCTCCTTTGGCAGTTTCGGACACGCTGTCTGACAATGCACCCCTCTCGGGTCGTCGATAAGGTGCTGTTCGTGAAGCTTAATGGGCCAGTTGGAAAATGGATTAATGTCAACAATCAACCATAGACCCCCTGCGCAGGAAGGGGAGCTCCAAGCCCGCCCGCAGTCGTCGAGTCGCCAGGGGTTTCCCGCTAATCATTCATGTACCTGGTGACAAGGTGGGGTGGGGTCGCAGGTAGGTACTTGGCCGGTGCTCGGGCAGGCACGCGTCAAGAACGCGATTGTAGCTTCCATCTTTTCCCCGGCCAGCACTTAACCTCAACCGGCAGCAAAATTTGTGGCTCCGGGGAGCGAACAAACAATTGAGGAGAGCACACTTTTGCCGAGGCTCCATACGAATAAACAATGTCAATTGGGGTCTGACGTCGCCTCCACGCGCATGTTCGTCAGCTTCCATTACCACATCCTAGGGATTGAACAGGAAGCCAGCCCGGCGGAAGACTGATGTCGATCTCTGTGTGAGATGCCTGCTGGTCTCCGCAGGCAGCACTTCATCCCCAGTCCTTACACCTCTTGAGGATATCAGTCCGCCGACCCAACGCCGTGTGAGGTATCATTGTAGCTGTATATCCGAGGTCAACATGCCCCCAAAGCAGGGTACAAAGCAGAGGCGAGCTGGCCTTGCCAGAGACAGCCGCGTACGGCCTTTACTGTCACAGGTTAATGGCCAGCGACGGACGCTGGCCTCCGACAACAGACCAGTAGACCGGCCACCTGACGACTCTGATGATGAGATCACAGACCCAGATTCTTGCAGGGGATTGATAGCCCCTTCGAAAAGCCTACCAAGCTCAAGGGAGGTGTCTCGAGTCTTCTCGAGTACGAGGGCGGATTCAGACTCCGAAGATGATCAAAACACACGGTCATCCCGCGCCGACATGGCTCGTCCTTATTTCGGCTCATCCAAGAAAGGGAAAGAGCAGAGTGAGAAATGGAGTGCTTCCCAGGAAAGCTTGCAAGGGCGTGGGCAACCCGAAGGCTCTGAGGGCTCTTTTTCCACAACGCGTGGTAGCAAGAGAAACTCGCCAGACGATGGGACACTCAGTCCAGCATCGAAGATTAAAAAGGCCCGGAAGATCGACCTTGAAGACGAGAAAGAGGCCAAAAAGTTGCTAGTACGGAAGAAAAGCTATGGTCGAAACGACGATAAAGGACGTATCAGAATTCCTACAAAATCAAAACCCAAGGCTTCTCAAGAGAGACCGATGTCTAAGCAGGGGAGAGAAGGTTTGCTGCTACTTTGAAATGCCAAACTGTTCCACTACTGACGCGCTCATCAGCTCGGTCATCTGCGCCCAAGATGATACAACCGTCGTTCAAAGCATACGACGACGATCCATTCGAGCAATTGTCAAGCAGAACATCTCCAAGGCGCATGATCGATCCCGTGTCCGCGTTCTTGTCCTCTCCTCCTCACGGTTCTGCCATTCCGACCATGAAGCAGGCATCGCTCAGTCCTCATGCATCACCACAGCGAAGTGCCAAGGCCGAGTTCAAGCTTCCATCCGCATCTCTACCTGAGTCTTTGCAGAGTCCAACTAAGCCACGCCCACAACTTCGCAATCTAGGTTCAAGCCCTGAGCCTAACTCTGAAAAGACGAGAAGACGCTCCTTTGAATCCTCGGACTTGGACAGCGACCCCATCCACTCTGTAGAAGCACGTTGCCCTATGTGTAATGAGATGGTCGACAAGGCCTTGCTGCACGATTTCTCAAATGGTGCCCGTCTGCATATCCGCAAGCAGATCCAGTTCTGCCGGCTGCACAAAAAGAAGTCAGCCGAAGATGCTTGGGGTACTCGGGGCTATCCCAAAATCAATTGGGAGGGCCTTGATGCTCGGATTACCACTCACTACGGGTTTCTTCGAAGAATCATCGATGGCGGACCATCTCACTTCGGTGATTTGCTGATTGACAAGGTTAAGGAGGGCAAGAACCGGACGCTGCTCAAGGCAGAAGACAGCTTGACGCCGGGGTACTACGGCCCGCGTGGCCTGCGTGCATTTTCGGAACATATTATTGGTCGCTTTTCATCGGTTTTGAGGGAACGAGCCGTCGACGACCGGCTTATATCGTCGCGTGGTTATTCTAGTTATGTCGAGGCAGTGTTGGTCCCGGAGCTGGCAGTGCAGTTGATATCTGACGACATGGTAGTAGAAGCCGAGGGAGCAAGGAGCATACTCGAGGAAAGCAAGTGGATTGGCGACTTGCTTCACGAAGATACCGGCGATACAATAGATCAGATGAGCGATGATGAGACAACGGCTCATTGAAGGAGTATGAAAGTCGTGGGTCAGGCGACAGAATCGCCAACATGTGGCGTTTAAGTAGTGATTATACATAGCGTGATAGAGCAGGTTTTCCTGTTCACTATACATGCCATGACAAGCGTGAAAACGTCTTCCCAACACTATGTTATTTCATCATGTCTGTCCTGGGCAATGCTAATAGCTTTCGGTCCGTCCTGGGTCTACCAATTCCATCAAAACTACCAACCCAACGCCATTCGTAGGAAACTCTTTTTGGCTTATCAATTTTTCACAACCCCAATGCCTCTCGCCTGCCCGTGCTGTTCAAATCGAGATACGGCGCCTCGCCCAGCGACGCCACGCGGTCGCCTGCCCTGGCCTCGACATAGTCGTAGGTCGCACAGTGCCACATACTCCTGTTGTCCCAGATGGCGAGGTCGTTCTTGCGCCACTTAAAGCGGACCTGGGCATCGTGGTTCTGGGTGACGAGGTTGAAGAGGTAGTTGAGGAGGACGTCGGACTCGTCCTTTGTGACGCCGTTGATGCGCTTGGTGAAGCCCTTATTTACATATACGGACTTCCATCCAGTCACCGCTGAGTATTTTGTCAGCCGAGTCTAGGCCCTTGAATATTGACTAGGAAGATAGGATCACTTACGATTGGTACGGATTACGGGGTGGATGGACTTGAGCTCGGAGCCCTGGTTCAGCGATGAGCCGCGGAGGCCCTCTCGGATGGGGTTACCCAGCCTCCGGGCCTCCTCATGGAAGAATGTAGCGTCGTGGGTGGCCGTCAGTCCTTCGAGGAACTTCTGCATGGCGGGGGATAGTCTGTCGTAGATCTCATATCCAGAAGCCCACAGCTGATTTCAGCGGATCTCCCAGTCAGCCGGGCAAAGTCCCATATCTGCAATGCAGCTGCAAGGGTGATGGCGAGCAAGGGAGGGGTTCCAGGGGATAGATGAGATGGGACGTACTGTGTCACCACCGGTGGTGGGAAGGGTGTGTATCTTGAGCATTGCGTAGTCCGAGGGGACCTGCTCGAAAGAGATGTCGGTGTGCCACCCGGCGCTGGCGAAGCGGCTGACATCGCTCAGTTGGTGGGTGAGGCCGCCGCCCTTCTTCTGCTTTTCGCTACTGATGACGCTGATCTGATCACCGAGCTCGCTGCCCTCCTCCGTCAGAGGATGGATGTGAAGACCTGACGACTCGGGCTGTTGGGGTCCAAGTTAGGGGCTGGACACCGGTATGGTAGAGGTGAACTTCATCGGTTGCATTTGACTTACACATCCGGCAAGCTCTGTGAGTCGAAGGCAGAATTCCTTCATTTGGTTGGGTGTGACATCCTGGTCTCTCAAGAATACAACGCCGCGCTGAGAAACTGGACTGCGTGTTAGCAGAATCATTGAGGTTCTTATGATGAGGAACCGGGGAGACTTACTTGTGACGGCCAAATCTCTGATGACCTGGTCGTCTGCCTTTAGGAGATCAACCACCTGCAGACCCTCATACTCGCGTCCAATGACAGGGGTGAGGTCTGCGTTTTTGAAGTTGTCCAGAGAACCGGAGTAGACGAGCGGCTTGCTCAATCGGGGGCGGGCCACCGAGTTCCCGCCAACAATGTTGGCTCCAGCCCAGCCGTTTGAGACCGCGGAAGGCATGTCGTTGTTGATCTTTCGTGATTTTACAGGATGTGAGCTGGTATTGTCTGATGCAGAGCGCTTGAGAGTATCGTTGATCTTATTTGGGGGAAGATCTGATAAGCTGGGAGATTGTGAGAGAGATTTATGCTAGATTTTATGTCCGGAGCGACCGTTATGTCCTTACTTCTCCACGTACGTATCACAGGAGCCTCTTGTTTCACTTTTTTTTTTTTTTTTTTGCTTTCAAAGCGAAATCGGGGGACCTGTGAATGTGATGGGGTGAGGCGGGAAGAAGATCGTCAGACATTTTCTCCAACGGGATCGCCTCCTCGTCAGTGCTGGTCGTTACGGAGGCTCCCGACCGGCGGGCGATGGCGCAATCGCAAAGCTTCCTAATTCAGCGAAGTCTGTCAGCCGTGGCCAATCAGCGGGGTGGGGACCCTCTCCGGAGACACACTTACCATCTAACCCCCTCCTCATGCTCGTCCTTCCTTGCCGTCCTCGTCGGAGAATCTTTCGGACTTGTAGGCGGCGCGGCATCATCACGTCTTGACTCTGGCACATTAGATACCGGGGCTACCTTGCCCATTGGCATATTCCCCCGTTCCTTGTCACAAGCCTCGCCCGCGCGGCGTACACCGTCCAAGAACAACAAAACAAGAACGAACGCAACGTGAAGCCGTCTTTCACCAGAGAAAAGGGCAGCTGACATGTAGTCAAAACTATGTTGACGATGACATCGCCGTTGGCCAAGACACGGTACAAGGGCGCATTCCGAAACCCGGGGTTGTAATCGGTAGGCGGAGAATTCTGGGGTAAGGTTTTGGAGACCGCTCCGGCTCAGCCATCCGGGACCCACCGCTGTCAGCAGAAAAGTTGTCAACACCATCTTTTTCGTCCTTAACCCCTTGTCCGACCTCATGGTTCACCTCCACTAGTATGTGGGTTTCCTCGAAGACGCAAGACCGAGCATAGATGTCGTGAGCCATGATCTGCTAGCCTCAATTAGACAATATCAGAAGTTTGAGGAACGACTATTAAGTTGAGCATCAAGAACGTCTCGTCCTTGCGATAGGCGTCCTCATGTTGATCACCGTCGGTTCACGCTACCTTTTTGTTTCCCTTTTGCGAAACGTCGGGCAAGTGTGCTGCGGCCTCCTCAATTTTGCTCACGAGCTCGCCTTACCAAGCGACGGCAGCAGCAACAGCAAAGATGGCCGACGTCGAGACGACCACGAAGAAGATGGCTAGCGACAACGGCAAAGACGTCACGTCCATCTACCAGGACTCGGACGCGCCCGTTGTCGGTCGTGAGAACATCTCTGACCTCGTAAAGCCGCATGAGTCTTACGAAGGAAAACACAGATGGGATCCCGCCGCGACTTGGACCGCGGCCGAGGAGAGGAAAGTGGTTCGCATCACAGACATCAAATTGCTGACGATACTCTGTATTATGGTATATAAAGTCCCATGTATGGCTCGAGAAACCGCTTTTTGCTAATATTCAACCAGTTCTTTGGCTTGCAATTGGACCGAGGAAATTTGAGCAACGCTCTGGCAGATGATTTCCTCAAGGACCTGAAGCTCAGCAGTGACGACTACAATAACGTGAGTTGCAGTAGTCTTGAGATTCGGGCACTGAATGCTAACTTGCGCTTCAATAGGGAACCACAATCCAGCTAGTCTGTTTCTTGGTTGCCGAATTTCCCATCCAGTTTCTCACCAAGCGCTTCGGTTTCAAATACGTCCTGCCGACCATGATGATGATGTGGGGAACTGTTTCCTGGACGCAGGCCTGGATCACGACCCGCGCCGGCTTCTATGTGACGAGAGCCCTCATCGGCGCCTGCGAGGGCGGCTTCATCCCCGGTACCATCCTCTTCGCGACTTACTTCTACACGTCAAAGGAGCTGTCCGTTCGGCTGGCCGTGTTTTGGTCCACGCTCAACGTTGCGCGAGTCATCTCGGCGCTGCTGGCGGCCGGCATCCTTAAGATGCGCGGCATAGGGGGGCACACGGGCTGGTTCTGGCTCTTCCTGTTGGGTATGTGATCTGCTCTTCACCTTCTTGTCTCTCGTGTCCGTCGCTGACTAGCCCCCAAGAGGGTCTCCTGACTTGTGTTCTGGCTATCGTGGTAAGTCTGCCGTGCCCTACCCCGCTTTCTCTCCTCGAGGAGGTGGAAAGGATTTCCCACTGACCCATGTTGTTGCAGGCATTTATCTGGCTCCCCGCCTCCCCGACGAATACCAAGACGGCCATCTGGAGAAAGCCCTGGTATACGGAGAGACAGGAGGTTATCATGATCAACCGTATTCTCCGCGACGACCCCGCAAAGGGCCTCACTGCCCTGAAGGAGCCCATGACCTTCAAGGACATCAAGAACGCCTGGCTCGATCCCTCAATGTGGGGTCTGTACTTGATCGGCCTCGTCGCCTACATCCCGGCAACGCCCGTACAGGCTTATCTGACCCTCACCCTCCGCCGTCTGGGCTTCACGACCTTCAACTCCAACATGCTCACGGTCCTGTCCGCCGTGCTGCAAATCATCACGATGCTCATGCTGGCCTTTAGCAGTGACTACTTCAAGGAGCGCGCGTTCCACTGCATCTTTGGCGAGCTCTGGATCATGCCTCTGCTCATCACGCTCCTCACGCTGCCCGATGGCGGGCGGGAGTGGAGCCGGTTCTCGGTCATCACACTCATCTCAGGTTACCCTTACTTCCACCCGATCGTGTCGTCGTGGATCTCGGAGAACACGTTCGATGTCAAGAAGCGCGCCATCTCGGCGGCGACTTACAACGTCATCGTCCAGATCGGGTCCCTCGCAGGTTCGCAAATCTACCGCGCCTACGACGCACCGTACTACAAGCGCGGCAACACCGTCTGCGTGTCCATTTGCGCCTTCAGCCTCGTCGTGTTCCTAGTGCACCGGCAGGTCCTCGTGCTGCTGAACAAGCGCAAGGAGCGGGCGTGGAACGCCATGTCAAACGAGGAGCGACTGGCGTACCAGTGCGATGCGGCGGCGCGCGAGCAGGACGGGAACAAGCGTTTGGATTTCAGATTTGTCTATTAGAAGACTACTTAGGCGAGATACTCTGTATTTGAACGAGTACTTCTGAAGTAACAGGCATTAATGGGCACTATTATGAGTTTGGATACCAGTCTATGGGAAGGACAAAGTACAAGTAATAAGGATAGTTGAGACAAACTCGGCTTGAGGGCATGCGCTGGTGACTCGATCAAGTAATTTCCCTACGTCTTAAACCAACATGATAACCTCGGTGAGATCAGTATACTATAACAACGTCGTGCTGTCGTGCTGGTGTTCTTCTTAGAAGGGCGCATTTCACCATTTTGTTTTCTTTGCTCTATAATTAAGGTACTCATGTATCCGTACAATTACCTAATAATGGAAGAACGCTCATTGGCCCCGTCTGATATCCCGGCCTGGACCAAATCGCTGGGAGGTCGGCGGCCTCGACAGCGGTCAAGAACCCGAAGTTGCGGGGAAATCCAGCGCCAAGGTCGTTGAAGGGCGCCACTTCTTGCAACCCCAAGCCCCCTTTCGACTCAAGCCGGCTCCACAGCTCCCCTGGTCGGCTTAGCGCATCGAGCACACCATCGGCCTCGACTCCACTCTGCACATCTTAGACGTCCACAGCTCTTTCCCATCCCCAAGACGAATTCTGCTCAGAATACCTTATGCCAACACCGCCTGAATATCGCAGCCTTGCTTTGTAATACTCCCACTTCCTCATAGGCTTATCACTTGACCCATCCACTTTCGCCTGAATTTTGGCAGTCTCAAGCAAGCCGGCCATCCTGTCAATACCTGGGACCCCGTCTGGTGCAGGTGACAGACTCACACGTCAAAAACACAAACCCGCGTACGCAAACGTAATTCTCGGTGAATCTCAAGCTAACGGCGGGCGGGCTGCCATGACACGGCACGAGTAGGGCGAACTGACGTTCTCCCCTCCGCCTTCGCGGACATGTCCTCCGGGCGCAAGATTGGCAAAAGAGCTTGTGACGCGTGCAAGATCCGCAAAATCAAATGCACAGAGGTCCCGCCGTGTGATGGCTGCGTCGCCATCGGGACATCATGCACCTTCAACAAGGTCCCCGCCACTAGGGGCCCACGGAACTTGAGGGCGAAGACCATACGCCAGATTGCCCAGGCCCAGAAGGAGACTGCTGCTGTTGCTGTTGCCGCGGGCGCCGCCGCTGGTACTGCGTCCTCCGTCTCACCGACCGGTGACGGGGCAGCCGCTTCGACCCCGGCCGTTGCTGCCGCCGCGCCTTCGGGGGCGCCGTCCTCCTCCCGTTCCCCCTCATCCTCTGAGGCAGGATCATATGAAGGCACGGGAAGCGCAGCCAGTGGGCAACGGGTCATCAGGCAGGAGAATTCCCTGCAGTCGCAGAGGACCCCGAGCGCATCACTGGTCTTGAGGCTATGTATCTATCGCCTGCGTCTCTTCCCCGTGTGGCCTATCATTGCAGTAGAGGAGATCATGGCCTCGTTATCCCGCGATGCAGACGATCTTGAATCATACGTCTTGGCCAATGCCGTTGGAGCAGCCACCATTGCTCAGCTCAAGCTGGCTACGACAGATAATGACGACCCGGCAACGGCAGGCTCAATGGAGGCCGAGTGTCAGAGATCGAGGATGGTGCTCCAGGAACGCGAGAGCGGCCCGCCCATGAACCTCAACTGGCTGAGGACGTCCTTCTTTCTCCACGTCTACCACGAGAATCAGCAGCCTGGAGGGGCCAAGTCGCTTCTCTATCTTCGAGAGGCCATCACTATTGCTCAAATTATGGGACTGCACAAGGAATCATCGTACATGGCTCTGCCCTTGGCAGAACAGCAGATGCGGAGGAGAACACTGTGGCTATTGTTTGTCACGGAGAGGTTTGTTTTGCCCCAGATGGCCATCATCGAGCTGCTTCTAACATAAAGACAGAGGTGTGGCCATGCTTCACAAGCTTCCCGTGGCGTTGAAGTCTAATACCCGTTTTCCGTCACTGGACGGTTCGGGGGTCGGCGAGGACGAGGGCCACATTCTGCCTGCATTCAAGAAATTGGCCGATCTCTTTTGGATTTTTGATCAAAGCGGCGCCTTTGATATCCTCCAAAACTCGGATGACGAAGACGCCCTGTGTTCCATGGCGGACGGCCTCCAAACAGCCAGTAGAGCATGTCTCGATGTTGTGCAGCAGAAGCTCCAGCAGATACCCCTGGACTCTGACGCCAGCAACGATGTCCAGCGAGCCGACATTGTTGTGACTCGTCAGTGGATGCAAGCTGTGCTGTGGAAAGTCACCATGAATCACGGCCGCGCCTGGTCTTCCAACCACAATCATCCCGTCACTTCGCTATCGCACCCCATTCAGATCGCCAAGGAGTTTCTCCAGTTGATCTCACAACTTCCGAGTACGGCCATTGAAGCCCACGGCCCTGGAATTGTAGGCTTATACCATTACCATCCTCGCAAAACCCCTTGCTTACTTGGTTCTAGGAGTTCAAAATTTACGAGATTGCCAGCGCAGTGACGGACGCCGTTGCGAATAATTTCCGTCTACCTCGCGCCTCTACAGACGGCCCTAGAGACATCCTCCTCCAGCTGCAAAGAGTCCTCGCCTCCTGTCGCGGTGGCAACAAGGCTCTCTTAGAGATGCTCTGTGCCCGCATAGCAGAAGTCCAGGAAGGCCCGCTGTTGATAATGAACAGAAGCCCGACGTCCAGGGTCCTTGAGGTTGACGATGATCAATGGCGGGACGAGAGGAATGCCGCAGCCAACGGCCAGCCATATATGTACACGACCATCAACTGCGTGCCTCACTCGAATCAAACCTACGTCCAGTCACAATCAAGCTTCATACCAATGTTTGACAAAGATGGTCCTGCTGCGCAGGGCGTGGCCGATGGCAACACAGCTTCAACATCACCTCAGCGACAGGGCGTCGGCAGACCCGTCTGGGAACAATCCCAGCAGATGGGCCCTGGCACTCACGATTTGATCGATCAGCTGCAGCACTTTGACGGTTCTTTCAACACCGTCGAGTCCAACGGCACGCTTGACATGCTCTTTGCCAACGGGGCCTTGTGGGACAACGTCGCGAATGATGACTGGATGGTCTCGGTGCAGAGTAATCCGGGCTTGTTCCACAGCCCTACACAATCTTTGCAGAGGACATATGAGTAGCTTCGGTATTAGTGACCGAGCCTGACTAGCGCTGCCTGTCACCTCGGGGTTTGTCACTATCCAAGACTGCTCAAGGACCTTCTGGATCGAAAGATGTTTTACGAGCCGGAAGAGCCGACGACACACACCGGAAGCACTTGAACTCAAGTAACACAGCACTACGCGTCTTAGCCATGGCTGAAACCACCAAGTCTGGAGTCCATGCAGTGATACCGCCATGAAAAGCGTGGTTCCCAAAACCGTTCACCGTAAGTCGTGCTGACGTTCCCTCTCCTTGGCCGAGATTCATATTTGACTGCCCGCTAGATTTCAAATTCGTAGAGTGACGAGAACTATCTTCACGGCCTGAGATGTCTGGATGCGGAACGCATTAGTACTTCGAAATTTTCTCTATGTTTTGTACTTTTATACCCAAAAATATGTAGGCCGCAATCTAGGCCAGGAGCACCACCACTCCCTCGTACGGTCCAAAAGAGACCTTGCCCCCGCTAAAGTCCTTGGTGGCCTTGCCGCCGTTGGTGACCAGTACCTCCTTCACGTTCTCCCCCTTTAGGCCCTCCCACTCCACCGTCTCGGTCGAAAAGTTGCACGCGACAATCGCCACGGCACCGTCCTCGGCCCGCCGGGCGTACGCCAGAATCCGCTCGTTCTTCTCGTCCACGAGATCAAAGTCTCCGTAGACAAAGATGTCGAGGTACCTCTTGCGTGTCGCGAGAACCGTCTTCCAAAAGTTGAAGACGGAGTTCCGATCCGAGACCTGCGAGGCAACGTTGATCTCCGTGTGGTTGGGGTGCACCGTCATCCATGGCGTGGCCTCGACTGTCGTGAAGCCCGCGTTGGCGTCGGCGGTCCACTGCATCGGCGTCCGCGCATTGTCGCGGGACTTTTTCTGGTACTGCGACTTGAGGAACTGGAGGTACTCCTTGTCTTTTGAGTCCTTGTGCAGGCTGATGTGTGAAAATGTTGTCAGCTACCCGTAAACTCCCTCCTTGAACTAGATTGAACCGAAGTTTGGTGCTTTGTACTCACTTCCAGTGATTCAAACAGTCAATGTCCTTGTACTCCTCCATCGGCCACTCCTTGGGCACGTTGACCATGCCAATCTCCTGGCCCTGGTATACGAACGGCGTGCCGGCCTGGAAGGCCTGGAACATGGAAACGGCCTTGGCGCTGTTGGCGCGGTGCTCCGGTGCATCGTTGGCGAAGCGGCTGACGGAGCGTGGCTGGTCGTGGTTCTCGAGGTACAGGGCGTTCCAGCCGTTGTGGTCATACATGAAGCGCTGCCACTTATTGGCGATGCCCTTGAGCTCCGCGAGATCCCATTCCTTAGCGGAGAACTTTCCGTGGGGGCCGATGTCGATGTCGACGCTGGAAAAAGATTCTTGTTAGCAATGCCTTACGAATTATTTGGGGGGGGGGGCTGCAAAAGATGGTCTGTGGTTTGGGGAACGAGAATTGGATTTGGGAAGGGATGATGAGGCTCACAATTCAAAGTGGAAAATCATGCTCAGCTCCCCGCGGTCGCCGTTGACGCTCTTAATCACCTCGTTGAGGTCCCTGACGCAGGGCATCTCGCCGACGCTAAAGGCGTCGTATTCCTGCAGGATCGCGCCCAGCTCTTTGAGGTACTCGTGCAGCCGCGGGCCGGCTGAGTAGAGCTCGGAACCGGGTAAGACCTCCTGCTTCGAGTCCGGGAAATCCTGGGGTTTGCTGACAAAGTTGATGACGTCGAGGCGGAAGCCGTCTGCGCCCTTGTCGAGCCAGAAGCGCATAGTGTCGTGGACGGCGTCGCGCACTTTGGGGTTCTCCCAGTTGAGGTCGGGTTGCTCCCGGGCGAAGAGGCGGAGGTAGTACTCGTCCGTCGCTTCGTCGTATTCCCACGCGCTGCCTGTATTTGTGGAAAGTCCCACTGTCAGTTATCAAGTCATACAAATCGTAAATCCCAAAGCTCGAGGACAAAAAGTAAAACGGCTGCTTTGAAGGATGCTGAAAGACTGACCCTGGAAGTGGGAAGCCCAGTTATTGGGAGGCTGGCGGTTGCCCTGGGCGTCGTACTTTGGCTTGCGCCAGATATACCAGTCGCGGTAGGGGCTGTTCTTTGAGCTGCGAGACTGTTTGAACCACTCGTGCTGGTCGCTGGTGTGGTTGACGACGAGGTCGAGCACGAGCTTCATGCCGCGCTCATGTAGCTTATCCTTGAGAGTGTCGACGTCGGCGACGGTGCCGTACGGCTCGTGGATGGTCTTATAGTTGCTAATGTCGTATCCCTGTTCAAAATTCCATCGGTTAGTCTGCTGTCGAATCTGATTTCGATTTTTACTGTCTATATGAGCATGGCCTACGGCTGCCCACAGATCCAATCGGAACCCTATGACGAACTCGGGATAGGAGCCCAACTCACCATGTCAATCTGGGGACTCTCAAAGATGGGGCACAACCACACAATGTCGACGCCAAGGGACTTGAAGTGGTCGACGCGGTCGATGATGCCTTTCAAGTCGCCTACGCCCGAGCCGGTCGAGTCTTGAAACGACGCAGGATAGACTTGGTAAACGGAGCTCTCTTTCCACCACTTGCGGAGCTGTCTCTTGGGCGGTTGGCTGCCTGCGCTGCCCGCGACGACGTATCGAGCCATTGTCAGCGATCTAGTGTTGTAGATTTACGAGGCGAGGTAAATTGGGTGCTCTCCGAGCTTCGAGGCTAGAAGCTGTATGCCGTTTCGGTAAAAGCGATCACGTCGAGATTGGAATTCTTTCCACGGCTGTCTTGGACGCACGCAATACAGCAATTGACCTGAGACCAAGAAAAAAGAAAAAGAAAGAAATTCTATAAGAAAGAGCCTTGTGTCTTATACGAATGAGGGGTTCTGCGAAAGACAGAGTCGAGGCACTTTTAAATGTACAAAGCTCGGGCTCTGTGGTAAGAAGTGGGAGGGGAGCTGTTTGGTTAAAGCAAGCTTGGTCCGTTGGGGCTAGCGAGAGTTTCTGCGAGTAAAGAGAGGTCCCGGTGGCCAATTGGAAGAATTTGGAGATGGAATTGTAGGCTGACAAGCTGAGTAAGGCGAAGCCAAGTACGACGTTCCAAGGGCCAATGCTCATTCAGCACGAGACACGAGACAAAGACACAGAGCTCTCGCGCGCGCGGACTGGTTTGTACGTGTAAGGAGGAGAGAGAGGTACGGATGGAGAAGAAGATCGGCGGGTTGTCACAGCCAAACTTTTTAGTTACTTGGCTCTCTTGCCGTGGGGAACGATTTGATACGCGGCACACGGGGAAAAAAACTGGAGGGATCGGAGTTCAGGCGAAAGAAGCGAGCGAGACAAGGACAAATGAGGTGATGAGAGGGAATCGGATTCTGAGAGCTCACCCCCTCCCCTCCCGAATCGGAGGTCGAATGATTGAGCCTGTGGGCTGGGCTGCCCCTCCAAGGACGTCTTCGTCATGCGGGGCAACTTTTCGCTGGGCTGGGGGCGGGCTGGGTTGCGGAGGTTCCGCTCTGCCCGCTCTGCGGTAAGCTTTCTTATTTTCTGTAGTGGTAGGGGAGAAGACACGTGGAAACCATGAAACAGACGCGCGGCGAAAGGCATAGCTGATGTAGATATACACGCCATTACGTTCTGTCGTGTTGCAGGTTGAGAAGGTCATCTCTCATGTGTAACATGTGTAACCTGCTGCTGGAAGCATAAGGTAGGGTAAGGTAGGCAAGGTGCGGTGGTGCCGGGACCCTTCCCAGTGGATGTGGCCCCGCCGGCGGTGCTCACGAGCCACCCCCGATCCCGTCTCCGAGATTTTTGCCGATTCCACCGGAAGAATCCACAAGGGTTTTCGGCTGGTTGGCTTGACCTTTAGTGGTCCGGAGTCCATTGCGGTTAGGAATCCGGAAGAGGATCTAGAGGAAGTGCGGCGATGGGAAAGAACCGGGCTCGCGCCTTTTTCAAAGTCGTATACTTATGCTATGGTACAACGCCAACATGCATCGAAGAAAACAAGGCGCTTGAACAGATATAAATAAGGTTCTCTTGATTAGTGGGCGTTATGAACTAATAAAGACCGATTGCTAATACCAAATCAGCGCTCTGAAAAGCATCCAGACCTCAACAAATCGGAGCTAGACCAATATCTTTGACCCGTGGGTGGCACGTCCCCAAGCTCTACTGAACTCCTTTTCTCAATATTGGAAGATTCCGAAAGGAATTGGTTATACTCGACACGGAACTAATGCATTATACGACTCTGTAAAAGTGTCAAGTTCAGTTGAGAAGACAGAGCCATTCTCATCCCTTGTGTGAACTCCAAGGGTTACGATACGCCTGCCCCTAGAAGACAAGCCCGGAGTCTCCACCACCGCGATGTAGGCCGGCCTGGAGCCGGAGTGGATTTCCGCACGGGTAATACAGGGGACACGGGGCACGTAGGTAGGATGCTGGACTCGGGGACCAAACGGATCTTGCGGATGGCAGAAGGCGCCGGCATGGAGCTGATGGTTCGCACATGGCCCTCGTCAGACTGCTGATGAGAATGGAGCGGTGAAGCTTGGGGCACGTGAAAGACTCGCCAAGAGCGGGAGGACATCGAGCTATGCTGTTCAGTAAGCATTCTAGGCACACGTGGATCGAAGCCAGCCTCCACGTCAGAATGTCGGAGGCTAATTCTGCCAAGTCTCACGAGAAGCGCCTGCCTGATGCCTCAGGGTAGGTAAGCTCACACAGCGATTATTGACGAGCGCGCGCTATAGCTAGCACCTTGAATCGTGAAACTGCGTCGCCGCCGGCGACAGACCGGCCGGCTTTCGACCGCAATGTGCGGACCAGCATGGTACAGGGGTCCGTCAGTGTCTCCAAAATCTCAGGTCGTGGGCTGCCGCTATTATGCGTTTGTAGGTATCTCTCTGCGCCTACTCCTATCCCCCAAAAGGATCAAATACTCCGTATTGCATATCCATACATAACACACTCACAGCATCTACTAATTGCTGGTTCGTTATACACTTTTTTTAGTATCTGTATCTGTACAGTGGAAATCTTTGGAACTACAACGATGCATTGTCCCACATGCAGGGTCCCCAAGTATGCCAGCAGCTGCAGCGCACCGCGCCGCACTCGCAGGTTGTGCTCCAACGGGTGAAGACTCCGAGTGAAGAGGCCATTGGTCAATGCCGAGCAGCTGTCGCATGTCTGACGTAGTGGGGTTTGGAGGGGTATGCAATATCATTGTCCGATAATATCTCCGCAGGCGGGGGGTGCGGGGCAGCATTTTTTGGAGCTTTCATGTGCTAGAGGAGAGGAGAGCGAGGACGGAGGATGGAGGGGTAAGGAGAAACATGGAAAAGAAAAAAAGTAGATGAGACACAGCGTGAGAAATGTAAACAAAGTATCTTATCCTTCCTCGTACTCCCAACTCAGAGATTGAAGTGACGACGCCGACGAAGAAACGACCGAGATCTCTCCTAGATACCCTAGCCTGCACCGAAAGAAGCGACATCACAGAGCACCATGGCGTGGGAAGAGCCGAGAAAGACGGGGATGCAGTACCGCCGCCTGGGCAACTCGGGACTTCACGTCTCGGTGCTGGGTCTGGGCGGTTGGTTGACGTACGTAGCTGACGTTCTTCTCATATGATGCCAAGGACCTTTTGCGCTGACTGGCAGACAACAACAGCTTCGGCGGCCACGTTGGGAATGGTATGGGCCGGGACAATGGCAGGAAACCTTCTTTTGGCCCGTCGCTAACGGTTCCCCCCGAGCAGAACAAACGTTTGCGTGTATGAAGCAGGCCTACGACCTTGGCATCAACTTCTTCGATACCGCCGAGAGGTGATTCAAAACTCCGTAGAATCCTATGCAGCTGCGGCCTGAGTGAGCGGAACTAGCTAACCACGCCAATTTGCATTTGCAGCTATGCGGGCGGAAACTCGGAGATCATCATGGGCCAGGCCATCAAGCAGTTCAACTGGAACCGTAACGACATTGTCGTTACAACAAAGGTGAGCAAGCTGAACCAAAAGGCCCTGTATCACTGTATCAGTGGCAGGTAAGGCAAAAAGTTCTAACCTGGTGGGGAACAGCTCAACTGGGGTGGCGCCAACGGAGAGGTCCTCGTCAACAACCACGGTCTCTCCCGCAAGCACATTATCGAGGGTCTCCGCGCGTCCCTCAAGCGCCTCGACCTCGAGTACGTCGACATCGTCTACGCCCACCGACCGGATCGGCTGACACCGATGGAGGAGACAGTCCGCGCATTCAACCATGTCATCGACAAGGGCTACGCCATGTACTGGGGCACGTCGGAATGGAGTGCCGACGAGATTGCCGAGGCGTGCGGTATCGCCAAGGATCTCAGAATGATCGCGCCCGTCGTTGAGCAGCCCCAGTACAACATCCTCGAGCGCCGCAAGGTCGAGTATGAGTTCCAGAGGCTGTACCAGCGCTTCGGCCTCGGCCTGACCGTCTTCAGTCCCATCAAGATGGGCCTGCTGAGCGGTAAGTACAACGACAACCCTGACGCGCCCCCGGCTGGAAGTCGTTTCGCGGAGGGCAAGGGCGATAAGTTTGTCAACTGGGCCAACAAGGAGTGGTACGGCAACGACGAGTGGAAGGCACTGATTCAGAACGTCGTCAAACTCAAGGTGAGTTTTGTTGTTTATCACTCCGGGTTGTCAGCGGCGCCCGTGACTCGGCGCGCGCGTGAAAGCTGACGGCAACACCCAATCAGGTTATCGCGGAGAAGCTCGGCGCGACACAGTCGCAGTTGGCCCTGGCGTGGTGCCTCAAGAACCCCAACGTTACCTCCGTGATCACCGGAGCATCGCGGCCGGAGCAAATCGTCGAGAATGTGGGCGCATTGAAGGTTCTGGAGAAGCTGACGCCCGAGATCATGGTCGAAGTCGATGCCGTTGTGGGAGAGGTCAAACTGGACCCGGCAAGACAAGATTAGAAAATGGCGTGTTTTTTTCTGAAATTGTGTTCCTGTGCGTTTTTTTGGGTGGCGTGGATTACTGGCATACCATATCTGGGAAACAACGAGAGGTTCGGTACAAAAAAAAAAAAAAGGCAAAAATCTTTACCAGCTCGATCCATGCTCGGCCACGTCCAGGCCCATGTGATGGAGTGTTGGACTCGCTCTCTTACTCGCTCTAGACCATTTCACGGGACGCTCGTGGTAAGCACTTGTTCAGAGGAACTACCTTCTAGAAGCTGTGGACAATACTCTTGAGTAAAAAAAAAAAAAAAAGATGTGGCAACTTGGTCTGACTCCGCTTCGGCATATGGGCTTGTGCTCCGCATTGGTTCCCAAAGGATGCGATGGGATGACCGGAAAGCTCCTCCCAAGGCAATATTGTCCAGACGGGATTGACATGCTTCGAAAACAAAGGACAGTTGCAACCCCTCGAACCAAATGTCTTGACTCGGGAGCCCACGTAGATCTTCAGGGACCACAGAGGGTGTAACAACGCATCCTCTGGCCGGTGCTTCGACTCGTCGATGAAACTTCGTATCGCGTGTTGGTAATATTAGCTCGTAGGGTCATACCAGGCTTCCAAGCGTGTTATGCCAGCTGATGAGTTCAGATCTAGACCCAAGAAGGTTATCGATCTTCCTGTCGTCGTTGCGCCTCGCGAATCGTCCGACAGGGAGGGTAGATGTTTGGGCATAAGGTAGTCCGGGGACGGAAAGGCAAAACCTACCGAAGGTACTTTGTCATTTTTTTGCCATTCGCAACGACTTGGCCTTGCAACTTCGTACAAACAGAGTTGAATTTGACGTGCCTTGATCAACATCTCAGCTGACATGGTGAGCAAAAGTCGACCAGTATGAAAGAATCGCTTGGCTATCATGATCATTGCATGGCACAAAGTTGTAGCAGCCGTGCCGATGCATCCTCCTCCAATGGTGCATGTGCAGGTGTTGTTGTTGTTGTTGTTTTTGTTTTGTTGTTGATATTTTTGGTTTCATTATGGTTGTCCTATGGTTGTCTGCTTTACATATCTCGCATGACCAAGACGGCTAGAATCATGAGATTGGGGCGGCTTTGATGACGGCGAACTCTGCAGCAACGACCCGTGTTCGAGGTGTGCTGAAGACAAGAATGAGGTTGTAGGCGCGGCCTGTCCCTTACGTAAGAGCCGGTGGTGGTGCACATGGTAACGCAGGAACGGGAAGAGGTGCATGGATGACCAGGCAGAGTACATACGTAGCAGAGGCGAGGTGGTGTTGGGTGGCCCGAAAGCAACGAAACGAGGGCTCTCCACTGAGCGCATTGATCGCCGTCTGGCGGCATTCGTCTTGTCCATAGGCAAGACATGTGGTGTCACAGAGTGGTAGGCCGGGATAGGTGGTGGAACCGGTTGAGATTGGCGTTCTTTGGAAGCAGACGCCAGGGTAAGATACGAGTATAGTAGCGAAAGCGACGAATTTGGTTTTGGGTAGGGTGACCGAAGGCTCATGGTTTGAGATAGCTACAGCCACAGCTTGGTGCAGAGATCGAACTGCCAAATAAGATGTCAGTATCAGGCCATATTGACGCTTGGAGGTGGTGCTGGGAGAATAGAGTTTGGGCCTTGAACGCCAAGACGATTAGTGCCGTGAACGATGGTTGGGAGTGTGGGAGTGCAGCATTGACAGATCAGCAGAGTTGCTGCGTAGAACAAGTAGAGTGGTAGAAGACATGTGGCCAAGCAAGGAGGGAGCTCGCTGGTCAAGCTGTGTGAGGTGCTTGCTTGGATGACTTAATGAGCGAGCAGGGTCAGGCAGCGGACGGAATGTTTGTGGGCGATGGTGCATGGGTGGGTGGGCAAGGTGCAGCATGCAACCTAAACCAGCCATAAGGTAACGGAACTGCGTCCGTGGAATGACAAGAGTGCCAAGGGCCATGGTGGGAACTTGGGGAATTTAGATTTGATATTGACAGAAAAAGCTAGCAACGCAACGGGGTCGTGACTCTGTCATCTAATTGGCAGACGGGCCACGTCCGTGAGTGAGGCTTTCGATTTTGACAGTCACCTCGCGACTGACGGACGCCAAGGACGGGCGCTTGACCGGAGTCGGGCATGTATCAAGGTGGAAAAGCCGTCAAGGACCAAGACATGGCACAGAGTAGATGCCATGATTAGGGTATGGATATAGATTCGAATACAGGTTGAGTGATAGTAAGGTAGAGCTCGAGACTTGCCCAACCGAGCAACGCCATGGTGCGATTACGGGCATGCAATTATAGCAACACCAACAGCAGCAGCTTTACAGCAGCAGTGCTGAGATGGAGTCACTGAGCTGGACCTTGCGTGCCACGCTATGCTCAGACGAAGTGAGACTGAGGTCAGGGGATTGAACAGCCAGACAGGAAATATTGACTGAGTAAGGCGATGCCCCCGTACTTGGTACATCGAACACGTGTGCTAAGAGGTCCATGAGTCCATGTTGAGATGCGAGCAGGAGGCGGAGGCCCAGTCAAGTCTTTAGAGACAGAATCTCGGAAATCATCTTGGGCGGTGAGTGCCAGAGTGGTAAGGTAGTCTTTTCCCCTGCCAGCCCGTTCCTTGGACGGTGACACTGACCTCTGCTCAGCTCTGGCGTCGCGAGTCGCGAGTCCGTTCCTTGCGAGGTGGACGGGTGGACGGGCGGGGCGGGCGGACAGTTGACGTTTAGATGTGCTCTCGGTGGAAGATGTGGAATGCGAACGGACGATAGGACGATACTTGAGGTGTCCCAGGTTGCTAGCGGGAAATGGCAAGTCTCGAGAGGGCCTCCCCCCCAAAACATGTCAGCCACCCACAGCTAAACAAGCCGCAAACCAACCATGGACTTGCCCTTTGCCCCACCCAGATTAGGTGTCATCCCTGTCCGCTTCCATCTACCCGACATCTTGTGCAGGTGGTCTGTGAGCATGTTCCCAAGGTAAGGTACCTGGGCACCTCACTTGCTAAGTATCCACGCTATCTCAGGTCAGGTAGATACCTACCCCATCTCACCTCAGTCAAGATGACCTCAGACACTAAATGGAAGATATTGTCACACACACCCGCCACGTCGACACGCAAGGTATCGGGGAACACTTTGATTTTCTCGAACCGAGGGCAGCGAAGCTTTGCCTTGCCGAACGGCGCAAAAGACGATGCCTTGGACGTGCATCGACAACACGTGGTTTTTTATATCTCAACGCGTGATTCCAGCGTCTCGACATAAACTCATTTGTTGTCTTTGAGGCATCCGGCCCTTGCTACTCAATGCGACGTGAGCCTCAGGTAGGAATACTCCGTACTCAAGGTAGGTAGCTGACAGAGGTGAGGTGCCTTGCGCAAGGCGAAGCGAAACAGGACAAGGGTCCGCAGAGGGAGAGAAGATATACGGATGTACCTATGTAGGGCCTGCTCACACTTTGATTGGATTCCAGGTTGGTCTGAGCGACACTCCTGCTACCTTGCTTAGGAACTTTACTGGTAGCCTGTAGGTGCTTAGCCCGGCTAACCGCTTACCCACTCGCCCACACGGCCACTCAACCGCACCTCAGCGCGCTACGCCTCCGGCAGAGCGACGGAAGCGAGTCCTGGTGCGGGTCTAATCCCCGGACACGCCCACCTCACGTTATGATTTCAGAATACCCAAGCGTGCCAAAGTAGGTGGTTACTTTTCAAGATATCTCAAAATGTGTCAGGGTTTCCTGGGATGGAGACAAGGAATGTTGGTGCTCCTTTCAAGCGTGGCCTCGGAATGAAGTTCCGAACGAGATGGACATTCGACATTGGACATTCAGACTCGCTGATTCCTTTCCACCGACACTGACATCCATTGTGGTACCTGGGATTGTCACCTTGGGGTTGTACGGACGGGAGGCATTGGGATAGAATTGGGACGGGAACGGGCCATTGGTCACTGGATGCCTCGCCTTGCCCTATGTGCCTATCTACCTTACGGTCTACCTCGGGATACCTTAGGTAGGGACCGAAAGCACTTCCCAGCGGTGGCGCCAACACAGAGCTCGGGGGACACTTTCCCGTCTGCACACTCCGTATCAACACACCATACTATGTATGCCACGCCACACTCATTGGATACACACCACACAACTTAGTTTGGTTCGAGCTAGGTACCAAAGGTACCTGGGTGTCTTCTCAGTGCTCACCCAGCTCATCTGTCCGTTGTACAAGAGCTAAGGTAGTACCTCACCTTTCGGCCCTACTTTACATTACCTGCTATTCTCGCTGTCACGCAACTTCATTTCTTTTTGCCTCCTCGCATCACAACTGACATCAGCAGACGCGACCAGACTGCGGAAACAGCCATATTGCCGACAGACCGTCTTGCCGCCGTTCCGATTCCTTCACATTCCACCTAGCCGCCACAAGCATGATCTAATCGCATCGATATTTCCTCTGCCTCTGCCTGCCCATTCTCAGAACGGCCTCGACCCCTCGTTTGGGCTGTGGGCTCTTGGTTCTGGTCGATCTCGAGCTGTTTTCGTGCCCGCTTCTCTACGAATAAACTACCTAGACCGTCAACAACGACAGCTGGTCCCCGCTTCTCGCCGGATTGCTGGCTTGCTTGAGCTTCTCCATCGAAATCTGAAAGTGTGGTCCACACCTCACCTACGGCACACCCGCAAATATCGATTACGATTACCGCCCACTCCACCCTCGTCGTCGACGTACCCGCTTCCCACTAGGCCTACCTATTCCGTACGAATACTGCCCACAGCGCACGCTTTCATCCACGGCGTCCACCTCATAGTGTGCGGCGCGCCGTGCTGCGCCAGTTCCCTCTGTTTTTCAACCTTGTTTCCCGGGAATGACATGGCTCTGCGCCCTCTCGCGACGGCCTGTCGACAATGACGAGCAATGAGGCCGGCTCCCGCTTCAGCTCTCTCACGAGCACCAGTACCGACAGCACCCGATCATCGGCCACCGTGAGACCCTCCAGCAACCCCGTTCCATCATCGCGTATGTCGTCCATGCGCCTGAAGATGGAGGGCAATGGGAATGGATCTCTCGCAGACAAGTGAGTGTCATGTTCTTCTTCATATTCGACCCTGTTCCGGTCCGATCCCCGAATTCCCATGACCCCCAGTCGATCAATCAACCACCATTCACTCACGCACACACACACACACACACACACACACAAAACACCAATTCTCATCTCACTCCATGTGTCTTGTATTCGTACACCAAGCCTACACCAAGCCAGGCCCATCGGCGTTGGGGTTGAGTTGAGTGGTCTCATTATCACTTTCACTCTCTTTCCCCCTCGCTGCGTCTCTGTGTCTCCACGGCGTGGACAGGCCGCAAGCCGCGAGCCGCAAGTGGGTTGTTGAGTCGTGAAGTGGTCCTGGCGCTCCCAGTCTCGTTGCTGCTTCCCAGGGCCGCTGTTCCCTGCTGCTCGTTGGTTCAAGCTGTCGTCCCGCAGCTTTTTCCCCTGCGTGCCGTCGCGGCGTCCCGAAACCCAGTCCCAGTCACAGCCCCAGGCGAGACACAATTGGTGTACGAATAGTGTCTAGGACTCTAGGTACAGGCAGCCTAGGCTCCCCGCCCCTGGGCGTCCTCCCCTCTCTCTCGCACGCATTTTATTGTCCCCCTCCAACAGCAGCAGCCCATCGACCCTGAACCAACAAACCTCATCGCGTACCTCGTACGTTCCCTGCCTTAACTCACCCCTCCTTCCCCGTGCCCCCCTCGCCTCCTTCGCCCCGGCCCAAGGCAAGCTTTGTCGTCGTCGCTTCGATGGTGGAGCTATCTGCTGTTTTCGATCCCTTCAGTCCAGCCCTCCAGTCCAGCCCTCTAGTCCAGCCCAGTTGCAGCTCTTACCCAAGACAAACTCATTCTCCTACCGGACTAACAGCTTTCTCTCCCCTTTTCCTCCGTGTTCCCTATTCTGATTGACGAATGCACCCGTAACTGACTGGTCCCTGCGTTCCACCCCCCGTCCAGATCTTTCATTAGTGATTTGAGTCCAGCCGACCCGTCCGCCTCCTCCCCTTCTGCCTCTGCGCCGCGCGGAGCTTTGTCACCAGGAACACCAAAGTCCAATGCCTCGTCCTCTCGCGATCATCGCCTGAGCGACTTCGGCAACTATCGTCGAGACCTGGCCGTCCTAGAGAACTTTGGCGGCCGTCTGCCCTCCAACCAACACAATCCTCCCACGTCCACTCCCTCCTCCGCCTCTCAGATAGCTCCCTGGATGTCGCCATCCAACGGCGGTGCCACCGCATCCACGCCTCAGAGCCAGCTCAATACTACCTTTTACAACGATTCGAGCGATAACTTGTCCGTCGCCTCGCAGCTCTCGCCTGGCTTCCGTCCGCCTACAAATCGCCTTGCGCCGCAATCTTCTGGCAGCCAAGATTCGCCTGAGGTGGCATACTTTGAAGACGAGCGAAGGCCTTCTCTGGCTAGCATAACAACGTTGAGTAGTCAGGGCTCCAAGACGAGCGTTCGAAGAGGTGGATTGCAAAAACTGCAGGGTTTCTTTGGGGAGGAATTTCCTGGGCGAGACGGTTCCGAGAGTAGTTTGCATTCGAGTTCTGGCAGGGACCGCTCGCGGTCCTACAGCCACAGCCGCCCTACCAGAGATCGCAACTACTCTAACGCGACAGACCATGCACGAGACCGAGAAGCTTCGCCTTCATCATCGAGACCAAGAACGCCTGTACCGGCTCCTGAAGTTGTTCCATTCCTCTACCAAGAGGCTGATGTGAGTACACGCTGCTTGACTGATCCCACTCTCGACGATTTCTTTTGTTGCGAATATCCCTTTCACTCATCCGCATTCCGCATATCCGCATCCTTGGCGCCGCTATCTCGCATACGGGAATTGCGCCGCATCAACCCATCGTCTTATCTTATCTCTTATTACCCCTTCTTCCACCCGTCCTGTGTCGAGTCAAGACTGCTAAATGTGCTTCAAGGATATTGCCAGGTTCGGCGAAGCCCCAGTCAGAGACATTTTGAGCGGTCCCGACCGCGAACGTTACATGAACAACGAAAATCCCAACAACCCGCAAAATCCACCAAAGACGTCCTCATCCAACCGCTCCGGCCACTCAATCGTGCATCTTCCCGGCCACCACCACCGCCACAACAGGAGCATTGATGATGGCAGGGCACTGCGACCAACTGTAAGCAGGGAAGATTCGCAGGCCAGCTTGCAAGTACAGCAGAACCCCCGAGAGCGTGGTGGTTCAGCAGCCACCGTCATGTACGGCTCCAATCGATCCCGCGCCCAAAGCCCGACGCCGAGCGGCGGCTACTTCAGCTCGAGACATGGCACTGTCGATGGCTCGACGTCGCCTGGCGGCCAGCACCAACACCAGCAGCAACAGCAACAGACGCCGCACCACTCCAAGAGAAATCTACTGCATCGTCTACGACGGAACAAGGACAAAGATGATGGAACGTCTAGATTACGCGACCTCCCGGGCTCGACTCGGTCATTGGCCGCCAAGCCTTCCCGACCAGAATTCGCTAGACCCGAGCTATCACCTTCAACCTTCCCGCTCGCCTCCTCTGGCACCGAGCCTGGTCCGGACCAGGACCCTCGACTGGCAGCGTACAACCAACGAAACCAGACCTTCAACAACAGATTCCCATTTTCCAAAAGCAAAGGTCGGCAACAACGGCCGACAGACACGCAAGATGAGCAGATCGGACCGACCGATAGGCAGCCCGGAGCACACAGCAATGCCGGACTACTTGGGGGGATTATCTTGGATACCAACCTGAATGATATGGACGGTATTCTTACGAAACCGCAGCCTCTGACACCCATGGATAACGGCTTGTTCTCAAACATTAGCGATCTCGAAAAGGTCGAACAACCCCCTCCAGTGCCTGCGAAGCCCGATGCTGTCCTTGGACCCAATGGGTCTTGGAACGCGCCGGACAGCTGGGCTGTGCGCCGTAACACAGAGGACACCACGTACCAGGCGCCAGACATCGACGATATTGGCAGTCCACCTCGGCCCGACGAGAAGATGACACCTTACTGCATTCGCATCTTCAGATCCGACGGGACGTTTGCGACTTTGTCCATGGCCCTTGATGCTAGCGTTACCGATGTTATATCTCAACTTATTAAGAAGACTTATGCGACGGATGGGCTGGAGAATTACCACATTATTTTGAAGAAGCATGACTTGGTCCGGGTGCTCGGTGCTCCCGAGCGACCACTTTTGATGCAGAAGCGGCTGCTGCAACAAATTGGGTACGAGGAGCGGGACCGGATCGAAGACGTTGGTCGGGAGGACAACAGCTATCTGTGCCGGTTCATGTTCCTTTCCTCGAGAGAAAGCGACTTCCACTCCGTCACGAACGACCTCGGACTTGGACGCATACAGAAGTTCAACCACGTCGACCTTGCCGGCCGCAACCTCATCACAATTCCGATCTCGCTCTATTCAAAGGCCTCTGAGATTATATCGCTAAACCTATCACGCAACCTTTCCCTGGATCTCCCCCGCGACTTCATTCAATCATGTCAAAACTTGAGAGACATCAAGTTCAACAACAACGAAGCACGACGATTACCACCCAGTCTAGGCAAGGCGGCAAAGCTGACGTACCTCGATGTGTCTAACAATCGATTGGAACAGCTGGACCACGCAGAACTAAACGGTCTACAGGGCATACTCAAGCTCAACATAGCCAATAACCGCCTCAAGGCCCTTCCGCCGTATTTCGGTGCCTACAGGGCTCTGCGGAACCTCAACATCTCATCCAACTTTCTGGACAAGTTTCCGTTGTTCCTTTGCCAGGTGGAGACTCTCGTTGAGTTGGACCTCAGCTTCAATTCGATCAGTAGTCTACCTAACGAGATCGGGAGACTGAGAAACTTGGAAAAATTCGTGATAACCAACAACAGGCTGTCAAATGCGCTGCCCGAAACTTTCAGCGAGTTGCAAGGCCTCCGAGAGCTGGATATCAAGTACAACGCCATCACGAGCATCGACATCATCTCACTACTGCCCAAGCTAGAGATTCTTTCAGCAGACCACAACAGTATCTCACAATTCATCGGCAGTTTCGACAGGATACGGAGCTTGAAATTGAACTCCAATCCGATCACTAAATTCGAGATCAACGAGCCAGTTCTGACATTAAAGATGCTAAATCTATCTCACTGCCAACTCGCGAGTATCGACGAGACATTCAACATGATGTTAAACTTGGAGCGTCTCGTGCTGGACAAAAACTACTTCGTGTCCCTGCCACCACTCATCGGGAACCTAAGCAAGTTGGAGCACTTCAGTATTGCGAACAATAACGTAGCGGAACTGCCCCCTTCCATAGGATGTCTTACGGAGCTGCGAGTGTTGGACGTGCGGAGGAACAACATCAGGAAACTGCCGATGGAGCTGTGGTGGGCGAATAAGCTCGAGACCTTGAACGCATCTTCCAACATTTTGGAGAACTTCCCCAAGCCGGGCTCAAGACAACCCCGGCCGTCGGGCGAAGAAGCACAGACGCCATCTGCTGTGAACAAGCCCAACCCAATGGAGCGCATCGCTCAGTCTCCGTTGGAAGAATCACCAGATGCATCCAGGAGACCGAGCCAGAACTCGTCGTCAACCTTGCTGAGCGTTGGACCGTCGCCTGTACCAGGTGGTGGCGACAGGAAGAGCTCTGTGGTGTCAGTATATGGTAAGGGTGGCCGAAAGACGTCAGTTGTGTCTAGGTCTACATCGCAAGGCACCGTGCCGCCATTACCACCCTCTGCAACCGCAAGGAAAGACTCCAGTCTGTCATCAAGGCTGTATACGACTTTTGCCGGATCTTTGCGCAACCTGTACTTGGCCGAGAACAAGCTTGACGACGAAGTTTTTGACCAGATTACGATGCTCAACGAGCTACGCGTCCTCAACCTGTCTTGGAATTATATCAACGACATGCCACAAAGATCAATCAAGAGCTGGCCTCAGATGGTGGAACTTTATCTCTCTGGTAACGAGCTGACGACGTTGCCGGCTGATGATCTTGAAGATGCCAGTCTGTTGCAAGTGTTACACATCAACGGGAACAAGTTCACCAACCTGCCGGCCGACATTTCCAGGGCTAAGAAACTTGCGGTGTTGGACTGTGGCAGCAATTCCCTCAAATACAACATCTCCAATGTTCCGTACGACTGGAACTGGAATCTCAACCCGAACCTCAGATACCTCAATCTTTCGGGCAACAAGCGCTTGGAAATCAAACAAACCGCAGTTGGTCCGACGGTGACGAACCGAGAGTCTCTCGCCGACTTCAACAGGCTCTCCAACCTGAGGGTACTAGGTCTCATGGATGTCACCCTTACACAACCTACGATCCCGGACCAGAGTGAGGATCGCCGTGTGCGAACGTCTGGTTCTCTTGCCGGCCATCTTCCATATGGTATGGCCGACACGCTGGGCAAGAATGAACACCTTTCAACCATCGACCTTGTGGTGCCTCGATACAACTCCACGGAGACCGAGACCCTGCTTGGTTTGTTTGATGGGCAGGCTCTCTCCAGCGGAGGCTCCAAGATTGCCAAGTATCTGCATGAGAACTTTGGCCACATCTTTGGCATGGAGCTGAAGGGCCTCAAAACGCGTCTCAATGAGACACCGGCGGATGCTTTGAGGCGTGCCTTCTTGTCTCTCAACAAAGATCTTGTCACCGTGGCCATCCAACACACCGAAGAGCGTTCGCAAAAGACGCATAGGGGCTCTGCAACGCCGGTCGTGTTGAGCAAAGAAGACCTCAACTCTGGCGGTGTCGCCACCGTGGTCTATCTTCAAAACACTGAGCTCTACGTCGCCAATGTGGGCGACGCTCAAGCTATGCTCATTCAGACAGATGGCTCCCACAAGATCCTCACGCGGAAGCACGATCCAGCTGAGCCGAGCGAGCGACAACGCATTCGCGAGGCTGGAGGATGGGTCTCTCGTAACGGCAGACTGAACGACCTGCTTGAGGTTTCCAGGGCCTTTGGCTATGTAGACCTCATGCCAGCGGTCCAAGCTGCGCCCTACGTCAGCAATTTCACTATCCGCGAGCAGGACGACATCATTCTGATTGCCACAAGAGAATTTTGGGAGTACTTGGATCCCGCTCTGGTGGTTGACTTTGCGAGACAGGAGCGCGGTGACTTGATGAGAGCATCGCAAAAGCTTCGTGACTTGGCCATCGCCTATGGCGCCACCAACAAGATTATGGTCATGATGATGAGCGTCGCCGATCTTAAGAGGCGGGTTGAAAGATCAAGGCTTCATCGTGGCCAGAGCATGTCTTTGTATCCCTCGGGCGTACCAGAAGACCTTCAACAACCCCTGCGAAGAGGCAAGAGGAACAAAGCCGACGTTCTCGATTCAAGTCTTCAACGTCTTGAGGCTGAGATTCCAGCACCGACAGGCAACGTTTCTATCGCCTTCACTGATATCAAGAACTCGACTACTTTGTGGGAGATGTATCCCGCTGCCATGAGATCTGCAATTAAACTGCACAACGAAGTCATGCGTCGGCAGCTGCGGAGAATTGGTGGGTACGAGGTTAAGACTGAAGGAGATGCATTCATGGTATCTTTCCCGACAGCCACATCGGCGCTGCTCTGGTGTTTTGCTGTGCAAATGTCATTACTGGATGTCAACTGGCCTGCCGAAGTCATCAACTCTGTTTCTTGCCAGGCACTTTACGACAAGGACAACGCCTTGATCTTCAAGGGTCTCTCAGTACGCATGGGCATTCACTTCGGCGAAGCCGTCAGTGAGATGGATCCCGTCACGAGGCGTATGGACTACTTTGGTCCAATGGTCAACAAGGCTTCTCGTATTTCGTCCGTAGCTGATGGTGGGCAAATCACCGTTTCATCTGACTTCATCTCGGAGATCCAGCGCTGTTTGGAGAACTATCAGGACACGGACAGAAACGGGTCGATTGGGTCCGAAGATACCTTTGATGATGACCAGATGGGTTTGGCAATCCGAAAAGATCTGCGATCTCTCAGCTCTCAGGGTTTCGAAGTGAAAGAAATGGGTGAGAAGAAACTGAAGGGCCTCGAAAACCCGGAAGTCGTGTACTCCTTGTACCCGCATGCACTTGCGGGCCGTATCGAGCATCACCAACAACATGAGCAACGGACCGAAGTTGACAAACCGGCCATTCTCCAGGCAGGCAGCCAGTTGGCTTTCGACACCGAATCTATCTGGGCTTTGTGGCGCGTCAGCTTGCGACTGGAGATGCTGTGCAGCTCTCTAGAAAACGTGTCTGGCCAGGGCTTGCAACCACCCGAAACAGAGCTATTGGAGAGAATGAAACACCGAGGAGGTGAAGTCACGGAACGGTTCCTGCTCAATTTCATGGAGCATCAAGTGAGCAGAATAGAGGTAAGTCCTGGGGCGAATTTTTTGAAGAGCCTTAGCTAACATGTGCCAGACCTGCGTAACGAGCTTGTCGCTTCGTCATATTTCTTTCGGCAGCGCACCATTGCAACAACTTGAGGACATGCGAGGTCCTATGAGCGACATCCTTGACCAGGTTGCCAAGCAGATGGCCGAGCTAGCAAGGTACAAAGCACTGTATGGCGAGTTGAACGACATTGAAGACGACGGGAGCGAAACGGAATGAAAGGCGTGGCGGGAGTTCATTTCATGATTCCCTTGCTGCAGCCTCACATATAGTATACCTACGACGCGAGACAGCATCCTGTCCACAACAACATTAACAACGAGAACAACAACAATACCTGGATACCCGTTCCTTTCGAGGGGGAACATGGCGCTCTTATATACATAGTCCATTCCTGTATCATGTGATTACGACACCCAGACAATTTCAGCGAGCCGTAGTTCAACAACTGCTTTCGGTATGTCATTGCTTCAGACAGCTGGTTTACCCAGGGCTAGGCTAGTGAGCAGCTCCGACCGGCCGGTCGTGGAAGGCGTGTTGGATGGAGGCAAGGCAGTGGATAGGCAGACGGTTGGTTTTGGTTTCCTATCGTTTAGGGGGGTTTTACGACAGCAGCATTGGAGAGGGCTGTTTTGGATGGGCTGATAACCAAAAAAAAGTGTGATTTGATTCTGGTTTTGGGGTTGGCAGTGGCAGTGGCGACGGTTGTTGCTGTTGGACAGAATTGAGGCCTACACTGGTCTCTCGTGGTAGGATAGTGTCTGCTTGTTTATTGCACAATGCCGGAGCACACTGGCGTATTAACCGAATGAATACCAAGTTTTGCCCTCTGGATCTCGAGCCATTCGTCTTTAATGTGCACCACTCGCTACTGTCAGTCATCATCCCAGGCACCAAAAGTCATGAGCTCAGATTTGACCTCGGCAAGTTATGCCGATTTGTGGTACCTTGGTTCCACTGACATTGGATACATTCTCACAGAATATCTTCTATTATGAAGACACTATGCGGGCACCGGCGCCACCAACATCCTTAGCCCGCTTCATAATCCGTACGCGGGGCTCCATGCGCGGACCAACCCACCAGCCGCCCGTCCACCCCCGTACTATATCACGTACCCGCTTCACCACGAGCCCTCTGCCCAGGATTCTGCCCTCCCCTTTCTCATCGTCACCGGCCCCAGCCCCGGCCGATGATGTCTGGGAACCCGGCTTCAGCACCTCGACGCCGGCGTACCCCTGCACGACACCCATCGTCTCCCATTGGCCACCCTTCACGGACGCCGTATCTTCGGCGAGAACGAAGTCGAAGCGGGACCAGAAGCCCGGGTTGGAGATGACAGATTTCTCTTCCGTCTTGTCGAATGCGAGGATCGGACCGGACGACATGCCCAAAGATGATGAGGAGTCCTCGTGGAGGGAGGACTCGAGGGCGCGGGAGTGCGGGTTCTTGGGCAGACCGACGCGGTTCTGGGTGAAAAGGGTCACGCCAGTCATGCAGCTTAGTACATCAGTGTGGACGGTCGTCACGGAGCTGGAGGGGGACGCCGCGACGAGGGCGTGGAGCTCGCGGATGGCGTCGCCGCCTGGATAGTTTAGCGAGGAGAGGAGGAGCATCCCCGTGGAGGCGGCGATGGAGGCGAGGACGCTGAGGCCGAGGACCAGGGAGCCAAGCGTGTATAGGGCAGACTTTTTGCGGCGGACAAAGATGAAGTTGGCGCCCTGGGCGGCGGCTGCCGTCAGGGGCGGGACGACGTAGAAGATGAAACGGGCTTCCTTGTGCGGCTGGATGGAGTAGATGGCTACGAAGAGGAGGGGCGGGATCACCAGTCCGGCGGCGGAGTGGACCGTGCCCGGCTGCGCGAGAGCCAGCGGGATCAAGAGAGTGAAAATCAGGGGGTTAACGAGCAGCCGCGGAAGGGCGGAGGAAAAGTAGTAGTGCCAGGGGGAGACGCCCCAGTTGGACGAGGAACCGAGGACGGCGTTGTAGTAGAAGCCCCAGAGCTCGGGCCAGAGGGGGCGTTGCCAAAAGTACGAGTCTAGCGGCACGGATACGGCGATGGCGACGGCGAAGGAGATGAGGAAAGGGCGGATGAGCTTTGGGATCGTGAGTTGGCGAGTGAGGAGGAGGTGGAGACCTGTGGTTGCGAGGAGGAGGGCGACTTCTGAGCGGAAGATTGCCGCGGCGAAGACGAGGAGGGAGATTGCGACGCGGAGACGCGGGAGGTGGGATTGAGGGGATTGGTTCGGGAGGAGATTGGCCGACGCGAGGGTTGCTGTAGATTCGTTAGGATTAAGGGTGGAAAAAAAGGGGGAGAGGAGGGGATGAAGGAGAGAACATCTTACTCAACGCAAAGGCAAACATGTTGGGCAACGTCCTCGACGCGTAAAAGACGATGTGAAACTGGCTAACGAGCAACAGAACCCACCACCTCATGACGCCCATGCTCAGCGCCTTGCCCAAGCTCCTCGCAAATACCACAAGGGCGGCGGCGTTGGCGAGGCCCAGCAGCCCGCGGACGACGAGCTGGGCGTGGGCGAAGCCGACGAGGTTGACGAGGGGCCCGCCGAGGCCGGCGAGCAGCACGGCGCCGACGAAAGTGCGGGGCACGGCGCCGGGGAAGTCAAAGTGGTCGTAGGTTGCCCTCAGCCGGGCGGCGACGTCGTGGGTAGGGGTGCCATAGACGAGGACGTCGTGGGTCGCTTGGATGTTGAAGGATTCCTCTACTTTTGTGTCTGGGGCCAGGAGGAGGTGGAAGGTGATAAAGGCTGGTATGAGGCCTAGTAGGGCGGCATCTGCAAGTCTTGGTTAGTCCTTTTGACGGCACAGAGATTGAGTTTATTTAGATCACCTAGGAGCTTCATCGTGATGAACCGGCAAGGGGGCACCTGTGATGGTGCGTTGCAGAAAGCAGGTTAAGCAGAAGGGTTGCTTGTTGGTTATTTCATTGCTTGAATATACAACAGATCAGGATGAAGGAATAAAAAAGAAAGATGGGGGATGAAGAAGAAGAAGAAGAAGAAGAAGAAGAAGAAGAAAGCAACTTTGAAACGATTTGCCCTGTGCTTTCTCTCGCCTCATATGACCCTCAATTCTTGCTTCTCACGATTTCCGCTCCTGCACTGAAAGAGCAAGTGTAAGCTTGCGCCTCGTGCCTTGCCAATGCAGATCAAAATGCCATTGAAAGGGTGAGCTCTGAGCGTTCGTGCACGGCCCAGCACCACTCAATGCAAGCTAGCTGTCTTGCTGTACCCGCCGCTGCTCCGCCCTGCAGTGTGGACAGAGTGACAGATTCCGCTAATAATCCTCCTGCTGCCCCAGGTGCCTTCGCAGGGGTTCTCTTCGGAACGGATCAAATACGCCTCCCCACCTCTTACGGCATCCCTCTAAGCTCTGGACAGCGCAGCGCAACACCTTCACCACCTGGCTTCAAATCAACAAAGAGTTTCTCCATTTCCACGCCTACACTCCACATAGGACAAAACAAACCACCGTACTTTGGCTAGTCCGGGGCTTTCCAAAGCCAAAAGAAACCCGCCAAGATGTATATTTTGGGAAATTTTCTCTACAGTCCGTCGCAACTCCCTTACCCCTCGACACTTCGTCCAAACATAACTGACATCGGCGTTGTTCTAAGTCGCCGTCCTCCTCATTAATGCCATCGCCGTCCTCTCCGAAGACCGCTTCCTCGCGCGCAGTACGCCACGTCCCTTCTCTTCCGCAGCACATATTCATTCTGCGCCCAGCATTCAGACAACTTGACTAACAGTACTCCTTGCGCAAACAGTCAACCTATCCCCCTCCTCCTACGACCCAACCTTTGGCGCAAGCACCGACGCAAGCGTAAAGGCAAAGATCATCAACTTGATCGCCAGCGTACGGACGCTGATGAGAAGTACGGTTCTACCTTCCACGCCGGTTCTGTTTCCACCTTTCCAAATACTGACGCTCCTCCACTGATTAACAGTACCCTTAATCGGGATCAACACCTTGATCATTCTGTACGAGCTTATCCTCGGATAAGAAAGAGGGAGAGAAAAGAAGATAAAATGACAAGGCTGCTTCTCTATTATGCATCATATATGGATTGAATTTTTTTTTTCACAGCATGGCATCATGGTAACGAACCGGCGTTGAAGGAAGGAGAGCGGATGGGGTTTTAGTTGTCAACCTCTCGCATGTGTACCTGAAAACGTCACGGGCAACGAAACAAAGCTCGGTGACTTAATATAACATTTAGGTGGTGAAGATGCTGCCATTGTGTCAATCAAGTATTGGAACTATAGAGCGTTTCCGCTCTTGCTTGTTCTCTGCTGTTTTTAGTTGACCACACCTTGCGCTATCATACAAACCAACGAGGTGCCAGGAGAAAGTAACTATCGCTCAAGATGCCTTCATCACGCGTATCCCTCTTTTGCATCATCAAGTGAAAACCATTATCCAAGCAAACCACTCCATGCCTGGGTATCTGCCCATACCGCCATCTCCCCCGTCCCCAAACATCCATGTAGTCGACGAGGGTCCACGCCTAAAGCTAGACGTGCAGGCTATCTACCGTGCAGTACCGTGCTCTTCACTCCGTCTTTTTTTAATGTATGTACTGTCATATGCCAAAATCTTCAAATGAATCGTTAGAGCCTCGTGCGCCACTTCATGACAGCAGATTGCCACTCTTCTTCCGGCCAAGGTTGAAACTGAATCGCTCCTTCAACTCTTTAGGCTTCTCGTGTTGACTCGGCATCCCTTCTGAGCCGCTGTGCCCATTCTCGGATGGTTGATGTGATTCGCCCTTGTCCTTATCCTTGCTGAGGAATCCGAAACTCTTCCTGCTCATCGATTTACTCGCCCGACTGGATCGGTTGAGGAAGCTGCCTGAGCTTGACGATTCCTTCTTGGTGTCATCTTCTGCTGATTGCTTGCTGGCCTTGATAGCTCTGCGCAAATCTTCGTCTTCTCGTACACGAGCCATTCTCGCTCTGGCCATGCTTTCTCTGCGTTCCCTATCTTGGAGCTTTTCCTTGTCTTTCTCGGCTTGTTTCCTAGCTTTCTCTGCAGCTTCCTGCTCCTTCTTATCGCGCTTCTTGTCTTCCTTCGACTTTTCTGCCTTGGCCACCGTGTTTGACCTGGCGAGGCTAGACGAGATGAGGGGGGCAGCAGGAGTGGTTGACGTATCTAGTACCCGGGGAAGCTTTTCGGGAGGCGGAGCGTCCACCTTGCCTGGGGCCGTCTGTGCATGTGCCAGACTAGGCAGCGGCTCACGTTCCTCAATAGGGCTGACTGGCTGCGTAAACTGTTTCGAGAGAGGAGTCGTGCCGTTTGGTTGGCCATTTTCGTGAGCAACATTAGCGGCCTCGCTGGCGATTTTGACCTCCTCCAGACCTTCAGCCTCCATCTCAGCCTGCACCTTCTCGAATGTGGTTTCTTGGTAGAATAGGACATATGCGCAGGCCATGCCAGGTTTGTCTCCAAAGAAGTTCCGAACAAAATGTTTGTCAACCGGCTCCACCATCTCATCGTCAAACAGAACCCAGCCCCGGTCTTTCGTCTTGATCACCGATACGTAGTGGCCGTGATAGGCGTTGCCGCCAATGTGAACGACTACAGCGTACAGTTCGTAAAGTCGGTCAGGATCTTCTGCGTCGTCGGTAGTGTTGAACATACGCAAATGGTACGGGTAGACGACACGATGGAAGAGCTTCTGCAATCGACTGTAATCCTCGGTATACTTGAATCGCTTTAGGTGCAGTGCGAGAACCTTTGGTAAGCGCTTAATCTTCATCCGCTTTTCAGCCTCCTGAAGTCCACCGCAATGGTCGCAGTGGAACTTGTTGCGCTCACACAACATCTCTTCGGCGGAAAATTTTCGCAGGCAAGACGTCACTGACGAATGCTCCTCCAGGTCGATGGACAAGTCCAGGAATGTCTCGTCTCGTTGCGAGGCCGTTTCGCAGGTCAAGCACTTGGTTTCGGAAGTCAAAACACCCTCAAATATATCGTGAACCCAGCCGGTTCCGGGAGATCCCACACCGTTTGATGGTCGGTTCATCAGACTAGCTGCGCCGAGAGCGTTCTCCACTGACTGGACCAACCCGTCCTTGTTCTCAGCCTGTCGCTCTTGAATCCGTTTGGCGTTTGCTTCAACGTTGGAGATGACGTCGTTCAGAACGAGACCATAGAACTCATGGGCATCCTGGTGCATCGAATTGCGGAACATCTCGTTATCTCGTTTGAAGATTTCTAGGAACCGTTGTGGGCTCAGCACACCTGTCCTGGTATTGCTCTCGATAAGGGCCTGGAAAATGTCCTTGAGACCGGTGAAGGTGCATTCTTCCATGCCGTAAGCGGACGGGTTTTCCTGCGCCAGTTCCAGAATCGGGCCCTTGATCATGGCATGTTTCTTCTTATACTCTGGCGAATCAGGTTTGTCTTCAGGCCGTATACCTGGCGCTCCTGGTGGAGGCATTCCTGCTGTGATGGCCTGCCTGCGCTTCATAGATTCCGATGCACTTAAGCCTTTCTGTTTCGCTCCGGGCGTATTCGGGGGCTCTTTCGCGACTGGTGGCCGGATCGTTACGTTCACCTTTGATCGAGTTCCGTTCGGGGTATCAGTGGGCGACAGTGGAGGGTACTTGACGACGTGGTCTCGGAAGGATTCTGAATAGAACAATGCTTGGACAATTGAGTTACAATAACTACAGGCAAGTCAGCAAAACAGACGAGGCGTGACGATGGCGTCGCATACCAAGTGTTACCAAACTATATGTTCAATCAGCATTCAATGTCTCGGGAAAAGCGGTCGCTAGGCCGGCTGTGGCTTCATAGGCTTACATTCTCAAGGCCGAAGAACTTGTCAGTTCCGTCCTCCCTCAATGGGCCGGCATTTTGCAGCATCTTTTCCAAAGGAGTGAGCTCCGGCGCTGGCTCTTCCTTGACCTTTTTGCTCGGCACATCTTTGCTCGTTGGGCTCGAGGTAGTCTGTGTAGGACGAAGTCTGTTAGCGAGAAGAAGGCGAGGGTAGCAGCACAGCGGGGGGGAGATATTGTCATGGTATGTGATTAACAGGGCTTAGTTGAAGAAATGACGAAAGAAGGGAACGTACATTGCCCGCGCTCTTCAGTTTATTGAAGAAGCCAGCCATGTTGGCGACTCGTTGGGGTTGTGGACTTGGCGTAAGGGTGATGTCTGGGCGAGACAAGCTCACGACGGCCGAGCAGATGGAGCGAAGTTTACCATGCGATGGGTAATTGAGGCCGTGATGAAGGAAACACTGCGGACAAGGTACGGGGAGAGGTATTATCGTGTATTCGGGCGGATTCGAGAGATGCGCGCGATTATGGCGCAGAGGAGTAGGGGTCGTTTCCGTCGGGGATTCGGCCGAAGATACGGGTGGTCTGTGGAGGCAGGATGGGGAGAGGGACGAGAGGTGTCAGGGAAGATTGGATGCGGACAACGGTGGTAGAAGCAGCATTTGCCAGGACACAGACTCTCGACCCAGCCGTGTTGGCAGCAGAGAGAGAAGGCCGTATGACAGACAATGTGGGAAGAGGATGAAGAAGAAGAAGAAGGAAGGATTGGTAAGAGGCGTAGTACTCCGTAGCAATTGCGCGGGCCACAACGAGGTAGCAGACGGAGCCCTGGACGGGATTTGGACGTTGGACTTGGGGTCCTGGGGTTGATGGGCGCAAGTAGCAAGGAGGATGGAAGCGAGTTTGTGGGTTGGGAAGGCAAACGAGACCAGCAGCAGCAGCAGCAGCAGCAGGCGGCAGCGACAGACAGTGACAGCAAGAGCGACTGCGAATTTGGACCTAGGACACACGGCGCCGGGAGCGACTAGGTAGGTACTCCAAGTGGTGGTACGGAAAAGAAGGTCACTTGTTAATGGCGAATTGCGAGTGGTGGGGAGGACACCGAGGACGAGGGGGCCCCACCCAGGCAACCCACAACCTGACGGTGTCAGTGGAGGGAAGGTGGAGGTCGGTGGAAGGAATCGAAGGGTTGCAGCGCACAGAAAGGGGGCTAGTTCGTTCTCGAGTGCAGGGCTAGACAGGCCAGGTATGGGGTTTCCGACCAGGGGGTGGCATGGAGGCTGGAGCAAGTTTGGCGTCTCTTTTTTATGGTCTGCTAATTCTTTCGTTTTTTCTACTAGTGGTCATTGGCACTTGGTATAAGCGATGAGGGGAGAAGAGGAGGAGTGAGGAGAAAAGTGACGAGGATAGATAAAAAGGATGCGTCAAAGAGAAGGTGTGGCAGGGCGACAAGTGCACCAGGTACTTTTACTACCTACCGTACCTTCGATTGGGAGAGGCTGGAGACCCGTGATCCGGCCAAGGCACGCCGCACGCCGCACGCCGCACCTTACCTACCCAAGATACGTACTGCTGGCAGGTAGTGGACTGCGAGTGGGCCGCATATTTGACCTGGACATGACAGACGGTAGGCCCGACAAAACTGAGCCCACGACGGACGGAGATAACGGGCAACATGACGCTATCTCTCCTATCTCCTCTCACACCTGCCGTGCTCGGTTCCTCAGTGTCGTCAAGCCGGGGTAAGACCATGAGAGAAAAATCGGGGTCGGCGTTGGGTGCGAAGAAGCGAGGAAGAAGGGCTGGGTGTTCCTGGCGGCGCTTCCAAACAACGAGGCGAATGGAAGACAGGACGTGGGACACTGCCTGCATGGTGACTGACTACACTAACACTTTACCCGACAGCGACCGACGGCTTTGTGTCATCGTCTCCTGCCCGCCCTGTCGGCTCCAGTCATCTGTACAGAGTGTGTACCGTACCTACCTTACCTAAGGTAAGGTACCTTCCAACTTATCAAGTATGAAGTTTCCCCATTGGATCACTCGTAGTCTGCGTTCCAGCAGTTCGTGAAACTGGCTGCACTTTGCGTGTGTCAGACGACATGTTTCCTGGTCCAACCCCCCCCCTCCTAGTGGCTTCAATAATCGCCTTGTCTCTCTGGCAATACTCTACGGCAATATGGCAATCCTCAAAGCGTCCTCATCCATTAACTTTGCGATGCCATAATGCCGTTGACTCCGTACGCAAGGTGAGGTCGCGGCAGCCAAGCCAGCCTGGGCGCAAGATAAGCTCAGCCTCTCGCACACAGCAGCATGCAGAACAACCCTTCCATAACATGTTGTACCATAGGGCGAGGCTTTGTGCTGCAAAGAATTTTTGCCCAGGCGGGAGCCATCCGCAAGCCTGAGCCTCCTCCCACCAAAAATTACAACAACCGTTGCCGATATGCCTTCCGGTATTCACCTGCCTACTGTAGATACGATTGATTTCGACTTGTCCATAAATAAACCACGGCCGGCCGGCACTCTTGTGGGAGAACGTTGCAGATAGCGCTCAAAGTACCCTTCAAGTGGCTTCGCCCTCCTTGTCCATTTCCCACCAGCTCGCCCAGCCGTCTGGCTGACCAACATCAAGGCACGGAGCACTTAACAGCCTGCCATGCGAGCACCCTCGCCCTCCGCACTTTGACCCACAGGAGACCAGACACCAGATCGGCCAGCTCCATGGGCAGCAAGGTCCCTGTCGAGTCGGTCACGGTTCGCCCAGCATCCAGCATCCTGCTTGTCGGTTGGTCTCTAGCGTACAGAATACATCAAGCACCCATCCATCCAGCTTCCGGCTTCCAGCCACCACCGCGGAATAGACTGTGGAGATGGAAATGGAAATCCAAGTATCCGTACGGATACATGTCTCAACTTGTCAAGGCGGCTCAAGTCCGAACCCTAGAACTCCACGCGCCCTGCTGATGGAAATACAGTACGATACGAACATGAGCCAGGGATACATGTTCACCTACCACCCAACTCACCGTGGGAACGATTCCCCGAGCGGACTGATTATCTGAATTGTGAGACAAAAGGCCGCATTCTCATCCCCCCGAGAAGCACTACCAGAGAAGCCCCATTGTCCGGCATCGGTGCATGTTCACGCCCCGACACGACGGTCCGTTGGAACACTACCCTGCGTTGGTTGTTGGTTCTTCTTTCCTGGTCATATCCGCTCTGCCTTTCCAGTCGTCGTCCAGTCGTGGCGCTCGCTGTCGGCCTGACCTGACCTAGTTATCCTGCTTTTCTCATCTGTCTCGCACGACTGATAACCTTGGTTTTAATGTTGTCGATGGCACCGTTACATCCGCCATCCCCCTGATTGGAACCCGACCCCGACGTAGGTACTTCATCTGGAAGGCCTGCCACTGCTGCTTAACGGCTCCCGTTTTCGTGCCAACGACAGCTGCTGGAGAGGATCTGCGCCGAACATGCTCTTTTCCTTAGACTTTGCACGTCAAGTCGTCACCAGACCACGACCCCTAATTCTGAACAACAGACGACCGCCCGTCACCTTCGCCTAGACCTCCGCCTCAGATTCGTCCTTATCCTCAGTATTTCAGTCTTTCCTTTGTGTCTGAGCACCTCTGGCGGGCCGCGGCACAGCAGCACCCGAAGCATACGCGCTACGTGGGGGCCGAAAGTCGCTCGGCTTGTCTACCACATGTGTCCAAAACAGAAAGTCCCGAACATAGGCGCTTCGGGTACGAACATGGCATCTCAGGCCGACTATCCCTTCCCGGCATGTCTCCGAGGTCGTGTGGTCATGATGAGTATGTAGACCTCTGCTGAACTATCCGTCCAAACACCCACACGTTCTGTCTCAAGGGCAAATGGGCAGCGCATTGCTAATTCAATCGTTATTAGTCAGTCTTTTGCTTTCTGCCCATCAAACCTAGCCACACTTTACAAGCCGAAGCTTTGTTGCCCCTCAAACGCCTGTTACTCAATCGGGTATGAGGGCGCTCTCCAGGCCCTTCTATTTGGTGGGAAAAAGCATCCGACGGCTTACACATCTATGGTCTGGGAACTACAGCACCTTAGCTGCCGACTTCAAGTTCGAACTCGTCCCCGCACCCCGGGAAAAGACGCGTTTTCTCTGAGTCGTAGGTGTTGCAGACTGTGGCCTTCATGAGGATTGATGAGACGGACACCGTCCAGGATACCTAGCAGGCTTTCAGCGACCTCCTCTTGACACGGCTAACAACCTTGGTCTGATAGACCGCCACAGTCCCTGTAGCGTTTGTCTTTCTTTTCCGGCTCCCCGTTCCCTGCTTCGAAGTTCGAAGGCTTGCCGTAAGAGCATGCGACTCGCACAGGAGCGACTCGGTGAGTGACCCAGGCAAAGCCCCGCCCTCTTACAGGTTGCGAGTCGCCAGTTGCACACCAACGCAACGTCACCCGCCTTACCTGAAGATGGCAGATTCACTGGAACGCGCGTGGGTAAACACCATGTAACGGCTGGTTGGCCCGTCATGTCAGACCAGGGCCACTTACCGTAGCACTACCTCCAAATCCCTACACAGGCCTCGCCGCCGCGTTGGATCCTTTGGTGCGGTGCAGCCGCCCCGAAAGACATTGTTGCATCGCGGTTGGTGTGAGAGGAACGACGCTACTGGTCCGATTCCGTGTCTAGCTGTACGGGGGACGACGCCGTTGCTACCCTCATCCACGCTGCTGGACCCGAGCTCATTCGTCGATTCGCTTCCCGTTCTTATTCAGTCCATCTTAAGACATGCCTCCCGCCTTTCCCCTCCGACACACGCCGAGTCTTTTCACAAACGTAACAGTGGAGCAAAGCTCTGTCGATCTGCTGCTGCCTCCCCTTGCTTCAGCATGTTCCTCCCACCAGGCATGAGGAACGCTATTACACCTGGCTAGCATCTATGCGGGGGATATCCGCTCGACACCGACACAGTGTCCAATCGAACCTGCCTACCAGCATCACACCCATTTGCTTCTTTGCTACACCCTCGTCGCATCCATGTCCGATCGAAACCACTCCATCCTCCCAAACCTCACCTCCTCAACAACTCCGCAGCACCGACAAGTATCATCCATGGGCGGAAAGAAGTTACTCCAAGTGCACCTTGCCACTTTTCGACGAAAAACACGAAAACGAAAAACACACTCAGGAGACACTGCATAATTGCGGGTGGTTAGTGCGGTCGAGGGAGAGGGGGATGTCCTACACTAGCGCCACTTTGCCATTGTGTTTGGAGCTTTCTTCGTTGTGCCTCGCTCGTGGTGTGGCTTGCCTTACTTGGCTTGATCCATCAAACATCTTTGGCCAACAAGCACTAAAACTAGGTATCCGTAGAATGTCGCAATCAACCTACTTGTGGGTGCCACCTCCAGAACCACGCGTGGTCCTTCACCAACCAGGTGCAGACCACAGGCGGTTTGTGGTAGGTCAACGCCCTCCGCACGCTCCCGTACCGGCCCGATTCCCACGAACTTCTGGAAGACATGGACGTCATGCCCAGCATCCATCGGCACCGTGTCCCCTACTGCCGCTCAAATAGTGTGATATGGCTAAATTGTCTCTATTCGACGCTCAGCATTTGCTGAGCAAGACTTACTTGGTCTTGAGTGGCTGGGCACGGGGGTCGGAACAACCCACTGAGTCTTTTACTTAAGAACAGAGACGTTCACCAGTGCCGGCGCATGACTGCCCGGAGCGTCGACTGCGCCTAAATTCGGACGGCTAAGTTACTCTGCAGGTGGAGTGGGATCCCGCCCCGGCGTCGCCGACGTCCGGGTCTGGACTTTTCTCATCGACTTCGAACTACGTCTTGCTATCGGAGCTCATTTTTCCTAGTGTCTTGTACGACTGCTCTGACAGTCGGACAGTATTCTCAGCCTGGCACACTGAGTTAACTGACTTGCTGTGTCCAACATCGTGGTTTTTAGCACACTGTCACTTTCTACACGATGCTATTCTTGGTTTGGCACTACGAGACAAACCCGAACGTGAATCTCAACCTTGACGGGCGGAATTCAAGGCTAAGATGAGACTTTGTACAAAATCCTTCCCACATTGTGAATGCCCTGGCAAAACCGCACGTTGGTTGAGGCAGCTGATACTTTGGAAATGAGATGAGCTCTGGAAATAGTATCGGCAATCAAAAACTTGGTTGTGCATCTGATGTCTGGTCAATGGCATTACTTACATCAAGAATGAACGAATTTCTGACTTGCCTTAAATTATCCTCACCCACCGCCAACTTGGCTTCTCATGAAATTTCTTTTCCCAGATTCCCTCATCGTCTCCGTTCGCATCACAGTTCCTCGCCGTATTTTGATTGCCCATTAGGATCACAAGAGTAGCACACACGGATTGTTGAGGAACGCCGTTTAGAGAAAGAAAAAATAGGAAGCCTGTGATAAGGAGGCTAGGGATAGGGAGGTCGAAGGGCTAGGCAGATGTAGAACGCCCGGATTTTGATATATATCGTAGGACGGAATGCAGTGCAATGACATGGGAAACGGAAGCAAAGACATGCCCATAGAAGGAGTAGCAAAACTTGATACTTTCTAAATGAAATGCTGTAAACCTACTCTCGAATTGATGACGAGGCGGATAGAGCTTACTCTAAGACCGCCAGTCCAAAGACCTGGTTCATGATCCATCTATGGGAAGGCTTGCATTGCGATACACGCAAAGAGTCTGGTTCTGAATCTTGCGCGGCTGAGAAGCACAGATTACGGTTCCTCTGATCGGGATGACGTCCCAATTACTCGATCAAAGAAGAACGTTTTGCTACCTTGGTAGAAGACTCGAAGAAGAAGAAAGAATGCACGGGCTCGGGTTGCCATCTAGAAATATATAGGCTTTTCTTTGGGGCCATGCATATGGTGGGCAAGATCCAAGGTCAATCAAGCTTCGATATGTTTGCAAAACAGACTTTCTCATTGTTACATGTTGCTAGAGCCAAGAGGAATCTCTCAAGATACCTCAAAGTTCTTACTTTACTGGCAGGCAGGTAACCCAGGTTGCGCGGGTCAAACCCTCTGTCCACCCAATCCTCGGGTTATCTCGCAACTTACTTCTTCTCGGTAGGGGGAGCCGCTCCTCCGGTGGTGGGGAAACCCATGAAGATCTTGAAGTAGTCCTGTTGATTCCATGTCAGCTTTGGTCATACTCTCACAACATGTCGTGCCACGGCCAAATCACTCACGTAAATCATCCACTGGAGACCGGTCAGGGTACCAATCATGACGATGCGGACGGGCAGACCGTTCCAGAGGCCGGAGAAGCCAATGTCCTTGTAGATCCTGCCCATTGCCGCACCAAAAGCCTCGCCCTGGGCGCGGTTCGCGTTGAGCTTGCTGACCATGACGTCGGCCGGGTGCGAGACGATGGCGCAGAGGATGCCCGCCAGGTAGCCGCTGACAAATGACACGCCCGTCTGCGCGGCCTTGCTATAGTCGGACTTTTGTCCCGGGAGGCGAGCGTACATCATCTCGACAATGGTCTCGAAGGAGGCGAACTTCATCATGGTGTAAGGGATCTGCCGACCCCAGAGCGGGTACAGGCCCTTGTAGAGGCCTCCCCACCCTTCCTTGGCTGTGACCTTGCTGATGCCGTCGAGGGTGCCCTTGTAGGGGGAGGGGATCCCGCCCTGCATGCGGACCTTGACAGCCTCAAAGGGGCAGAGGGCGATGTCGGCGATGAACTCGGCAGAGGCCGATGCAGAGAGGAAGAGGACCGTCTGGTACTTTTTGGCGTTGTCGGGGCCCGCAAGGTCGGCGTAGGTCTTGAGGTTGCATGTCAGTCACGAAGCTTCCTTCCCCGGACGAAATGAGATATTCGGCGAGAACCGTTGTTTTCTCACCTTTTTGAAGTATTCATAGAATCCGTACTTGCAAGCTCCCTGCGCGGAATAGCCCCAGAAGGTCGGGCCCCAGCCGGTCATGATGCCGCGTAGACCCTCCTTTCGGAAGATGATTCCCCAGGCCTGGAAATTTCCACGGTACAATTTCGAATCGATTTGCCTCCTCACTTTGACGAGATCCAGAGGAGTTACGGCGGTATGTGTCAAACCCTGGCATCCGGCGTTAGTTGCGTGGTCTTCAACAAGTACCGTCGTGACCCGGCGCCGGGTTCGGGGCCGTTGTGGAGACCCCGAGCCGGAGACGAGGTCGGAGACGACGGCACTCACAGAAAATCAGAGAGGAGAAGGAGGGGGACTCACGCAGGCCATAAGACCACCAAGGGTGCAAGCAGCATAGTACTTTCCGGAGTACAGCTCTATCTTGCCGCCGGCCGCGGATTGGGCCTTGGCACTGGCCTTTTCGAACTCAGCCGTGGCCTCAGCGCTGAGCTGCTTCGCCTTGCCCTTGACGTCGTCGACGGTGGAGAAGGCGCCGTAGAGCTCGGGACGGGCCTGATAGTGCGTAGGTCTCGCCATGGCTGTGGTATTGGCAGTCTTATTAGGGCGGCTGCCGGGGGCGTATGAGAAGCATTCCTTGAGTGTGTCTTGTCTGGGATAGAGGAACGACATGGTGGTCGGGACGCAATTCGTCTGGACCGGAAGAGAGGATGGTATGGATTTCTTTCTACCGCAAGGATATCTGGATGGAGAGGTCAGTCGGGAGTTACGTGACGGACGACGAAACCCCTGCGATAAGCTGGAGAGGCTGGATGAGCGCGCAATTGAGTTTCGCGATGGAAGATCGAGCTCGGAGGAGGCGCGAGATGCCGGCAATAAGCCTCTGGGACGCTGCGTCGAGGAGAGCAAAACAAAGAAGTTGAGGGTTTCTACTTACCAAGAGAGCAAGCTGAGAGGGGTTTCTAGTTCGAAGAACAGGAGAGGAGAGTAGGTGCAACGTCAGTCATGCGACACGAATGACCGTTTCCGGCGTGTGAGCGAGAGCACCTTGAGCAACGAAGACTGGTGGTCACTTGTCGAGGATACAGAGGCAGAGGAAGAAAGGGAAGTTGCGAATCTAGCTGTCGCACACACATGCACACAGGAAGAAGAGGAAGTCAGAACGGGAGAGGCTAGAAGCACTTTTATTATCATGCAAATATCATTGGGGGAAAGGGGGCGCCGGCGCTGGTGGATGGGCGGACAGGATACCTCAGGAAAGTATGGGGGTCAGCGGGAGTGAGTAGTAATTACCTTACCTCTAGGAGGATGCGCGCAGAAGTGAGAGAAGTGGAGGGATCGGTTCGGATGGTTCGGTCACGTCAAGGTCGCGGATACCTTTTCCTCGTCAATTGTTTGTTCTGTAATGCCGTTTGGACTTGGGTAGAGCTTACACGCAAGTGACCAATAACTGTTACGGAAGGCGTCGGGACTGTTCCTTTTGGGTGACATCACACTTCACAAGGGGCGGGGCGGGCTCGAAGGTGCTGTAGTAAGGTAGGACAGAAGTAGCTCGAGTGGGGCACCGGTATACGAGTAAAGGAAAGGCTCCCGTGTTATCGCGAAATAGCCCGCTCTTATCCCCGGATTCTGCGGAGCTTCGCCGTGATGTCGCTGTATCGTTTCCCGGCGTTGTTCTGAAAGCCACCAGCGGGTGTCGTAGCAATTGCCTTTCTTTCCTCTTCGATTTTCGTCGCTCTCAGCAATCTTTTTTCTGAGCGATGCTTCAGATCATAGTCTGCAGAGAACAATCCGAGAGAACGAGACGAAGATACGTTGCAAACTGACAGCGATAGAAGCGATGGCCCAAATAGGAAATTGCTTTGAAACTACACTAAAGCATCTAGGCTAACCGTGATCATGGGGACTTCCGTCAAGGGACCATGGAAGAAATTTTCATTTTCAACGGGGCATGGGAAAAGATCCAGCGAGTGGCAGACCGGAATTTCGTGCAGTCAAATCTTTCAAAGGTACCTAGGTCAAACTTGGTATTCCTTGGTATTCCTTGGTCAACTCCTCGAGATACTCTGCCAACGGGCTATTCCGTGATGCCCATCCGTGGCTGTCGCTACCTTACTCTTCAGCAGCAGAACCCCGCTGTGGGACCACTAAGGTCAGTGAGGGACGGCGGCAGGCAGCTCAGTGAAACCTTGACAAAATACCGCCTGCAGGTGGACCGTGTGCGCCTGCCCCCACCCCGGCGACATCAAATTCACGCGCAGCCGCCCCGGGCGCCCATCGGCGCGCGTGTGTGAGCAAATCCGAGACACCGACCACACTGTGGCGTTCGGTTCCTGACCTCCAAATCTTTCGACCCTGTCGACACCACCCCTCTTCTAGAGAACCCCGCGATACCCTTCCCCTTGGTGTACGTGCCGACCACGATCAGCGATACCCACTCTATCTATCTCGACTGTCGACTTTGAGTTGTGGAAAGGTTTTCCTCAAGACCCGGAAAGATTGGCAGCATTCAATAATGGCGACTCTGGCTTCCAACCCCGCCGCGGCGGCGCCATCATCGCAGACCAGCGAAGTCTCCAGTCCCTTTGTTTCAAAATGGTCCTCTCGCTACCGCGGTGTACGTGACATATCTTGATCCGGCCTCTCTTCTTCCTCTGTCTCTTATCACGGACCACAGAACCTAATCGCCGACTAACCTTTGCCCAGGCCACAGTAGAAGACATCGACCCCCCCGCGGCCCTCTCCCTGACGCCCACCGATCCCATCTCCCACGCCCTCATCTCCGCCTTTGAGCGCGACTACACCCACCTGACCGTTGTCGACGCCCACCGCGCCCTCATCGGCTACCTCGCTATCCCCCACCTCCAGGCCCTCCTCGACGCCGGCAAGGTCAAGCCCGAGGACCCCCTCTCTAAAGCCATGGTCCGCTTCCAGCGCAAGGGGCGCACCTACCGCGTCATCACCATGCAGACGCCCCTCGAGGAGCTCGAGGCCTTCTTCGCTGGCGATGGTGTCGCATCCAGGAGGAGCCATTTCGCCGTCATCACGGACGACAAGAGGCGCTTCGTGCTGGGCGTCGCGACGGTGCAAGATCTCGAAGAGTTTGTCAAGAGGAGACCGGCGTGAGGTACGTTGTCGCAGGACGGGTCTGGGAATGAAAGTTGCGCCCCCTTAGGTGGGGTGTGCAGAAAAAGCTAGGCTGGTGTCATCATCCTGCGGTCGTAACGAATCTATGGGACAATCAAACATGGTAGACGGCTGGCTGAATCAACGCAAGCATTGACGTTTCGCATTTGAATAGAGGGAAGCCTTGGGACGAAGGCAGGTAGGCAGGCAGACGATTCAACATTGCTCTGTTTTGTCATCGCGTACGTTTACACGAATGAGCATCTACGGAACAGGTTCAAGGCCTAGGAGTTGTTGAGACGGGTTCAGTCGCATTCATGCTCTCAAAAGTCTACTCTTCGTTAGGCCACATCGCAGCCTACGATCGTAACAGCATCATGCGCCTCGCAAGTGCGCATGGTAGCCAGGATTTGTGTTGTTGTAGAATCAACCCCATCATCCAAACGCAAAGTAAAGATGTTCCAGAAACAACCACATGTGCTAGATTTATGGAAGGTAGTCGTAGACGAGGCGAAGCTCAACTCTCTTGCCGCCCTTCTGAACGAGCACATTGCGCGTGTAGCGTCTCTCGCCCTCGATGGTCTGGAAACCCCAGATCTGGGAGGCGGTCCAGCCGTTATCGATGCTCTCGACGTGGCTGTAGAGGTGGCTCTTGCCATCGGGACCGGTAGCCTCGGCGTCGCTCTCGAGCCAGCCCTTCTTGAGGAATTCGTCCTCGATCTCGGCAAGGGTCATCCAACGGCTCTGGCCACGAACGCTGCCGAACATCCAGTCGGAATGCTCACGCCACTCGTTGTCGACACAGCGCTTCTCTGTGGTGCCCTTAAGGCCGGCTGTGGCGAACTGGTCAATATCGAAGTGAGTGACGGGCTCGGTGCCGGAGCCGGGAGGAGAGGGCGGGGCGGTGTACTGCTTGACGTCGAGGGTGACAGTGGCGAGGCCGACGGCCTTACGGGTCATCCAGCCGATGCCCTGGAGGGCAAGGGCAGGCTCAGGAGAGTCAGAGAGGGTTTTGTTCTGTTGGTGTTGTCAGCTTTCTTTCTTTGCGCGCGTTTCTGCTGTGCAATACTGTTTAGAACAGAGATGAACGTACCATGACCCACTTGCCGTTGAGATCGGCGATCGTCTTTGTGGCGGGAGCAGCCATTGTGATGTGATGTGTGAGTGCGCTGAGTATGTGTCGCAATGGAAAAATGACCGGGAATATATTCAGTGTTTTATGGACGGAAGCTTTGGCAAGCTTCACACAGGTGTGGGAAGGGAGGTGAAGGTTCGGTGGCGGTACCTTAGGTCGGTGGTCGGAGGGGTTGCAAGGAGGTAAATGTGTCAACGGCCCCGCAGAGGTGAGATAGATATAGGTCCGCAAAGGTGACTCGTTGTCAAGCCAAGCAATCAGTCACTTGAGGCAGGTCCAAACTATGTTTCAGGTAAGCACCGTCTCCTTTCTGTTCCCGGATTGGCGGTTGAATAAGTAAGAAGATGGAGAGAAAGAAGCTGGGGTGAGCAACAAAGGTGACGCGGAATTTGACTCCGGACGCAAGGCGCCCAATCCGTTGGCGCCTTCTTATACGCCGCCTGGTCCAGCAGCAGCTTTCCAGCCAGGTCAAGTCAGGAACGAGCTTGGCAGTGCTGGGGGGGTGGACAAGCGGGGCGGGGGAGCACTCCTCCCCCTCCACACTGCCACGCTTTCACATGGACGAGAGAAGCTCCCTCTCTCTTTCTCTCCTTCGCAATTGCTTAGCCGGCCCCGAATAAGAGAGCAGCTCTATCACACGAACGCACTGCGACAGCTGAGAGGTCGGGGCCGAGGCTCATGAGACAACCTCCATACCCGTACCCCAGACAATGGTAACCTGGAAACGGGAACGCGCATGAGATCATGACCGCATAGGTGCGACCTCCCTCCCCAGAACTTCACACGCTTGTCAGCATTTCAATCGTCCTCAATTACTCAAATCTGGGCATACCACCTTGACCTGCGCGAAACGAACGGCCAATGGCGGCAGCAGCCGGACACTCCCAACCCCAATCTGGTCGCCCAGCCCGGTCCGAGTTGCGCCCATATGGAGATAGTACGGGGGGCGTAGCCACCCGAATGACTTTCTTCAAGACTACCAGAACATCAACCACGAAGATGCTCGCCCCCGTCCCATCCACAACCGGGGTGTCACTTACCACTCAAACAGCCGAGAAAGGACAAACCCAGGGGTGAATAGACACCGCAAGCTCCGAGGCTCAAGGCCGCGCTGAAGAAGAAAAGAAGAAAAACGACCAACCGGACTCTTGCACGGTCTTCATGATGCAGGGCGGGCAAGGGCCATTACCTAAAGCAAGCCAAGGTAGGCACCCTATGCATGACGGGTAAAAAGCAGACAGACGCAGGGACAGGCAACAGGCACAGGCGTGCAACTCGTCCGAGAGTTTCAACACTGCTACGCTTGTATCCGTACAGCAATGTCGCATACACCAATAGGTTCTTCCCTCAACTCCGCCAATGACACGACTCCAATCACGAACTCGGTCCCCTCTTCCATCCCGTCTCGGGCGATCAGGCGGGAGATGCCACCCCACGGCTTCGGCAGACTTTTGGCCACACTCGGCCTTTTCTGTCCAAGGCATGTGCGGGACGGACGCTTAGTTTTGCCCGCGGTGGTGGATTGGGACGGGTCAAGCAAGCGAGCTGCATCCTTTTTACAGCCAGAACTCTCTCTTTTTGCTTTTGCGGGTTCATCTCCATAAAACCTCCCGCAAGTCTGGTGCATGCCATCAGTTCAGCACGCCCAGCAACAAAATAAGCTGTCGATTAGCTGTTACAAAATGATATTCGTCCCGGGTGCGTCATCGCACAACAGCATCCCGTCAGCGGCCATCTGCCTCAGCCGGGTTCCACTGCAGACATTGACAGCTCGCACAGTAGTGCCAGCGAGCCAACCTCGACCGAAGTCGTCTCTGTTTCTTGAATCCAAACCAGATCGACCACTAGGGATAAATAAGGTGTTTTGAAGTCGTGCCACAAGCGAGCGAAGCGCGAAAGGATCCGAAAAAGACTCGCTATTCGACGAATCGTCTCGAGGGTGAGTCCCTGACCGGGAAGACTCCTGTGCCCGAGAAGCGGACCGATGGACGAGCTCCGAGTCTTAGACTGTTGGAACTAGCAAGCAGTGCAGCGGAGGGAGGTCCCTCATTGAGGCGGAGCCATAATCTAAAAAGGTAGGCCGCGCAGGCAGGAGAATCCCAGCTCCGACCGGGCCACAAGATGGCCGTCCGCGACGTTCCCTCCCGCGGAAAACCACACGTGAGAGCTCACTGTTTCAAGAAGCCAGCAGGCAAACCCCTGTCTGTAACAACTCAGGTACAGCTCCAATATTTTTCAATCCCTCAAAACTGCGCCCCAACTTGCCTGATTTCGTCGTGGATTACTACCTTCAGAAATGGTGCCAATATATATGGCTGGAGCTACGAAGAGTAATAAAAGGAAAAGGATATCTTGGTTATACAAATGCCCCAGCAGTCCCCGCCATCGGCTCCCGAACGCTGCTCGCACGCAGTGGAGTTTCCAAACAAACGACTCGACTGATATCATGGCGCTCTCGCTTCCGCAGCCCGCGCCCGCGCCGGTGTCCCCTCCGTTCTTCGACTCGAACCCGGCCCGAAAGTCATCATCCGCACGCTTTTATGCTTCTAGTTTGTTTCCGTCTGTGGGTCATGGCCACCAGTTCATTGTTTTGTAGCTCTCAATCACCTCCTCGACCAACTCCTTGGTCAGCTTGGGCTTTTCGTACTGGAAGCCGACGACCTGCTCTAAACGGTTGCCGTCCATGCTCAGGTCCGTATCTTTCAATAGTTCCTTTTCCATAAAGGGCGTAAGAGGTCCCGGCCGCGCAATACCGGCCTTCTCGAGAAGTTCGGCCCAGGGCCCCATGAGCTCGTCGTTGACGTCGTCGACGACGCTATCCATGTTTAGGCGCGCGAATGTGCTGATGAGTTGTCCCTGGAATCCCGTCTCGATCTTGAAAACCTCGCCAATGATCTCGGCCATGGTGCCCTGGGTAGTGATGCCCTTGTCGACAACGTTGAATGTGGGCACCTTGCCCATGGTCTTGATGTCCCAGTTATCCTTGCCTTTGCTGTACCACGTCGTGATATCCCAAAGTGCTCGTACGGCATCTGTGATGTGTACGGTGTTCTGTCGGAGGCCCTTGTCCCACAACCACTTCATTTCGTTCTCTAGGTATTGATAGACACGGGCCATGCATAGTCCCGTTGCGACCCATTGCGACGCGTACGGGCCGTACACGTGTGCTAAGCGGACAATGATGAGGTTCAGTCTAGAGGAATTGTGTCGTTGAGTCAGCTTGGTAGAGACACAGCAATACGCCCTCATACAGAGCTCTAGGAACGCTTGGGGGCGACCGGCAGAATACATACCCTTCAACCTTGGCCAACTCCTCTTCGGCTTGCAGCTTGTAGACCGCAATTTTGCTCCAAGGCTTCAGCTTGTCGCCCTCTTTGCTTGGGGACGAGTCGGATTTGTAAACCATGCCGGTGCTGAGCTCGATGAATGCCTTGACCTTGCGCTTGGCTGCCTCCTTGCCAACGGCAAGTGAAAGGCCGAGAGAGCGCAACTTGTAAACCTCATCCTCTTGCGAATATCTCGTCTCGCCGCCGCAATTGAAGACATAGTCCCACTGTTCACCGTCGGGACGGTCGAATATCTTTGCTAGGGCTTCTGCAAAAAGGCGAAGAAAGAACAAGAAAAGTCAGCCGAGAGCGACATCACAGTGGATTGTCTGGGGTTTCTGTCGGTTGGCTACTTTGGAAAGCCCAAAGGTAGAAGGGAGGGGAGGGGCCGGAAACAAGGTGAAAAAAGACATGAACAGTCGTGAGAAGTGGACGGGAAAAGGGGGGGGAAGCAGCTCATGTCGTCGTTCAGGGCGGGTGACTTACGTTCTCTGCTTGCATCGGCCTGCATGAATTTGCTGCCGGCGCAGGCGTCCTGGAACTCAGGAGCAAGCCATGCAAGTTGGGGCAAGGCCTTGTCGACGACGCGGACCTCTGATGCGAGGTCATTATCGTGGATGTAGCGGGCCAGGAAGCGACCGATGTAGCCCAGCCCCCCGATAATCAAGACTGAGGGTTTCTCGGCCATGGTGAAGGGAAGGGGGAGGGATTCGGGGGCAGAGGCGGTCGAGAGGTTGTGCGTGTGTGTGCGATGTTGTGTCGTAGGGGAGGAAAGGATATGACAAGCGCAGGTTGACGAGTTTGGGGGCAGAGGGGTTGGAGGTGGTGGTGCACTGGGCACTCGGCGGCAAGGCGGGAGGTACCACTGACGGGCAGCGACGGCAAAGACAGCGAGGATAACGGACGGCGGGGTTGACGTTTGTTGTCCAGGTTCCCGTTAAGTTAGGGGTGATGTGCCCTGGCTCCTGGGACTGAGAGTTGCAGCACCAGGATTGCGCGAGTTTAGTGTAAACCACGGTGTAGCGGGATGGATGCGGGCGAAGCTTGGCAGGGGGGTTGAGGGGGCGGCGGTCCAACCGGGACAGGTGGTGGGAACCAAAGGAAGGCGTCGGACGCAGAAAGCAGAGATGGCCTTGGCTAGGTACACATTACACGGATACCAGGGCAGCCAATGTTGTTGAGGTCAGGTGGTAGAGGCAGGGAGATCAGTCGGAGGGGGGTGCGGAGAGGAGAGGAGAGCAGAAGGAGGAGGGGGGGAGGAGGAGGAGGAGGAGGAGAAGAGGGAAGTAGAGGAGAAGGAAGAGAAGAGGACGGACGAGGGGGGAGGATAATAATGACAAAAAGGAGGTTGCAAGCTGGATGGTGGTGTGCGTATGTAAGTCTATGTATGTATATGTGTGTTTGTGTGCGGTATGTTTGTGCGTGTAGGTGTGTTTTGTTCTAGGGCGAAGATTCGAGTTGGTTAGTTACGTCTGATGATATCCAAAAGCACGCAAGTCAAGGTAGCGAAGTTGCGCACGTCGAAAAGATAAAACCAAAGAACTTGAGACGACAGATGGCCCTTTCCCCTTTTTGCCCTCCCGCGCAAGTATCAGAATAAGGAGGGAATAGTCAAGATTTTAGTGGAAATGCAGCAGCATTGAAAAAAAAAAAAAAAAAAAAAAAAAAACAGTCACTATGCTCACCCCCACACAAAAAAAAAAAAAAAGAAAGAAAAAAAAAAAAATAAAGAAAAAAAAAAAAAAAAAAAAAAAAAAAAAAAAAAAAAAAAAAAAAAAAAAAAAAAAAACACCAGCTAGAGAGAGAAAGAGAGACGAAACAGAGTGGCCCTGGATACCTAGAACACGAGCTCCGGAACCCTCCAATACAATGGTGCTATCATTCAAAACGGGGGCCAGATGGATATTGGGGCGGGCCGTAGAACGAACGGGGTGCGGGTCAAGGAACGAGGGTCGGGTGGGATGGAACTGAAGACTCGAAGAAAGTGGGAGGAAAAGAGGAGTTTCTGGAAATGACAATATCACTAGGGACACACACACTCACGGTGTCGCACACTTTCAGTACCGATATGGTAAGGTAAGAGAGAGAGTCTCGACACTCTTGACAAGCAAGTTGCCGATGGATGCAGGTGGGGCTTTCATGCAGCTCCAAACTTCCAATTCACACTTACTGTGGTACAGAACTTAACCCTGAGCTAGTCCGACCCGACAACTCCTGCCACTTGCTCCCCGTCCCGTCAGCTTCAGGTCTGGCCCGGCTTCGGGTCCAGGCATGTTCAGGCATGTCCAGGCATGTCCAGGCATGTCCAACTCCAACTCCATCTCATTCTATTTCCCATGAGCAGGAACAATAGACCTGTTACTCGGCTCTTTGCTCCCGAATCCCGACTCCCTGCTGGCCTCACCACACCTTGCTTACCTAGCTCGCTGCAGCTCCAGTTGTTGCCCTCCCGCCAGCACCTCGAGTTTCAATCTGCGCCGTCCAGCCCGCTGATATGTCTTCTTACTCTGTCCTGCCAGCTCCGTCTGAGTCACTCCGTCGACGCGCTAACAATCCTCTGCTTTCTCGCTTCGCTTTCTCGCTTTCTCGTTTTCGCCAGAGACCATCCTTCCAAACACCCTGAACCCTGGCTGCGGCTGCGGCGCAAATCACCAAGAAGCCAATCCCCGATCGAGAGGGACAGGTTTTGGCGGCTATTGCGCTCTGCGGCCTAGGTACCTTACGAAGTGCCGTGCTAGGGCTTTTAAGGTATCGATCTCGGTGAGATAGTCTCATCGAACCAACGCTCCAAGGGGCAAAAAACCACCGACCAGAGGTTACGTCTATGGCTCCGGTATCGCATGCTCATCGGCGACATTCGCCAAGTTGCTTCATCGCCCTGTACACGCTCTCACATGGTGACACACAAAAGGCGGCTGGGGACTCGAGAGCAATGGGCTGCCGCTGGACACCAAGACGGCTTGCCCCCTTGTCGCAAAATCCACAGTGCTCCGTGCTCCGTACTGCCTCCAAAACCCCACATCGTCGCAGCAAGATATCCCCCGGTCCGCTCTTTGCCCATGGCGCCCACCATCTTGAACGATGGCAAGCATCCAGACATTCAATGTCAAATGATCACGGAGAGAGGGGGAGGATAGCCGCAATCATTGTTCAACACTCGTTCTGCCGGGAATCGAAAACCAGAAGGAAGACTCGTGCCCGTTAGGCGTTCAGAGCGTCCAACCAGGCATACCCCCGTCGCCTCTTTCCCTGGTCGTCGTCCTCGGCGACGTCACTTTTCTGCATATATTGGCTCTATCGGATGGCAGAGACACGCCCAATGCCTCAGAGACAGCATCTAATCATTAGAGAGACATCGATGCCATCCTTTCAAGGGAGTCATGCAAGGTATGCGCCCGAGGTGCCTTCGCCCTGCAATTCTGCGCCCAAACTGCCGTCTATTGTCCAATCATGTCTCTCGACGGTCTTGGATTCTCTCCCGCTCCGACTCAGGTTTCTCCCAGAGTCCCAACACATGCCTGATTTCCTGTCCACCCCTTCCTGTGCCACCGAGATCTTCGCCAAAAAGCAGGGAACAATCCATGCCCCGATGGCAACTTATCGATTTCCATCCCGCTATTACCGGTCTTACACGCACGCACTCTCTTGCCCTGTCTGCCGGCCGGCATCTCCGTCTTTTCTTTTTATTGTCCGGCCCGGGCCAGGCACATGGCTGTCCACGGTCCATCCCCTCTAGTCAAGGCAGTGATACAACAGATCTTGTCTCACCATCAGCCTCGATTTCGAGTCGCACGCCCATCTCGTTGGAAACAAATCACAAAATGAACATTGCGAGATCGAGAAAGAAAAAAAGAAAGAAAGAAGGAACAAGTTCTAATTGGCTCTTTTACCGTTGGCTACGTCGCGTCCCAAGCTTCCGGCTAGCGCCAGCGGCGCGAAGTGGCCATCCCATGGATCCCGACCCGTTCCCGCTCAGGGGCCTTCCATGATGCGGTTCGCAGGTGGGCGCTTCTTGTCTGGGCCACGCCGCCGGGCTTCAACTCTAAAAGGGGAAAACCACACACACACACGCACTGGCGCGCTCCACGGGCGGGTTCGGGCTCGGGCTCGGGCTCAGCTTCGGCCATTTGACTTTTCGTATTTCGCATCTCCCTGCATCCTGCATGCGGGGGGTGCTAGAGGGGATCTGCTGCATGTTCTAGAAGTCGTGTGGGATCTATTCTGCAGCGAAGCACGCATGTTTTCTTTTCTAGCGAGGAGCGAGGATGAGAATTGATCCGAATCGACAACCCTTATCTTGTCGTTTTTGACATCGACCATGCCCCTGAAGATCAACGAGGGCCGGCGAGACACAGGCTTGCACCGCTCTCGTTTGTATTTCCCAGAATAATCAACATTGATTACCCGCCCCTAGAGAACACCAGCGTCAACGCCAGCGCCAAACCCTACGCCAACGCCAACACCAACACCAACACCAACAATTTGGAGCCAGGAACCCAGACGTCCCAGAGTCAGAGCCAGAGTCAACTATTGATCCTTCAAGCTCCCATGACATCGCGCACGAAGCCGGGCAGGCTCCACAACCCCAAACCGTACAGCAAACACCAACTGTATGAAGTTTCTTCCTCTGCAAACCAAGCCAGATCAAACCCCGCCTTTGATGGACAGCTCCCGCGTCGGCGCGTTAGCCGCCTAAACTTCGACAGGAAACGTTGGGCATCATTCGCCCATTGCAACACACATGCTCTCCGTCATCAACCAAATCCTGACTGGGCCCTCAAAGCCTATTGCACCGAACGAAGAGCCCCGAGTGCGCTGTGTGCTACGTCCGCGTACCTAGTATCTTTGAGCATGAAAATGGTACCCGAGCCGGACACCAGACAAAACCCCACGATGCCGGGGCCGCCGGGTTTGCCTTGGAGCTTGGCTGAGATCCGAGTATGCTAGGTAAAGTAGGTTATGGTTGTTTCGACTGATAGAAAATTAGCTTGGTTCGATTACGTGTCCCCCCACTTGAGAACGAGAACGAAAGTCAGAATGGGCAACAGAGTCTCTGTTTTAAAGGCCTGGCCCAAGTTGGTCCGAACCTCTCCGTGGACCCCTACCATCGGTCCCGATTTGACGTATGGGTTTCCTGGCTTGGGCAGTATGCAGAGGGTTCCTGGTACACAAATATCGCAAGGTTGTCACTGCTTTGCGTCTGCAGGTGTCGCAGATAATCGATCCGGGTGGCTTTAGTGCTGTTCCCACGATTTCAATCTACGGAATGGTCCCCGACCATCGTCAAATTGATCCCCGGCACATTGATCATATGTTGCAGCCATGGACTCGGTGAAAGTCAATTGGCGCAACAACGAAGCTTGACCTTGCTGTGTAAGCTTGAGCGTTTTCCTAATGACCTTTTCACTCTGTGATTCTTTCGACAATTTGCTCTGGGCTATCCCATCCCACACCACTTTCCTATCGCATGCTAGACACCAGGCATGGAGATTGGTTCACAGCCCCTCAACCAGTCAATTACATCAACAGTGCTGAGCCGCGATTTGAGTTCCATTCCAGCTCCTAGAGTTCCAAATTGTCTTTAGTGGGGGAACCAGAACCTATTTGTTGGTTTACCTAGTGAAGATCAACATATTGGACTGAGGGAGGCAGAATCACATCCCCTTCCCAAAAATCGGAGAAACCTTGGTACCCAATTCCACATCCTGTGACGATTTTCAGTGGCTTTCCAAGGTCCATCGCAAGCTTTCTGTCGTTTCTTGGGGCAGACTCCCTCGTATAGAACTTGGAAAGTTGCAAAGGGGCCGTGTTACCAAACGGATAGATATATGTATATACACCAGATTCAAAGGAAAGAAAGCAGTGAAATCGGTCGAAGGAGAGGTATGTGTCTCTCTCTCCAAACCCGACATTCCCATGATGGACATCAGTGTACAAAAGGAGAAGCAGTTTGAATTCGGATTGTCGATTCAAGCACCACGGTGATACAAAGAAAATCATCCCGAGCAGAGGAGCCAACTTTCTCCCAAAGTCTCACATACATATCAGGACACTCTAGATCAAGCAAGAACACTGCAGTGGAAGCACTTGAATAACAAGAGTTAAGTGAATTGTATTCCAGCCACTTTCTTTTTTTTCATCTTCTGCCCTTCTCGCTCAGAAAGGCGTTAGCTACACCTGCTGCCGGAGCAAAAGTGCATTTGCCAGGGATCAAGGGTTCAAAGACAAGAGAGATACTCCTCCATCTGATGCGCCTTTTCGTTCCTTTTCTCACCTACCAACGCCAACGACGCACAGCAGTGAGATCCGATGTCAGGATATTGAGGCGGCTTGAAAACCTGTACCACCCGATCTCGATATCCAGCGCCACCCCCGTGCTACTCTTCTTCTAGCACCACGATGCCCGCAATATCATCAGCGGGGATCCGGAAAAAATGCTCCAATCTTAGGCCACATTTCTTGGTGGGCTGGAGCAGGACCGGCTCATCACTTCTGCATGCTCCCGATAATCTCCCTCTGCGCTGCGCGGTCCCTACCAGCCTCGCTGAGGCTGCCCACGCTCCGCAGATCGCCGACGACGTCCTTGGCCTTGCCAAAGTAGACCTCTTGCAGCAGGTTGCGCATCTTGAGCTCCATGTCCTCGACAAGCCGTCCCACGTTCGCAATGTGGCTCTCATCGCCGTCGACCGGCAGCTCCTGCTCGACCTGCCGCGTCATGTTGCCGCTGAGGTCCATGTCGCCTAGGGCGTTGGTCGAGGTGGAAAGCGAGAGGATGACGGTCGAGGTGAGCTTGTATTGTGTCGTGCGGCCGCGCTCAATGGCCTCAAAGACGTGGATCGAGTCCCATACGCCCTCTGCGCTTCCGCCGGGCGTCGCGGCTGTGGTGGGGGGTGCTCTGTTAGCTCACAAGCTTTCCCCAATCAAAGGCAAAATTTCCAAGGGAAGAGAGGCTTACATTTCTTCAAGAGAACCACGCCGGCAAACCCATCGTCCAGGTTCCAAAAGTAGACGCTGCTCACACCACCCTCGTAGTACAGATCTCGGTACACGTCAAACGCTTCATTGGCCTTGACCTCCATCTTGCGGACCCTCTCGCTGGGGATCGCGCCCTCGCCGGCACCCTCGCTTCCACCGGCGCCAACACCGCCCACACCGCCCTCATCCAAAGGCGGATCAAACTGGTTGCTCCATGGGGAGCGATAGCTGTCGCCATCGCGGTTGTAGTCGCAAAGGAGGTAGTCGCGGCCCGTCTGCTTGCAGCGCTTGACGGTCAGAGGCTGGTCGACAGACGATAGGAGGTCCTCCGTCAGGTCTGGTGCGAGGGAGATGATTGCATTCAGGTGGTCGGTCGTGTGTTTCGGGTTCAGGCGGCGGAGGAGGTCGCTAGGTGAGAGACACGCGGCAGGTTAGATGATTTGCTCTACGCATGACGTTTGGGGGGGTGGAGGGCTGCGGTCAAGGGGCGGGTCGGTCTTACAGAGCCGAGTCGAAAGGGTCGACGGAGGCCATTATGGGGCTCTTTGTATGTGTGTGTGTCGTTGAGGTTGTCTTTGAGCTTGTTCGGAGTTGTTGGTGATGAAAGGTAGTGGTGTCGATTGGATTCGGATGGTGGTCTTTGAGGTTGGGGTGCTAGCGGAAAGTCTGGCGGGGTATCTGTAGACGGTCCTTACCTAGCCCCTGGGTGTACTTCCCCAGGACCCCACAGCCAGGATGAGCTCCGGACAGCACCTACCACCTCACGTACGTTGAAGAGGCATCAAATGGAGCTACAAGAGGCACGTCATAATTTAAGGTATCTACCTACCTCTCTGCCTCGACAAAGGGAGGTTTTGCCTTTGGGTAGTCTCTACCTCGGCAAGGCTCTCCACCGAAGCTGTTGGAACCATTCACGTCAGGTTTGAGAGAGTGACAACAAACATTTGTTTCAAGTCAATCAAAGCAAATCTAGTCGATCGCGGCAATCGCTAATGCAAAGTCAAAGAGGATAAGGTAAACATTTGACCACAAACCATGTAAGCTCTAGGAAACTGCTCGCAAGACTCTGGTCTCCAAATTTGGCCGATCTTCTGGCCTTGTTCGCCTTTTTCGTCCCCTTTTGTTGGCGTCCTTCTGTCTTTGAGAATTTACCAACACCTATCCTTATGCCAACCTCACTCAGTTGCGAGATGAACCCCTATTCGCCAACGCCTCGCGCGAAAAATAAAACTGCATTCCAGCCACACCCGAATAAGCAGTATTCTTCCCTGGGACTCCCCTTCAGCTGTACAGGGCTCCCTCCACCTGCTCAGGTCCCTTTGCCCCCTACGAAAAGCCTCTTGGCATTTCTTTCTCTCCCAATACTTCTCTAGAGGCTCGATTTACGAATCCAGTCACATTGGAAATCGTCATAAGAAAAGCAGCAGCACCTTTTAAGTCACCGCCGATCGGTGTGTTGAACGAAGTGCCTGCTGGAATAAGTACAGCGAGAAGTGAAGCTCAGCACCCCGTCATCGTGTTGGCCTGTTGTAGAATGACCCCTGAAGTCGAGAGATCGATCGATAATTTGGCAAAAAATATGAAAGCCAATTATTTAGCCAATTATTTAGCTGATCCCTACTCCGCAAACGACGCAGAGCAGCGGCTCAGTCCACACCTTCTCGCCTTCAGTGACGTTCTCTCGAAGGTCTCTGATCTCAATCGTTGATGGAGTCATGTCCATCAAGATCTTCGCCTCGAACAAGCCTTCCCACGGCTTCGCGTCGGTCGAGGATGGCTTCTTCTTGACGGGTCTAGCCTTGCGTGATGCTGCCGGCACCTCGGGTACGGTTGGTGTGGCAGGGGTTGTGGGTGGTTGCGAGACGCGCTCATCGACGGCGGCAGGCGTTCCCTCGGCCACTGACTGCCCATTGGTCTCCTCCGGCGCATCGCTCGGCTTGGCATCGATTGTTTGCTTAACATCGGCACCGCTCTCGGTCGGGCTGAGTGGTCCGTTCACACCGTCATCGAGCTGCTTCTCGTCTTTGACCTTTTCGCTCTCAGCAACCGACGTTGTTCCGTCCGTCGAGGGTTTTGCGGTGAGGTGGGGCTTGTCCTTGCCAAGTCGCTCGTATGTTCGCATCAGGGTTTCTTCTCGCAGACAGTGCTCGTGTAGCCATTTTCCGCACTCCTTGTTGGAGCATCCGACGAGGGTCTTGTCCGGGTTGGCGGGCTGTCGACATTTGCAGGTGCGTTCGACTGACTGCATGAGGAGTTAGCTTCAATCGGTTGATCTAAGCTCCGAGGGGTTGTGCATACCGAGAGCTGCTGAGTGCGACAATCAAAGGCCTGGCGCCAGTAAAGGGCCTCCTGGATCTCGTCGTCGTTCTCTTCGATCCATTGCTTGACGGTGGCGGGCAATGTCACACTAACAACATTGATGATGTCCACTGCTCCTAGTCAGCATTGAGAATAACATCTCATGAAGCAGAGAACCTACTATGGTTGGAAGCAATAAGCTCGTTGTGACCGTGATACGGCTGGCGGCCTCCTGTGTACTTCTTTCCTTCCATCGTGCCCTCCGGCAGCTCCTCCGGCCAGTACATCCAGTATATGCGCGCATAGACGTGATGTTCATCACTCGCGCGGATCTCCAGAATTCGGGCCACCCAATCGTCTTCAGATTTTGATCGCTTCAGGACCTTCTCCGGCTCGTTGGCATCCGTCGAGCCCTCCGCCGCGGCCTTCTGGCGTTGGACCGTCTGGTCGTTTGCGACATAGATGAAGCCCTCACTGAAATACTTTGTCCCATTTACTGTCGCCCATTACTATTAGTGCAGGACTACTGCAAATGAACAGTTGAACAACTTACAGACGAAACTGTTGTATCGCGTCATCTCCAACCACTTCTTCTGCGGGTGCACATGGTATTCCAAGTCCAGAACATCATTAGCGCTCTTGCCGTTGAAGTCACCAGAAGGGGAGAAGGGAGAGAGTTGCTTTGAGCTCTTCTTTCCGTCCTCCTCTTCTTGGTCCGGTTTCCTCCTCTTCTTGGACTTTTTCTGTGCCTTGATATCGGGTTCGGCGTAGGTAATGCTGAAGGGGCATTCGGCCTTGTTTTCCTCGACCTCGGCGCGAGGGCGCTTGCGCGAAGTAGACATAGTTGATAGTGGCGGATCGGAGTCGCAAACGCAAATGCGGTACGATGGTCGCAAGTGTGAAGAGGGTCAAAGGGATGCGATCTGGATTGACGGTGTCCGAGACGAATGACGTTGGTGATAAAGCTCGCTGGGATGTCGCGACCGAAGGGAAGGAGGCTGGAAGACGGAAGCGTCGCCCAAAAGACCGGGGGTGGTATGAAGCCGAGTGGCAAGCGCACCGTCCTAGATGGGCGCTCGTGCTGTCTTCGACGAGAGTGCAAATACTCTGGCAAGCCTGAGGATGGTCCAGGCCGGGTATCGACGACCAATGATGGCCACGATGCGCAAAATTGGGAAAATCGCGGGTTGAGGATCTGGCAATTCCGGGACGAGGAGCGGAGCGCGTCCTTACTGGCCAGCGAAAAAAAAGGTGGCGCAGGATGATTATTCCTCTGGGTCACGTGAGCGCAGCTTGGCTGCGACGAGCGACCAGGACCAGAGGACCGACCACGATGCGGGCGTGGCACAAATATCTTAGACCAGGGGTGTCACGTAAGCACAGCAGGCTACAATGCAGTATGCTTCAGTCCCCGCAGCAAGCGCCGACAACCGTGATCACTTATTTCTCCGTTATCTGATTGGCTATATAGCTAAAGCAACGACGCCCTCGACCGCGAACAATCCAACTCCATGTAGTCGGTCTCATCACACTTCAAGGTTTTCTTTGAGTTGCGTCTAACACGACACGCTATTCTTCTCACAATCGCAGTGAAGAAATGAGTCTTATCTACTTCCGCCCGCCATTACCCAAATTGTCCAAAGTGAATATAAACAGAAGGGTGGGACTTTCAGGGAGCGATAAAGAAGACAGAACAGACAGCGAAGGCGGCAAACAAGACAGGACAAATTAGGAGAAATAACAAAGTCGACTATTCTAACTATTCGCTTTTGAGTTGAACACATAATATCGCTAACTTAACTTACCGACGCCGTGGCTATGCAGATATGTTCAGTGATAAGGGGATTAATTATCCCTGGGCCGGTTGTGCTCATGTTCGACGACTTCCTCCTCATCGTCATATGCGCTGAGGATCGGCCGGTCGTCGCTGTCCTCTGTCTCACTGCCGGTTTCTCCCTGTAGAGCCTTGAATCCCTCAATAGTCTCCGCAAGTTTCTGGCCCTCCCGCTTGCCACGCTCCACGTTTACACTCCAGATGAGAGGCGCCGGAAGTCCGACCAGTGCCGCCAAGAACCAAAACGCCGGCCGAATGTCGCCGGATTGATCGATGATGGCTCCAACAATCGCAGGTCCAAATACACTCGATCCTTTGTCGGAGGCAGCGTACAGAGCGTAGAAGGCAGCCTCACTGCCCTCAGGGATCAACTCGCCATAGAGTGATCTACAGTACGAACTCAAGCCTCCCAACACCAGCCCGTACACCGCAGCAAGGGGGTACATTTCCCACGGCTGCTGCAGTCCAATAACGCCCCATCTCTGTACAATCGGCAAGTACCCGAGAAGTCCGTAAATAGGAATGAGCTCAAAAAGACCGATGCAGACGAGGATCGTCTGATGTGGCTTCAAGCTAAACTTGCGAGAAATAAATGCCCAGCTGAAGGCACCGATGACACCAGCTATAGTGGAAATAACATTGATCATACCCAAGGCCCAAGGCTTCATATGGAGTTGCGTTTTGGCGAACAATATGGCCGTGGAAGACGTCGTCGCAATCGCGTCACTGACCAAAAACCATGCGCACAGGAATAGCACAATGTCTCTTAGGCGTCGGGCCAGCCGGACAGTGTTGAATAACGATTTCCAAGCCATAACCACATAGGTCGGCCACGCTCGGATTCCTTTGCCTGATGTGGTGGGCATTGGTGGACCTGGTCTAGGGCGGAGCCACATGGCAGCAGGGATCGTGAATGTTGCCTGTCAGATGGTCAGTAAACAGTGGATTATGAGCAAAAGCGACGCCGCGACAGCCACTTTTCGCTGTGACCCTCATCTACTGTGGTTCTTGCTCGCCTCCGCTTTCTGATATTCTAGTTGGAGACTAAATTGACCAAGCGGTAGAGGGCGAGAGAGAACGGGATTAGGACAGTGCGAGGGACGACGCCAATACTAGCGACGTGGGAGAGACAGAGAGAGCGCTACATACCCACCAAAGGCCGCAGAAGGACAATGCGACTCTTTGCGACCAAGTCGTGTTTTTCAGTGCGATCACTATGGCGATGGCGACACACTGCACGAATAGTCCTGCAATATAGCCAATACCAATGCCCTTGGCGGAAATCTGAGTCGACAGTTGGAGCTCGACTGATGTGAGCTCCTCGTGCGTGGCTTGGCGAACCAATGGGTATCCTCCATTTCCGTTTCCATTTCCATGCCCACCGAGCAAAGCCGAATTCTGGTCTTCAACGTCATCAGCGGCGGAGTCTTCGTCGACATAGGAACCATTAAGAGGTCGCGACTCCAGATCCGAGTGTCCCAAGTCGGGAGTGTGGACAGTTTCGGAAGCAATCACCTCTGGATGATGCCGGACCAACAGCGGCAGGAACGAGTTAAGGAGCACAAACGAGGCACCGAAACAAGTGTTGGATATAATGGCCAATAGAGCACCCAGGAGATACGTGGTCTTGTTGACAAAGATGTAGGCCATGACGGAGAAACTTCCAACCCATGCGAACGTGAGCAGGAGCTTCTTTCTCGAGTTGCCGTGATCTGCAGCGCTGCTGACGCTCACAACGAGGAGGACCTGCAGCAGAACACTGATGGAGAACGTGTACATGGCGAAACTCGCCGTGTTGATCTCGATACCCAGAGGATATACGACGCATTGTCCATCAGTTTTGTTTTTCGAGTCGCTCGTACCACATGGGGTCGTTTTATCGGACAGAAGGACGCCATTTTCGCGCGCGAGGGTCTCGAGTAGGATCGGGATGAAGGAACCTGGGCATCGTGTGGTGTCAGCGCAAGGGATTCTGGGCGGGGTGCGCGGCAACGCAGTGGCGCCAGCATCTCGAGCTGGCTTTCTCGGCTCCACAGCTTGGAAGCTGTCTAGCGACGGATGTCACTGCTCGAATATGGGAGTGGCAGACTGTGAAGACTTACCAATAGCTATCTTCAGTCAGCGCATGCACACATATCCAGATACATGGGTTGAAAGCTCACCGCAGATGACATAGGTTTCGGCAGCGAAGGCGTAGGCATACCAACCAGACAGCTCTTTCTGGCTCGTGGGGCGAAGGTCTTCGCTTTTGTAACGACCTGGGCCGTGGAGGAAGCCGTCACTACTGCTGCCGCTCATTCTGTCGTATTCCGAGTCTGTGTCGGAACGTTCGTCATCGGCCTCAAAGTCCGAGGTGAAGGAGCGAAAAGAGCGTTTTGACAGAATCGACAGACGCGACCATAAACGTGGTGCAGGTGGTGGTCGAGCGTGTTGCTCTTGTCTGGGAACCATAGCAGCTGACACGAGCAGGCCGCAGGTGGGCGCAACTTTACTGGATGGGCAGGGTCGGACAGGTGACTGTGCCTGTGCCTGTGCGGGCCTCCACTGTCTTGTCACCCCGTCTCACCGGACGGATGCACTCCGGTCGCAGCACGCAACCAGAAGGTCCAGAACTGGGGAAATGTCTCCTGTCCGTCCCGTCTATCTCTTGCGGCTGCCTTGAGTTTAGGCTGCAGATAACTCGCGGAAGCCTGTAAACCTTGAGCACCTCACTTCGCACGGGGTACCAGGTACGAAGTATCTTTACCAAGTTACCAACCAGGCAGGCAAGGTAAGATATGCAGTCAGATAGTGCAGACGCGGAATGCAAATGCCAATGCCAATGCCAATGCGGATACGGATGCAGATGCAGGTGCAGGTGCAGTTCGGGCAAGGCACCTAGCACTGAAGAGTTGTACTCGTCGCAGTGCCAGGTACCTCGCCAAAGTGAGAACCGAGTTGATGACGGGCTTGTATCGGACCCCGCTGACGCTATAATTGAGTCGAACCACACGGTGATTTTTCCACTGTCCTATGGTAGCAGTTTGCTTGCTTGCTGGCGTGGGCTCGTCAATGGGGTCTTTTCCCGTGAAAGCCTGTCGATTCCGAATCGAAGACGTTGGCCCGTCATGGGCCCGAGGCAGGAAGCGACGTGTAAGATGCGTCAGTCCGAATACGCAGTATTTGTGGGTGACGAGGACGGCCTTTGCTTCGCGGGCACAGCAACATGGGGCCACAACGATCTCGGTACCAGGATGGAGGGTGGATAGACGAAATAGAATCGGAGAAGGAAGAAGGAGAAGACGAGAAGAATAAGGCGAGGGAGGTTGTTGAAGTGTCGGCAGGTTTGCAAGATCCGGCAGTGGGCCGGCGTGGTTGGTTATATGGCGTCGCAAAAGTCGTCGAAAGTAGGCCGGCCAGACCAGAGAGGCGAGGCCATGGCCATGGACATGGACATCCAGGGTGACAGTCTGTCCCGGCCTCTAGCTCCATGTCTACTTCGTCGCTCTCTGCCCTTTTGTCTGTCCTCTGCGCCGCGGCTCCTCTGCCGGGGCCGTTTTAAGCTGAGCCAAGGCCCCCAAAGGCCCGCCGTCTGCCGTTCATCACATCACGTCTTCCCTCTCAAATTCCTCCGCCCATCCCTCTCCGCTCTGTATCTCTGTGTAGTAGAAAAGAGTCAGGAATCTTCTCCAAAACCCCAGTCGCTGCGACGAAAACCGTTGCCCAATCTCGCAAGCGCTGCGACCGCAAACATGGATGTATCCGACTAGATCATCGCCGATGGGACGGTGTTCCTTCCTAGCGCCGCTGCCACGCTTGAAGCATACCGCGCTATGAGGCAATGGACTCCATTTGTCGTGAGAGGATGCGCATTGAACGACATGCGTTGTGAGACGACCAGGTTCTTCATTCGTCCGATATCCCATGGCCGGCATGCGTCGATGGATATGCGCTATTCGTACATACGCCTTTGGATTTGGATATTGATCGTACACCATAAATTCCACATCTCCAACCACCATGGCCATTGACACTCTGCGTTGCCTACACCGCAAGAGGCTGAATCCCACAGCATTGATTAGTTCTTCAACGGCCTCCCCGGCCCCCATGGCGATACATACAAGCCCTCCTGGTCAACACGGATCAGCGTGTCAACCCCACCGGATAGTCGCAAGACTCCGAGCTTCGTAGACATGCCCTGCCCAAGGACCTTTGAAAGCTGAAATATCAGTACGGATCTGCTCATCTGTACCTCGCCGGGTTAGGTTCTCCAAATCTCCCGGTTTTTGCATCTCTTGGCTAGTCAGCCGTGCCGTGCCGTCTTGGGGAGGGGTTGGTTTGTCAGTTGAACAAAACCAGGACTTGGTAAATCTCTAATTCGCATGCAGCGTCCCCCGGAATCAGGACGCTGTTCAATAGTCGGTACGTTGCCAGGGCAAGACTTAATTCAATGAGGTCCCGCACTCGGCTGCGTTTCTCTGGCTCTCGTTTATCTCAGAAACGCAGCTGCTGTGTGTGTTGCAATCCAATTCTCGTCGCAGCACTGCGGCGAAGTTTCATGGCGATCCGAACTGGACTGGGGCTTGCGGGGGCGGGCATTCTGCAAGTGCCCGAGCGATCTGCGGTGCCTCTTCGCGCCAGTCTGCGTGTCTGCCCACCACATTTTCAAGATCCTTTGGACCCTGAACGACGATCACCGGCATGTAAATCGAGTCGATGTTGGAGAAGACGTGGCGTAAAACGTGGACGTGGCGATGCGCGCCAGGCGCGGCGCCCTGATCGATGTGGTAAATAGCCAGTGTTTAGTGACATAATTTCAGAGGATTTCTCGTCAGATCTCAAAATATCTCGAAAACGCTTGCGGGTTTGGAGCTGTCTGCATTCCGCCAAACTTCACCGCTTCGGTTTAAGGTCCCATGAAGATGGGTCTCTGCGGAAGACCCAGAGAATTTGCTGCGTGACTCTGTGACCATCTGAAACAGGCACCCAGAGCCCAAATAGTTACTCTCCAGTGCTTCGACGGATCGACATCTCCACCGACACCAAGCTTAAAGATGAAGCATGACTTGGGTGCTGAAGTAGGTACACGGATGGATGAGTGTGTTGATTTTGACCAAATGGGCTCCCATTTTGGAGTGATTGAGTGGTTGGGCACCGGCCCGGCAGGACCTGCCGAGCTTCCGCCGAATTCAGCTACACCTGCCACTAGGTATCGCTGATGCACAGACCAAACTTCTCATGCAGCCACACTGAGCATCTCCGACACTCAAATTCACAGTGCGCACATTAGATTTCCTACCGAACTCCACAGCTGAGGAACTTAGATTGCGCAGAGAGGTGATGAAGTCATCTAGTAGATAACGGCGAAGTGCCAGAGTGGTTAATGGGTTTGACTCGAACTAGCTCTGAATCCTCAGAGCGTTTACATCAAATGGCTTCGGCCGCGCAAGTTCGAATCTTGTCTTCGTCGCAAATTTTTTTCTTAACTATCTACCCACAGACCAATTCTTTTTTTAGTCTCAACTTCTGGTTTAGACTTTATCAGTTGCTTATTTATCCTCGTTCAGAGTCATTTTTTGAGTGAGGGAGGCCCTGTTGACTTGCGGGCTCAGGCGCTTACCTCCGCGCCCAACATGCGCTCACCCAGTTCAGCATCGGCATACTGACACGCATTTCATTGCAGGCGATGAGGGAAAATTGAACAGGTAATTGCCAGGGAAAGAAATATGCCATTGGCAGGATATCATTCGAATAAAAAATTGGGACAAATTCCCCACACGAAAAGGTTGGTACGAAATGGGGATATCGTGAAGGGTACGTGAAAACAAATGTCCAGACCAGGTCCAACCTGCAACCGTCACACCAACAAATTACCGTCCTCCTCCTTGTCTTCCTCAGCGCGCTTTTCGACTCACAACTTTTCTCCTTACTTCTTGTGGAAAGGTGCGAGAATCTTGGCCTTGAGCTTGTCGGCGACGCTGACGCCTGAGTGGCCGTCGGCACGAGCTTGGGCAGCGGCCTTCTTCTCGTGGTCAATGTCCTTGTGGTCTGCCGACTTCTCCGTCTCGACGGCGTTGCCCGCGCCGCCTCGGCCGACGTGGTAGTCCTGGCCTTCCATGGAGGGGCGGTAGGCCTCCTCGGGGACCAGGTCCTTGTCAGAGCGCGGAGCGGGCTCCTTGTTGGCATCACCGATGTTACCGGCCCCTGGGGTACAATACCAGTCAGCTTACAGAGCACGAAGCGTTTACCGTCAAGTGGTTGCGACATCTTGAATGCTATTGAAGCCATCGTGGGGTGGGGGGAGAACATGGCTGGGGGAGGAGCATCAACCAAGTGGGCGAATGCGCCGATGCCGCTTGGCAGGCTGGGTGATAAGGCGATGCGCTCGGCGCACTCGTCGTGCATGAAGACTCACCTCCTCGACCTGCGCTGAATGCACCAGTCCCCTGAGAGCCCTCGGGGCCGGCCCTCACGACCTCGCCGTCGACGTACTGGGTGTCGTCAACGGCCATGTTTCCAGCGCCACCTCTTCCATGGGATACTTCGGCGGTCATCGTGCTCGAGCCTTTGGGGTATGGTATGGGGTTTGTCTTATGTGGTTCGTGACTTTGGTGAGTGAGTTCGCAGTGGGATGAGTTGAGTGGAATGTCTCTCGGAGGAAAACAACGTGGGCACGCAACCTTATTTGAGTAAATCGCAAGATGAGACTAGAGAATAACAAAATGAGACCAGGTACGTCAGCGATATTATATATATAGATAAGGCAACTGTTCCTGGCAGCTTTCTTCCGCACATCACATCATATGGTAAGGCACCTAAGATAAGTGAAGGGTGATGTACATCGACTTATCAGTGAAGGTGTGAGTACCAATTACGGAGACCTCCCCCGCCCCCAAGCTAAGGTTACCTCTGTGCCTCTCTTGCAGAAGACACCCAGCCTGGAACTGGAGGCAGCTCTGCAAGCCTGCAACTGGATGTGGGATGTCTTAGTGTCTTGGGGGCCACCGGGCGTGGGGATTTCAGGTTACAACTACTTGTGTGAACCAAGGTTTCCTTCATCTTCTTCGAGAAGCACTTGCACGTGCTAGAGAGCTAATCCCTCACACACACACATATACACTGGCCTGGGACAAGCCAACCAACGGCTCGTTGAGGTGATTGGCGAATGACAACAGCCCCTACTCAGATAAAACTTTGGTTTACGTACCTGGATTTCGTGAGAGCTCCGAAGACATTACGCATCGACATCGGCCCAGCGACAGCCCGGTGGGCGCCGCCATCGGCGCCCATTCCTGTTTCTTCGGGGTCGTTTTGCGCGACAACCTGCAATAGTGGAGTGTCTGGTTAGTATGCGTCACCGTCGCTCATGGGCTTTGCGGTCTGCTTGAATTGCCCTCATCGTCAGACTCAGCTCAGCACCACCAGTCATTTCACATTCCTGGTGGCAGGGCAATCTGCCGGCCAAGTTGGTTCACTAACGAGAACTGAACTGTTCCATCAAAAGCCTGGCCCCTGTCTACTAGTGTTTAGTGGATATGTCGTCATTGCCCCTCACTTGATTCCTTGCGGTATCACCACATGTCGAGGACAGTGACCAGCGATGGAACTCAGGCATAACCATTTGATGATCTCGGGAAACGTTGTTCAATGTCAACGGTAGAAAGAAAGGTGCCGTGGCGCAGTCGATTCCGGTACTATGCAGCTACCCATCCGTGGTAGAATAGCGACCCGATGCCAGCTGTCTAACGACTTGTTTATTCGAATGAGTCTTTCTAATAACCGCCGTCACTTTAATTGCTGAACTTGCAAAGAGCCTTACTATCTTACCCCGAGCCCATACGACAGCTTTCCTATGTATTCTTGTCATAGAAAGATAGTGACACAGAAATGAGAGGCAGCCTTGCAACATCCCAGGCGGTGGGTGGTATCGATGCATGTCAGCCCCAGCCACTGCTACGATCAGCCGCAGTCCAGATAACTAGCTGAGGCGATGCACGACAATTCTGGTTCTCCGTTGATATAGGAAGCTAACCTTCACCACCTGATTACCGCTGTGAGATGGGTATCTCCAACCTTGACTAAACTTCCTGTATTCGTACGAGATGGATCCCACCGGCATAATAACGGGTGTCATTGATCTTTTCAGCGTCGCTCACCAGATTCAAGGGCTCGTGGAAAAGTACAAGAATGCCCCCAAGGCGGTACGCGATATCATCGACGAATGCGAATGGACGAAAACTCTATGTCTCAGTCTAAGAAATCAGATCTCGCAGACCGACGCTCTAAAGAACCCGGGTAAACACAGCCCTGAGCGTGCCCTGAGGCAGTCATTCGATACGTGTATGCATGGCATACAGAAGACGCTTATTGAATTGAAAGAAGAAGCTGGCAAGTTGCAGAGCATAAGCAATTCTCGAATGGGCAAGTGGGACAAGGCAAAGTTCTTGTGGAAGGAGGAATTCTTCGCAGAAGCTGCGCAAAGTGTCAGGAGCCAGAGAGACATGGTTGCCCTCGTTTTGTCGACTTTAACGTGGTGAGTGCTTGAGATCAGTGCTGATTGTGGCCTATGAAGCAACATCTGACAAAGTGTACCTTAGGTACAGTAGCAGTAAATTAGAGAAGGGAATGGAAAGGGTGTTGGAACTGCTTGAAAATGGTCATATCAAGGCCTCGAAGCCAACGCCTCAACTGGACCAGCTACAACCGCCACAGGAGCTAAAGAAGAGCAGATTAGATAATCAGATCAACACAACAGGCAAGGGGTTCGCCGAAGACCTCCTTGCCGCCGTTCGAGGAGGCCGCCTTGTGGATGTTGAACCCATCTTGGCCCAAGGCGCCTCTCCAGACATAGCTCTAGGAGGCAGCGGTGACCGAGCCGTACACATCGCTGCTCGCGCGGGATTTCTGCCCATCCTGGACCGACTTCTTGCTTACGGAGCAGACGTCAATGTAGAGAACACCGCACGGAATACACCCTTGCACCAAGCGCTCACATGGGGACAGATTCCCACTTCGTTGACGCTGTTGTCAAACGGGGCCAGTTGGACCATCAAGAATGCCAATGGGACTACGGCGCTACATGTGGCCGTAAGGATTTTTGCATATCTTGTCGTTCAATATTTGCTAGACAGGGGAGCAGATCCGAATGCTCGGGACAAATAGGGCCAGACTCCCCTTTTCAAAGCGTGCTATCCCGCAGACAAGGATGGCAAGATGGTCAACGTCGACTGTAAAATCATCCGCATCCTCGTTGAGCGAGGTGCCGATCCAATAATTGGGGCTTGGGGAAACGGCAACACTCCGATTCATGAGCTTGCCCTGAGCGGACACGTGAAGGAGCTCGAGATCTTGGCCAAGGCGGTAAAGACGGTCGAACTGCCGCTGGCAGGAAACTGTCAGGGCACAACGCCGCTTCACCTTGCTGTCAAAAATAATCATCCAGGGGCTGTAGACGTTCTGATCAAATTTAAAGCCAACGTGAACGCGAGACAGACTTCCAAGGGTGGTACGGTGTCGACTGCGCTGTGGCTGGCTGCGTGGAACAAGAACCTGGATATCGCAACCAAGCTTCTCGAAGCCGGCGCGGATCCAAATGTAAGAGGCAACGACGGAACAATACTTCACCTTGCGGTTAAGGAGCATTGGCTGGAACTGGTCTGCTTACTTATTCAACATAAGGCCGACATTGACGCCAAGTCATCTAGCAACAACTCGCCTCTCCACACGGCAGTATGGGCCAAGGATCTCCCGATAGCCCGGCTTCTGCTAGAGAAGGGGGCTGGGTTAATGGTCAAGGGGAGCAGTAATGAGACTCCAATCATGGCGGCCGCTCGGATCGGCTCGCTGCCCATGATCAGGCTCATGCTCAAACACGGGGCCCAGTGGTCGTATATGACGCCTCAGGGCACGAATGCGTTCACATGGGCATGCAGTGGCGGGCACGTCGCCTGCGCAAGCTTCTTTCTGGGCTGCGGGCACGATTTGCAGCAGAAAGCAGATGGAGATTTTACCGCGCTACACTATGCGGCGAGGACAGGCAAGATGGAGTGCGTCAAGTGGCTGCTGGAGCTGGGCATCGATAAACAGGCCACCTCGACGAAGGTGAGGGTGCCTTTCATGGTCAAGGGTACGGCAGCAGAAGTCGCAAGGGCACATGGGGCTGTTGATGTCGCTGATTTTATTGAGAGATATAGGGGCGAGTAGTCTAGGCAGACCACGAGTCTGATTCGAAGTAGCTCTGGACCCGTACGCACTTTGAACGATGCACTGAGAGGCAAATGGAGACGTGCGTTTTCACATTTGCATCAACATGCCGTCACCCTTGGGATTGTTGGAGACTTGTGTAATCCAAATGAGATACAGACCTTACCTGAAGACAACCTGGATGTGGCTCTCGTTATCCCTCATACCCTGCTAACCCACTGCCAATAATCGTTGGTAGTATGAAGACAAGTTTGAATGAATTGAGAGATTGCCATAGATGAAGGTGGCTATTGGTTCAGACTATAATCCTGGACGAGGAAGCTACTTGGCGGTAAGAAGGGAATGTTTTCCAGAGTGTTCTATTTGACACAAAGATGCTAATTTGCCCAATATCAATCGTTTCTAAACCTACAAAAGATGAGTTTCCTGAAACAGTCTGAAAAATCCTCAGGTTGAGATTGTCACAAGGGGTTCATGATGTGATGCATTCAAGTGAGAGTCCTCAAGCTATAACACAAGTCTGGTTAGAAAACAGCGCGTGAAGGTCACCATTATGAGGATTGTTCAAGCTAGATGGATACTGGCTCAGAATAAGACGCTATCTTCGAGCCAGTCACTTTCGACACTAACCATATGGACCCCGAAACCTGGGACAGGGTGAAAGACGTGGTGTCAACAAGCACCCACCTCACCCTAGGCTCTTCAGCTACATTCTCTTCTCAACTTGATTCTATTTGGGCTTCCTCTCCTTTCTCCAACTCGTATTTCTCTTTCGGAGAATAGCTGAGGTAAATAAGAGGCCACACCGTTCCATCAACAAATCCATCAGCGAGTCCTGGTATGACTAGTCTCTTATTCTCGTTTCCCTCCAAGACGACGTCAACTTTCAAAGCGCAGCTGCATACATATCCCCAGCTTCACTCCCCCCCCCATCTTTTCGAAAGAGGAAAACGGGCGCTCGTCATTTCCCTCGCCTGCAGAACGAATTCTTGCGTCGATATTGTCGTCCCTGTCGAAGACTGGGCCATGGGAGCCAACGATCAGGCGCTGGAGCTCGATGACCAGAATCTCCAAGCGAATGCTTTCTATTGGCTGACTCTCGGCTGTCTGAGTCTTATCGTTCAAGGCTTGCTCTTGGCTTTCTATCACTTCATCCTATGAGGCGCATTGACCTTGGAGGAGCTGCATTTCGTCCTTGTATTTCGTCCTTCTGGGAATCCGCGCCGTCGTCATCTTCGTCACCGAGCTTCCCTACATCATCCACAAGAAGGGGTGGACCAGTTTCTGTCACCAACATCAATTGTCCGAGGATACTGCACGCCCTTGGTTCTGTCTCCTACATATTGCAGCAGATCTTGTTAGCTGTCTGTGAGCGCAAGCTAGTTTGGCTTTGGCGTGAGCACCAGATCGAAAAGGCGCTGCTTGGACAGAGCACCGGTGTGGTATTGGCGACCATTATTGCAGGATTTACCTTCATTGTTGCAATCGAGGCGTACCATAAAATGCGGATTCATTCGGAAATCAAACCGAGAAGACGACGGACCGTCGTCTAGACTCCAGAGCTGAGAATGGCGCACCTCACAGCGCCGAGATCTGAAGGGCTGTTTGGATTCGCCCCAGGAAAGAGCTCTGATACGTATATGAAGCTAGCAATGGGATCTGTGCTAGAAGCCACAGATACATGCGCCGCCTCTTCGTACGTTGGACTCAGTCTTGCAAAAGCTGTTGGCTTTGCCTTACCTGTAAGTCGACCTCTAGCTCGCACCATCCCCAATTTGTCGAGATCCTTTTAGTCGTTGCTAAATCCATTCCAGTCGCAGGAAGTCACAGAAGTCGACGGAGCTACATCTTCATCGTCCGTTCTGAATTCTTCAGTGCTGCACAATCTCCTACCTAGTCTACACAATGCAGTTGGCGTCGCGCTCAAGTTCAGTTTTCAGTATCAAAACACTGCAAGCCACCAGATGGCACCTATCGAAGCCTTTCCCCATCGGCGTGTCTCTTTCCGACAAGGTTTTATATTCAACACTTTCCAGTACCTCCACGTCGGGATGGAAGCTTTTGTGATATTCGCATTCCTACGGTATTCCGGGGTCGCAAAGTTCATGGGGCGAGCTCAACCTTGGGGATGTTTCGCCATGTAGACATTCTGCTCGTTTATTTTTCTTGTCACCTCGCGCAGCTGCACTCATGACCCCAAGGGCGGGCGATTGCCCAGCAGCAGACACGGGCTAGGCGAACAACACGTACCGGTTGCCAAGTTGATGCTTTTCTGGATGGCAAATTTCGAGTGCGGCATGATTGCGATGCTTGCGTGGTCTCTGTCGTCGAAAGCGTCATATACTATGAGGAGTAGATTCCTCTTCCTGTCTCGGGTTTGTCTCCATATCACTTTATTGTCCCTGCGGACTTTGTTTGCTGTGGGCTTCAACCAAGCAAATTCCCTAGCGAAAATCATCCTCTGAGGAGTATGAATGTCAATTATGCTTATGATGGAAGAGGATGATTGAGACGGCCGCAACAAAAAGTTTATCGAAGCAAAAGGACGGGACGGGGCTTGGCCGGGATGGTGCCGCCTAGATTGTAGGCATGGCCACACTTGGCTAGTACAGGTCTCCTCGGGTTTACCTTCAGACAAACCATGCAACGCGTTGACGTTATTCAAGACATTTAAGATATTCCTAATTGTAACAACTCCGTGCTGGTTGACGCATGGCGAGGTACCGGGGCGGCCGCCTTTTTCTAAGGATCTCCAAGCGGACAGATGGATAGACGTATCGACGTATCGGAGCTACGGATACTAATTATTAGACACTTTAAATTGGGTGGATTAGCACGTGACATCGCGACGCACTCCGCAAGACCCCGCGATTTTCGTGTTTTACAGAGTCCTAGTCCTAGCGTCATTACTCTCCAACCACTAAACCCCTTGCCCAGACTTCGCCCCCCGGCTCGAGCAGCATTCACGCAAGTGTCAATGGCGATCGCGACAGAACTTGCAACACCAAGACTCCTTGCTATTTCTTCAGCTTAGGATAAGCACTTCTTTCTTGGGCACGTGTGGCAGAATGGGCCCACCATCATCGGCAGCGCGGAAGCGGACGACGCCAAAAAGGCCCTTGACCAGGCCGCCTCCTTCCAAAAAGCCTGCCGGAAAACCCAACGCTAGCATCCTAAGCTTCTTCCAAAAGGCCGAGAAGCCTGAACAGACACTGTTTATCGATGGCCATGACAAGCTCGTTGTCCCCCAAAAGGAAGATGATGAGGTGCCAGAGATATACGATGCTGAACCATGGGATGAGGAAGAAAGGTTCAACGAAGTCGAGGCGCCAATCAAGAAGAGGCGGCTAAGTCAAGAGGCCGAGAAGAATGAAGGCGAACAATCAACTACGAGAGATTCAAACAGCCCGCCGGTCTCCGAACCACCCCCATCATCACCCACGGAGTTGAAGACTTTTAAGAAGCTACCCGCAAAGCGGAAAGGCCCCTTCCTCGAAGAGTCCGACAGCGAAGACGGAGAAGAGTCAATAGCCCCAGCAAGGAAACCAAGTATCATCGGCGCCATTCGCAATCGACCACCCATTGTCCCACCTTTCAAGCTGGGAGACAACACGACACCTCCACTTACGAAGCAAGAGAACGAAGCAACGCCATCAGCTCAGTTGGAGCAGGAGGAGGAGGACAAGGAGGAGGCAACACCGCTAGCGAAGGAAACGAGCTGCCCGCCACCGCCAATGAAGGTTGAGGATTCAATCGAAGCCGAATTTGCAAATATTGACGACTTTGGTGACCTAGACGATTTCCCCAACGATGAAGACTTTGGTGGCGAAGAGTACCGCATGATGCAATTCATGGAGGAGCAAGCCCGTTTAGAGGCAGAAGCCGAGGCCGTGGATACGGGCGACTACTCCTGTGACGAATTAGCCGATCCCATGCGGCCCAGCGATGCCATGGTGGCCAACTGTCCCATATGCGACGGCACACTTTCCGGTATTACACCTGACGAAGCAACACGGCATGTAAATGCTTGCCTCGACGGTAACCCGATTCCACTACCTCGGCCCAAAGACACGAAAAAAACCAAGGACGAATTCGCCAGACCGCCAATACTCGACCCTCCCGAAGTCAACAAACGACTTGCGCGCGCAGCAGTACCACGAGAGGGCCAAGCCAACCCATTCAAGTTAAGCGAAGTCCAGAATAATGCGACCTCAGCCTTCACCAAATTGATGTCCGGCCATGCTGAAGACGCAGCATGGGCCGGTGCCGCTGCTGCAGAGCACTCATCACGTGGGAAGCCTGCATATCAGCGTACCTGTCCGTTCTACAAGATCATGCCTGGCTTCTACATTTGCGTGGATGCTTTCAGGTACGGGGCGGTCAAGGGGTGCAATGCCTATTTCTTGAGTCATTTCCACAGCGACCACTACATCGGCTTGACTTCCAACTGGACGCATGGCCCCATTTACTGCAGTAAAGTCACTGGAGACTTGGTGAAGATGCAATTGCGAGTCGCCGCCAAATGGGTTATTGCGCTGGAGTTCAATCAGACGGAGGTGGTCCCGGGCACCGAGGGTGTGACAGTGACCATGATTCCCGCTAATCATTGCCCTGGCAGCTCCCTCTTTCTGTTTGAGAAGACTATGGGAAAGGGGCCAAATGCAAATGCAAGAAAGCAAAGGATATTGCATTGCGGCGACTTCAGAGCTTGTCCAGCTCAGGTGGCCCATCCTCTGCTAAAGCCCGACATACAAGATTTGGTATCAGGCAAATTTAAGCAGCAAAAGATTGATGTCTGTTATCTGGATACGACTTACCTCAACCCACGCTATTCTTTCCCACCCCAAAACGATGTGATCAAGGCATGTGCAGACATGTGCAAGTCACTTGCTCCAGACCAGACATCGGAAGACAACACATGGGACAAGATCAATAGAGAGGCTGGCACGGAGACTGTCAGCAAGTTCTTTACGAAGACAAACGCAGACGATGACGCTGCAAAGGCCAAAAAGAAAAACGCGCCAAAGGAACGTCTCCTTGTCATTTGCGGTACTTACTCAATAGGCAAGGAGCGTATCTGCAAAGCTATTGCGCAAGCCTTGGGAAGCAAGATTTTTGCATCCAAGTCGAAGATCCGCATCGTATCCAAACTCGGAGATCCAGACCTGACAGCCCTCATGACGGATAATCCACACGAGGCTCAAGTTCACATGCAAATGCTTATGGAAATCCGCGCCGAGACACTACAAGAGTACCTCAATTCGTACAAGCCGCATTTCAGCCGCATAGTCGGATTCCGCCCTTCCGGCTGGAATTACCGCCCACAAGGTGCCAGCAAGGCGGTGACGGCCAGCACTCAACCTGGCACGATTCCGATGACACAAATTCTCCAAGGCAAGGCTTGGCGGCCACGGTTTGGGGCGAAGGATTTTGTAGCACAACGCGGCAGCACCAAAGAAGCCATATGCTTCGGCGTGCCGTACAGTGAGCATAGCAGTTTCCGAGAGCTGGCCATGTTCTTGATGTCACTGCGCATTGATAGGGTAGTACCTACGGTCAATGTCGGTAGCGAAGTATCGAGGAAGAGGATGAAGGGCTGGATAGATAAATGGTTGTCTGAGAGGAGAAAGGGCGGGCTTGTCCATCCGCTCGAGGGCGAGGAAGGCGAGGGCAAAGAGGTTGCCTTATGGAATGGCAAGGACAGCCGTGGAGGAGGTATCTGGTGGTGATTGCTGGCTTGCCTCATCCAGATAGCATAATGATTGATGAACAGCAATTGGTTGGGTGCAGCTCCCAATCAAAATTTGATTTGTTTCAAAAATCTCTGTCTGGATATCACATCCCGTCCATCCCTTTTCACAGTTTACTTCCCGATCAAATCATCGATCGAATTATGCCATATGCCAAGAAACTCGTTGAGGAAGCGTATCTGGTTGTGAGGCTCTGGTCTTCATTTTACCATGTTCGTGGACCGGCTTTTTCAGTGTCCCGGCCATATCGCCACGATTTATACGCGCCATTTCGAACCCTTATGACCCCTCTGAGAATAAGGCTATTTTGCCTTGGCGGCCTGAGCAGCAGCCTCTGTTAAATCGTCAATGCTGCTCCTCTACCTGTGATGATGGGATGGCAACGTTGGGCTTACCTCTGCGCGTCGCGTCCTCCAAGAGGGGCACGTCTACTGAACCAGCGGGCAAATGAACATAACGCACGACGGATCCACGAATAAAGACATTCTTGACGGAGCTCTATACAGCTTTGTCAGCGATTAACTCCAAACGACTCTCCGGCGACGACACAGCAGGAAAGCGGCCTCCCACAACAAGGGTGCGTGAGGCCCCGGGTGCAAGGGGCAGACTGACCAGGTGCGGGTACTTGAGCTCCTCGACGACAGAAATTTCTTCCAGCTTGATGTTGAGGTACTGGTCGACGCTCTTGAGGATGCCGCGGATCTGGATGTCATTCTTGAGCTCGACGGTGACCTCGTGGTCGATGAGCGTCTTGAAGAAACTAGTGGCGTATGTCAGTGACTGCATCATTCCATGCGCGAGGCGCCACTTTGGGGAATAACCCCGTGTTTAAACTCGCGCTCTCCGAGTGAGAATCGATTTTTACCTGAAGAAGAGCATGGTGGGCGGTTGGGCTGGATGCTAGATGTGATGAGCCGCTCAGTAAGGTCGTGATGCTCTTGATTGAGTGCGAAGAGGTGTGGGGGCTTGCGCACTGTGTTTAAATACAGTGTGCACGGTCTTCGTTGTATACAAATTGATCGTAGCCGGCACTGTGGCGTGGCTTAGCGCTTGTGGCTGATGACTTCCCCTAGAACCAGTGCTCAGGTGGCAGCAAGTCACTAAATCTGCCAGTCCGTTCAGACAACCCTCAGCGGCGACTTCATTCAACTTCATGTAACTCGCCCACCTTCATATCGAATATTTGGCTTCCCCTCCTCTCCTCATTCAAAGACTTTGGGTTTTCTAGAATTTTTCCACTCGTTTAGGCTGCCCTTCGCCATTTCAAGTAAGGACCAGCGGTATGACTTTAGTCAGAGTGACTGAATGGCGCAAACTCCCGCTTAGTTTGGCTGAGCTGTGCATCGACACGACCCTTCGATGTGGCCAATCTTTCCGGTGGCGCAAAGTAGACAATCTGTGGTTAGTCCAAATGAGCTGCGTGCGCCAAATCTCAGGTGTACTGAAATTGAGAAAAGGTGCTGCACATTGTATGGCCGAATTGTGTCATTAAAGCAAGACTCAACTCACTTGCACTACAAGGTCACTTGGCCTACGAGACCAACCTACCCACTCACGCCTCCAAATTTCGACGGCGAACCTAACGAGGATGACACAGAGGAGTTGTTACGGCATTATCTGAGCCTCAAGCTGGACCTCAAGTCCTTATACGAGGAATGGTCGGAAGCGGATCCCAACTTTCGCAAGAGAGCGCCAGAGTTTGGGGGTGTTCGCATGCTCAGTCAAGACCCCTGGGAGGCTTTGATCTCCTTCATCTGCAGTAGCAATAATAACATCTCTAGGATATCGCAAATGGTAAGAACTCTCGCAAAGAAGAAAAACCCAACGCTCACAGTCGGCCAGGTTCATAAGTTGTGTATACATTATGGCCCTCTTGTGGGCAAAATTGGGGATGAAGCCTTCCACGACTTCCCGACACCGGAGGCTTTGACGGGAAGCTCAGTAGAGGCACATCTGAGGGAGCTCGGGTTTGGCTATCGCGCCAAGTACATTGCTCAGACGGCTTCGATTGTTGTCAATGACAGGCCAAAAGGCTGGTTCGAGAGCCTCACCAACCCGGAAAATCCATGCTACGTCAAGACGGCCGAAGGCTCTAAGCTGCCTCAGTGTACATACAAAGAGGCACATGAGCAGCTGCTTCATTTGTCGGGCGTGGGGCCCAAGGTGGCCGATTGCGTCTCCCTGATGGGCCTGGGCTGGGGCGAGGCCGTGCCGGTGGACACGCACGTTTGGCAGATTGCTCAGCGGGACTATAAGTTCGGCAAGACGAAGACCAAGATGTTCAACAAGGCGATGTACGATGCCGTGGGGGATCACTTTAGAGAGCTCTGGGGTAAGTACGCGGGCTGGGCACATTCCGTGCTCTTTACGGCGGACCTGAAGACCTTTTCGGAGCGGACGGTCAAGAAAGAGGAAAATCATAAGGTGACGGTGAAGAAGGAGGTGGCCGTTGACAAAGATGCGCCCGTGTCGGGCCAGAAACGCAAGATTGTGAGGGCGAAGGTCAAGGTTGAGGTGGATGACGAGGTGCCCGAGACTGCCCTCCTAGAATCGTCGCCGAAGCGGAGGAGAACACGATCACAACGCTGGAAGACGAGCTGATACCTCTAGCAATACGACCTTGTTCCGCACGATGTGAGCTTCTCATCCGCCCTTCATTGCCCGTTCATGCCTCATGGCGCATAGAAAGCTTTGAAGTATTGATGCACCATCAGTGTATGCAGGTGGAATTAGTCAAAACTGTAAGATAGGGACACAATCATCTCATGCAAGTGAAAGCCAGAGAAAACAAAACCTACGGCGGTTTTCTTTTGTTGTTCATCGGTCGCGGGTTGTCCGAGGTCGAGGTCAAGGTCCAGATCCACAAGTTCCAACCCTTGACGTTCTCGGCTAAAGTTCGGGCGCCCAAATCCTGGTGGCGTCGCCGACAGCAAAGCTTTTGCCTGCGCAGATTGCAAACTCTCCTGCGGCCCGGCTCGCTGCTACCCCCTTCAGCCTCATCAGCAACAACAACCATTACTGATGCGCGCCGCCATCGTCGATCGCCCACTTGCATCTTCAAGTGACATGAAGCAACATTACCCATAATTCAAAATGTCCGACGCAGACTTCGAGACCGTCCGGAAGCTCCAGGCGGAGCGCAACGCTGCCGCCGCTGCGAAAAAGGGTTCGACCACTTTCGACCCGAACAATCAGCGTGCCGACGCCGGCACCAAGCAGAAACTCACCGATAGCTTCGACACCGATCTGTACGATCGAAATGGCGTCGACAAGTTTGCCGGATACAACACGTCTATCCCGGCCGGCGATGACGATGATGACGAAATGGAAGGCACCGACAAAACCCGCCGTCTCGTCGGCCAGTATACGGCATCGCGTGAAATGATTGACGAGTTTGCACGTGGCGATGGCGTCGAGGAAGATGATCCCTTGGCTGGCCGGGGTGAGAAGAGTAACAGGATTACCGATCGGGAGACCGACTACCAAAAGCGCCGATTCGATCGCGCTCTCTCCCCTTCTCGAACCGACGCCTTCGCCAACGGAGACAACAAAAATGGCGATAGCTACCGCGAGATCATGCAGCGGAGAGAGCTTGAAAGAGAGGAGGAACGCGTTGCACGGGAAATCCAGGCCAAGGCCGCGGCCAGGTCTGAGGATGACGGCAACGTCGCTCCGGCGACTCTGAGGGATGACGACAAGGAAAACGCGGACGCAGGTTCTACAGATGCTGTGTCTGCTGGGAGGAAACGCAAGAAGAGATGGGATGTCTCGACCACGGCAGCTGACGAAGAAGCCGCCCAGCCTTCCGAACCCGCCAAGTCGAAGCGCTCGCGTTGGGACCAGGCCCCTGCTCTGGAGTCTGCAGATGCACCAAAGAAACGGTCAAGGTGGGATCAGGCGCCTTCGGCCACTCCAATGGGTAACCAGGGGCTCGCAACACCAATGCACCCTTCGCAAGCGGGTAGTGCAATCCTGCCTACGACATTCGGGACGGACATCTCGGGACGAAACGCGGCCATCAGTGATGAAGAGTTGGACGCGCTTCTTCCCGGCGAGGAACAGGGATACAAGATTCTCGAGCCACCTCCTGGATACGCTCCGATTCGCGCGCCTGCTCACAAGCTCATGGCTACGCCAGCACCGCAGACTGGGTTCATGATGCAGGATCCTGACTCCGTCAGGCTGAGCGGAAAGCCCGTGCCAGCAGAAATCCCTGGCATTGGTGACCTGCAGTTCTTCAAGGCCGAGGACATGGCATACTTCGGTAAGCTGACTGATGGCTCTGATGAGAACAGCTTGAGCGTCGACGAAATGAAGGAAAGGAAGATTATGAGGCTGCTCTTGAAAGTCAAGAATGGTACTCCACCAATGCGTAAAACTGCTCTGAGACAGCTCACCGACAATGCCAGGCAGTTTGGAGCAGGTCCGCTCTTCGACCAAATCCTTCCCTTACTCATGGAGAAGACGTTGGAAGACCAGGAGCGTCACTTGCTCGTCAAGGTTATCGACCGTATTCTCTACAAACTCGATGACCTCGTGCGGCCATATGTCCACAAAATTTTGGTCGTCATCGAGCCACTGCTTATCGACCAAGACTATTATGCCAGAGTCGAAGGTCGCGAGATCATTTCCAACCTCAGCAAAGCGGCCGGTCTGGCCACTATGATCAGCACAATGAGACCAGATATCGACCATGTCGACGAGTACGTGCGAAACACCACCGCAAGAGCCTTCGCTGTGGTTGCCTCCGCCCTGGGCATTCCGGCTCTGCTACCATTCCTTCGGGCAGTGTGTCGTAGCAAAAAGTCATGGCAGGCCCGCCATACAGGTGTCAAGATTGTGCAGCAAATCCCTATCCTAATGGGCTGTGCCGTTCTTCCGCACCTCAAGGGCTTGGTCGACTGCATCGGCCCTAACCTGAATGACGAGCAAACAAAGGTTAGGACAGTTACCAGTTTGGCCATTGCCGCGCTTGCTGAAGCTTCGAATCCCTACGGTATCGAGAGTTTCGACGATATTCTCAACCCGCTGTGGACCGGAGCTCGCAAACAGCGAGGCAAGGGTTTGGCAGGTTTCCTAAAGGCCGTTGGCTTCATCATTCCGCTCATGGACGAGGAATATGCCAACTACTATACCAGCCAGATCATGGAGATTCTCCTTCGCGAGTTCTCTTCTCCAGATGAGGAGATGAAAAAGGTTGTCCTGAAGGTTGTGTCTCAGTGCGCTGGTACTGATGGTGTCACCGCAGGCTACCTGAAGGAGCACGTCCTGGACGAGTTCTTTAAGAGCTTCTGGGTGAGGAGGATGGCCTTGGACAAGCGCAACTACAGACAGGTTGTGGAGACCACCGTCGACATTGGCCAGAAGGTCGGCGTCAGTGAGATTCTGGAAAGAATCGTGGTGAACCTCAAAGACGAGAGCGAGGCTTACAGAAAGATGACCGTCGAGACGGTGGAGAAGATCGTCGCTAGTTTGGGAGCAGCAGACATTGGGGAGCGTCTTGAAGAGCGTTTGATTGATGGTATTCTTCACTCGTTCCAGGAACAGAGCGTGGAAGACATTGTCATGCTCAACGGTTTCGGCTCCGTTGTCAACGCCCTTGGATCGCGCTGCAAGCCATATTTGCCGCAGATCGTCAGTACCATTCTCTGGCGGTTGAACAACAAGTCGGCAACGGTACGACAGCAAGCAGCCGATCTCATATCACGCATCGCCATGGTCATGAAGCAATGCGGAGAGGACGCCTTGATGGGCAAGTTGGGTATCGTTCTTTACGAATACCTGGGTGAGGAGTACCCCGAGGTACTCGGCTCTATTTTGGGAGCTTTGAGATCCATCGTTACGGTTGTCGGTATCACACAGATGCAACCTCCTATCAAGGACTTGTTGCCAAGACTCACACCAATTCTGCGTAACCGACACGAGAAGGTCCAGGAAAACACAATTGACCTGGTTGGTCGTATCGCCGACCGTGGCCCTGAGAGTGTGAACGCACGCGAGTGGATGCGCATCTGCTTCGAGCTCCTAGACATGCTCAAGGCGCACAAGAAGGGCATCCGGCGTGCCGCCAACAACACATTTGGTTTCATCGCCAAGGCCATCGGTCCTCAGGATGTGCTCGCCACGCTGCTGAACAACCTTCGCGTGCAGGAGCGTCAGTCTCGCGTCAACACGGCTGTTGCCATTGGCATCGTCGCCGAGACCTGCGCCCCATTCACCGTCCTCCCCGCACTCATGAACGAGTACCGCGTTCCCGAGCTCAATGTGCAAAACGGTGTGCTCAAGTCCCTCTCTTTCCTGTTCGAATACATTGGCGAGATGGCCAAGGATTACGTCTATGCCGTCACTCCCCTACTTGAGGACGCCCTTATCGACCGCGACCAAGTGCATCGGCAGACGGCCGCCTCTGTCGTGAAGCACATTGCGCTTGGCGTTGTCGGCCTGGGATGCGAAGACGCCATGGTTCATCTTCTCAACCTCTTGTATCCCAACCTCTTCGAAACGAGTCCACACGTCATCGACCGTATCATTGAGGCCATCGAAGCCATTCGCATGGCGGTTGGCCCGGGCGTCGTTCTCAACTATGTATGGGCAGGCCTGTTCCACCCTGCGCGCAAGGTCCGCCAACCTTACTGGCGGCTGTACAACGACGCATACGTCCAAGGCGCCGATGCCATGGTACCATACTATCCCAACCTGGACGAGGAGAAGGTCGACAGGTCGGAGCTTGCAATCATGCTCTAAGTTTAGGAAGAATACGGGAGGGGATCAGGGCAAGCGGAGAATAAGGTTCAACGGGTTTTCAGGGTTTTTCTTCTACGATATCTAAGCAGGGATGGTTTTTTCCTCTCTACGGCGGGGCCGACAGGCTCTAAGGGAACATGTCCCGAGAGCGAGCGAGCGAGCGGGCCGCGGGGACGAGGCTCTGATCCGGGCTAGGGGAAAGAAGCGCAAGAGACTTGTTGCGCGCGTTCGACGGGCGCAGGGTAGGCAGCCAGCCATTGTACTTGAGTCATAATACTCGCATTGTGTAGACTTTTCCCCATGTTGTGGAGCATTCAGAGCAGCCCAAAACAAATCAGTGGCGTTGTTTGATCTTTGCTATTTTTTTTAATTGGGCAGAATTAAATTCACGCTGAAAGCTCCATATGTTCTTAGGAGAAGACCGGTGTTTCCCTCTCCCGGTTCCCCCCATTCCTTACGTCTCTTCTCACAGTGCCCGCAAGCCCGGGCGACCTGACTGGAGAAAGTGCTCGTCCGTTCGCTATAATATGACTCGGGGCTTCCGGACGGGGGCCTTCGACGGCTGTCTCCGTGAAGCTTTCCACTTCTCACGGGTTACCGCTGACGGACGGGGATGTACGTTTCCACTTCCATGAGAACTTACTCCCTTATGTAGGTGTAGAATAATAGTAAGCAGCAAGCTACCTTCTCTGGGGATTTTCGGCGAACAATTATTGTAATAGAGGCCTCCCCTCGCGGGCCCGGGGGGAAGGGCTGGAGGGATTGTGTATACGCGGATCACGAACGTAGTTGGTATCCATCCGTGTGTGCTCGCAGCCCATAGGTATGGTAACTGTGTGTTCTGGTCTGCCGGTGTTCTGTGCCATTCTTGATAGACATGGTGTGTCGACGATGGTCAACTTAACTCACTCCCGTGCTCTGCCAATCCCAGTCTCGGCACGTCGGCAGCGGGAGTCCCAAAGGGAAGAAGAATGAGAATGAGGCATCCAGATTGGGAACGGGCACAAAGCAAAAACCAACATCTATCTGTCCACACTCATACCCACCTACCCCCCCCTCGTCGCTGTTGCGGGAAAGAGAAGCTTGGCTGCCGCAGAGGGAAGAAGCTTGAAGCTTGACGCGATTCAGCCTCGTCCGCCTCCTCCAGTTCTTCTATACTACCTATCTCCACAGGAAGAGGAGTAACCACAATTACAACTTGGAAAAAACAAGAAAAAAAACTACCCATTGCGGTCTTCCGGATCATCTGTTGTATTGCGGGGGGCGGTGGGGCGGGGGCGTGCTCTTGGCTGATTGAATAAGTCATTTTTGATACACATCTAGTCATGTCCAAATCCGAGCTATGCTGGATTATGGATATCGGGGAATTCGCGTTTCCCCCCCGCTCGTCGTCCCGTGGCCAAGGGAGTGGGAAACAAAGAGATATCGATGGCCGGGGAAGGGAGACAAGAGAACGTAGAAACCTTCATCCTCTCGGGATAGACCTCCGTGAACTCACGGGGAGGGAGTTTGGGATGAGCAATTATCGTACACATTTCAAGCTGCGCGATTCAAGAAAACATGTCAGCCTCAGGCGCCCTGCGTCCTCAAACGCGTTGCACCTATACAGCACATTTACAGATTTGATCACAACATTCCCTTAAATTGGAGAACTCCAAAGTCCAAGCCCACTGTCCCCGATTCCCAGGTGTCTAGCTTGACCCAACCAGTAGCAGAATGTGGAAAAAATGGACGAGATGTGTATGTCCCCCACGATACACACATCTCGTCCAAGGATGGTCCCAGACTACGGAATATCAGGAGTCGAACGATTGAAAACGCCGATTCACCTGCCTTCCGCTTCCGCTCAGCGATGCATGACCGGTGGTAACCTTGCTACCGTCAGGCACAGCTCATGTGTTCCTTATCACGTCGGCGCATGGTTAAAAATAAGCATCCCACATATTGGTCAAATATAAAAACTCTTGCAGACATGATCCTTTCCCACCTCTATACGAGGGAGAGCTTAGCTCTGTACCCATACCGCAGGAACGGCCGGGTGGGATACCTTGTTCGGTCGAGAGAGACCGCTTAATCAAGCTTCCGCCCGAGTAATCAATGAAAGCCCCTTTCGCCGCTCTCACGTCAGTATCGTGAAATGTCAGTGTCTTCGGTGTCGTCGTTGGCCTGTCGTCGTCTGTCATTGTCGTCGATGCCGTGATCAGCAGTACCACCGTACCTATCTTGTGGGTCAGGGGGTAGCATATCACCGTCCCCTTCTCCCCCTCTTTTGTGTTGTTTGAGATGCCCACGGAATGCAACTCACTCAGGGGCAGGGCTGGCGTGGTTGGTCGGTTGGCACGCTCGGCTGGCGGTGGGCTGGCTGACAGGCTGCGGGTTGCGCTCCTGTTGTTGCTGCCGGTACAACGCTGACTTCCTTATCCTCTTGTTTCCCCCCTCTCTCCCGCGTTCCCTTCGCTGTACGCAGACAGTTCCCGTGGGGAATAAAATCTCTCCTGTCGAAGAATGCGAGATTCAGGTGAGGCAACGCGGGTAGATCGTCGAAGGTTGTAGTGCAACATATGGAGGGGAAAAGGGATCAACGTCTCGTTTCAAGTGCAAAAAGCCTCAATTCCTGGACTCGTCAATTCTTCAACTTCATCGCAAACGGCTCGCTGCGTAATCTAGCCGGGTTTCGTGGCGCTGCGACCGAAAGGGGCGGTATCGGAAAGTGAAATACGGTCTTGCTCTCTGCTGTGGGCCCACAGCTCACAGGCGAGCGGCTTTTTCCTGAGACATTCCGTTGTTTTCGTCCATCGGTTTGCGGACATCCGCGCCGTCTCACTGTCGGCTCACTGCCAGATGGCGCCCCAATCTTGCTTTCTTCTTTCTCCAGACCACATCTACGTGGATTCTCAAGCCTTGCTGGCAAAGGAAACGGCCGTGACGGCGTCAGCGTTGCCTCTTGTGCAAAAGGGCACTGCGGGGGATCTGCGCGCATGCGTCAATTGGGAAAACAGAGTTGAGGCTAACCAGCGATAGTTTGAGATGACTTGAGGTGCTCCTGGTGCAAGAATCGCCCTACCACAGTGCTTGGACCAGCCATTTCTATATTGATCATCCTCTCAAGCAACGATCGACATTTTCTCACCGGGGATTTTAAGAAGTCCCGCGGCGCCGTCTTCACCTCTAAATAACGTGGAAGAAGACCAAGACGAATGCAGTAAGCATTGTCTCGGTGAACTCGGCCAAATTCACTGGCAGGACCAGGACTCGCTGTAGGGGGGGCAATTGACGAATCTTGAGACGGGCCTCTCCAGACATGTTCGAGACAGCCACAGCGGAAAGCCGAGGAGACTCGAATTCTCTGGACAAGCTTGCCTCATTTACATGCCGCCTGCATCGAACCACTGGACGAAGGGGGTGGAAGGCGAGGCATGTTGAAGGTATGCGGTACACAGTCGAGCAGATCACTGCGCCATGTCTCATCTGAATAAAAAGAGACATCGCAGGGCCGACGCGCCGTTGTGGTTGAGAGGGCGTGCAGTAATCAATATCTGAGATTAGGCATGCTCACGAGCAACAATGTCCTTTTGAACGTGATCTGATAGCATGGAGGAAGGAAGCGGCTTCTGGCGTTTCGTCCCTAGATCATATCGGCATTGCCCTTGTGTCGTCCCATGTGCAAGATCCTAAAGACCGTCTCAGATCATCGTTGTCATCGTGCTGTCGTCCTTTTTCCCACGAGGATTCAGAATCTCCCGCGCAGGTCAAGCCGACAACCCGAAAATTTCCTCAGACGCTGCACCACATGTTATCAGGCAAGCCGCAAGCCGCAAGCCGCAAGACGCAGGCAGGCCAGTATGCTTCGTTGACGGCACCGGCGGATTTACCGCGGGATTGCTGATTAGTGCTTCTGCGACTGCTCACCATCAGGCGGTTGCCTCTAATTACTGTAGGAACAGAGTTTGCGCCAGAGGCGCAGGGCTGTGCACGGTGCTATCTGGCGTCGTGGAGTACCGCAGTCAACGCAGTCAACGCAGTCCACTAGCAAACGGTTTGGCGCCGGGGGACTTTCGGAACCACAAAGGAAGTTCTCGCAAGCTTGAAACTTGCAAGACACTTGACGGAGTCTGCAAGACTGAGCGAGTAAGTCAATTTTGGCAGCCCATGACGGTTGAGAGGCGTTGGGAGCGATTTGGGGAGCTCCTAACTATGCACGTTGAGGTGTGGTAGACAGCAGAGACGACGACGAGTAGCAGAGTGTTCGGGGTTTCTGTCAAATTCCGTATGTGAAGCATCTGTAAGGGAGGATGGTTGCGGACAAGGAAGGTATGGAGGGAGGGAGAGTCGTTGGCGTGGAAGTTGCGCGTTGTTGGCCACGTCCGAATCAGTCCGTATCTACAGATACAAAGCCTCACTTTCAATGACTGACTCGGAGAAGGGAGGCGAAAGGATCCCGCGAGGTAGCCGGCAACAGCTGTGAGCACTAAGTAATAACGCGAGTGCGGGGGGGTCACAGGCGGATGCGGATGCAAATGCAAATGCAAATGCGGGAGTGGGTTTCGGTTGACTGATATCGAAAGACAGATACAAAGTTGTAACGGGACAGGTCTGAATTGCTGGGACGTACTAATTCCGGAGAAAGAAAAGCCAATCAACTCGGGATACGGGATACGGGTACAGTTCGCAAGACTTCAAGTGCACACCTGCTCGGCATGTGTCCGTATGGTACTTGATGTAGTTACTCATGTAAATATGCCTACCTACCTCCGATGGAAGGGGAAACCATGGGCAGGATAATATGTACTTTGCGATAAGGTAGGTAGGAAAGGGGGAAAGGCCACCAGGCGACCTCTAGCTGTTTCGGAATAAGCAGCAGGCGAAAGTAGCTTGTAGAGTGGCCTTTACGTCATTGAGTGTTTCGAAACACTATCCCACGATGCCCCTTCCACGCTCGGTTCCCCCGTTTTTGGGGGGAGGGGGCGTGAAGATGCGGCATTCACAGCCAGCCCTACCGACCACGGCTGCCTCAACATCAGATGTCTGAGGCTAGCAAGTGCAACATGCTGATTGAATCGAAAGGAAGCAAATGAAAGCAATGGAATCAATCACTGGAATCACTAGACCAAGTTCGACAATGCCCGGGCCGCCTTCCATGGAGCCGCCCCTTCCTCTCCCCATCACTCTGAAAACACTAAGCGGCCGCTTCACACCATACACATCCCCTCAACATTCAACACGAGTCGACCAGATTAGACCGTCATTTTATGGATACGGCAGGTCAACATGCCCCTGCCTTCCATCAACGATATCGCTGAGCTTGAATGTCCTTCATACTCCCAGCTCGCACCTCATCACCCATTTCTTTCTGCGCCTACTTCACTCTCTTGTCCCTTTCCAAAATCCCCGTTCGCGGCTATGACCATGGTGGACATTTCCCCCCATTTCAAGCCATCCTCTTTTTCGTCACTAGCCAGTCCACATCGCCTTGACCTCAGTATGACGCCGCCGCCCAGTAGTTTCTCGCTATTCTGTTCTCGTCCTGACCAGCCCATACCTTTGTTCGCTTGTAGGCACAGCATTAAACTGGAGCTGCGGGATCAGCACGAAGATTCCGATGCTGCTAGGGAGACGTTCGTCCCGTCTCGGTAGGCGTTGCTCAGGGCGTCTCGCGGTCAGCCGCATGTCGTCCGCAACAAGTTACAGACAGATACGCGCGTCACCCGTCATTCGCTCCACCACTGCCGGGGAGCTCACATAACATACAACCGAACTTCCGGCATTGACCAAGAACATGTTGAAGGCCTCTCGGTTTTGCCCTTTCCCCCTTTTTACAGGAACGGACCACGGATGACATACCGCCGAACACGAGAAAGACATGACAGGATGGGACAGGATCAATTGCTCCATTCTCCCCGGCCTTGCGCCAGCTATTTCGAGCTGGCATCCATCACCAGAGAACCTACATGACACTGAGCGCGAAGGAGTAGTTCTGCGGCTTCATCTCCCACCCCGACCACGCTCGCTCCCAGACAGATACCGCGTCGTCAAAATCGCCGCTCCGTTATTCTCAATGCAACCGCAAAATGCGAGGACAAGAAATGTCTACTGAGATAGGCCATGCGCCAACCCACTGCTGGCCATCTATCTGGCGACGATGCCCTGATGGCCCCACAGAGAAATTCAAATCAATGCCTGCTCACAGGGTTGTCGAATTGCATGGCCCCGAGCTGCGAGTAGCAACGCCAACAGCATCAACAGCAACACCAACAGCAGCATGCAAGGCCTCCCTCCTCCCCCCCACAGACAGGAAGCTGCGCGCAGGACATGCCTAGCCGCTAAAACCTTCAGCCATGGCTTTGCTACCATCCCTGTCCTTTCACAATCGAGTCTTGAAGGACCAAAAAAAGAAAGACAGAAAAAAACTACGCTCGAGCGGCCAACGGCCAGCGCGTCTCCCGTCATATCTTACTTCCGTTGCCTACTACTGATCACTGGCGCGCCTCACGGCTCTTCCTCGCCCTAATTAAGCCTTCTCGATCGCCTCCAGAGACAGGAACAAGACGATGGCACTCTGCGCTTCAGGCACCCCAGGCACAGGACCTTGACAAAGTGAGGCTGGCACGGCTGGGCCGTCTGCAGGATAACAGAAAACGGGCATGATCGACACTCCCCGCTGTGGGCCGCAGAAGAAGCCAGGATGATATATCGCGCTACTGTCCGTTCCGGTGTAGCGTCTCCATACAGTTCAATGCCAAGGGAGCTGTCCGGAGTCTCACAGTCTCTCTGGATTACTTGATTGCCTTGAAGTCTGAGAGACAAGGGACCCGCCTTTGGGGAATCCATGTCGATTTTGAGACATTCCCTGGTCATTTCAATCAGCAAGGGACTGCTTGATGGCTTTGCCCTACCGTCTCCTCCGCTCTCGCTCGCAATGCAGCCAACGCTCCCCCTTTATCCGTAGACGCACTCCTTTCATTATGACTATCGCCAAGGGTGCTTTTGATGAGTTTCTCGTACTCAGCTGCCGCGATGTGCCTGCACTGCCATCCATTCTCGTCGAATCCCACCTGGCTCTACACTAGGCAACCCTATTGAACCCCATCCAGGTCTTTGACATTGCATTTTTCCTCCTAAACTCTAATCCACCACCTACGTTGCACCCGAGGCACTGTGGGTCGGGTCCTCACTATTGACCGTCGCCGGCTTTTGCAGGTTGCAGACATCCACTCTGATGCCGCACAAGCCCGGCCGCCCGCTCATCCGCTTGGACGGTAATATGACAGATTGCCTATCCGTACAGATTCCAGCCGACAGAGAATGTTTCCTTCAATGCGACCCTGTCATTGTTTTGGGAGAGAAGATCAGTCAGGTGCCGGTCCGCCCGCCGGACTCTGGGCGGTGATCGGCGCCGTCATCATCTCGGGTATCTGGATCAGGTGGCCCTCCACGCTCGACTGCACCTCATTGTCGGCTCCAAGAATTCTCCTGTGCGTTCGGCCCTATTCAATACCGTTGGCTGCCAGAAACTTTGGGGGCCAGGCTTTGTCATCCCGTGCCTCACCGAACAGGCGCGCCGTTTCCCAATAGATTCATTGCTCGGTCAAGGGACGAGCGCGGCATCCTCGTGTACGGGTAGGTAGCCGCTTGTTGTTGCCACCTCCCAGCGGCCCTGGGGTTCAATGTGGATGGAGCGCGTGCTCCCCTTCAGCTTATGGAGCCGGATATCGTCAGTCGCCTGTCACTGAAAGTTTTCTCAACCAGCATGTCCCACTCTCAACGACACGAAATCGTTATGTCGAGATCCCACTCCATCGGGGAGGCCATTTGAAAAAACCGCTGGATCAGCGTCGAGGTGCTTGCAAGTCTCCGCTGCGTTGGCTGGCAAGCTGGTTGGCACGTTGTCAGACTTTGAAGTCTGTTCACTCACCTGGGTCCCCGGGCTCATCGGCGACCTTAACATTGCTGCTATCAACTCTTTGGGCATGGACATCCCATGTCTAGCGTGTTTCAACTGTCTCTTTTGAGGCTACCGTCAATTCCCACGCCTTCGAATAGGGCATAGTGAGGCTTTGATTTGAGATGAACGCTGGGGGCAATCTCGAAGAACCTTGTCGCAACTCTCCATGTTCCGCATATCCCATTTCGCTCATTCCGAAAACACCACCATCTGATCATCTTCTTCGGGAAGGGACCAGCAAAGGCTGTTGAGTCCTGCTAAGACGGCTCATCCTCATCCAACAATCCCTTGTCTGTCGGCTGTTGCTGAAGGGTTTATTGGGCCAGTCTCCTAAAACTGGCGTTCCATCAGGCAGGGTTCCCCCTAGCCGATCATCTGCGGAACTCTACACGCTGGAGACTAACGTCCGGGGATTTTATTGCCGAAGAGAATTTTACAATTCAGGCCTGGCTCCTCCCAGGGGTCTTCAGCCGACAGATGATCTTTGAGCTGAGGACCCCACCTGCCATCTCCCTAGGGAACCGGGTCGTGATCCAGAAGAATTCAAAAAGAATTATCCGTTATTAAGAAGATGGATTCTTGTATTTGGCTCCAGGGAACCCGTATCCGTGAATGGATGGGGGCCAAATGAAGCCAATTCTACTGGGCCATTTCGGCAGATGCTATTTGCCACATCTTCATGCCTTCACGCATTGCCACTGGATTGAAGCTCGCACGCAAGTTTGAGCGGTTCCACGGTGGCTCGGCCAGCACCTGGACATACGCTACTAAAGTGATATCGGGCCGCAAACAACTTGTCGAGGTGCCAAGCTGTGACGGTTGGTCGAGGAAGGTGAGATCACACTCAATCCAAGAAATGGGTGTTGTTGTTGATACGGGATTTCAGTTCGGCATCCATGAATGTCTCTGAAACATTGGCCAACGCTCATTGGTTGCCTTGAACCGTTGCAATCAAGGAGGCAAAAATGCTCATCAGGGTCCAGCTTGCGCACTAAGCACGATTAGATGACACTACTGTGTAGGGCGTTGTGTCAGAGGTTAGTCTGTAGCGGTCAATGGGCATGTCGTGACCGCTCTTCAATATCCCGTTTGCCCCGGCCGCTACTAGGACGGCGGAGAAACGACCGGGGTCGCAGAAACGTTCCGCACTCTCAAAGTCCTAGCATCGCGATACCGGCCATGGGCACACAGCGAATCATGAGAACGGAGCGGTTGAACTCGTGCGCGTCAAGGTGTTGGTGGGTGGATGGCAGTCTTGTCGATGGTGGTCGTTGTCTGGCTGCAGCGGAATAGCTGCTAGTGCGGCGCCACTCCCATTACCCATCATCTCCCAGAAAAGGAACGGTGGATCACCTCCCTTGTATATCCTCGCAAGGTGTGTGGATCTTACCTCTGGTGCAATCAAGTACCGAGTCCCTCTTCTTCCATTTGTGCTTTGCCCTTTCTTTCTAGTGTAGTTCTGCCAACCCGTGCCATGCATCGCTTTGGTGGGGTGAAAAACATGAACATGTTCCTGGTGAACCTGACTTTGACCTCAGGCATCAAAGACCCGAGAAGCCGAGAGACATGCTACTCGGCCTTGTGTGTGCGCACTCCATAGTTTGCATCGATCTCTGTACCTGCTTGTTGAGGATGACACCAACAAGCCGAAAGCCAAGGGTGTATACATCGACAACTTGAACATACTTTTGGCCTGATCGGCGTCTGCTACCTGTCATCTTTAGGTGATTCTTTTCAGGAGAGCATTCCAGGCCTTCAAATATTGCCAAGCATCTCCATTTTCGCAATATAGGGTGTGGTGGATAGTGTCCTAGACGGGCAAGGAATTCCTGAGAGATGAAAGATTTTGGGTGTGGAGAGCAACGGGGCTCATGGCAGCTTCAAGTGGAGGGTCATACCCTGCGGGCGCGGCGAGACGGACACGTTTCCTGCTCAACAGCTGAAGTCAAGACATCGTTTGGGTGATTCTTCCATGGGCAACAGCTGAATCTGCGCAGGTCAAGCGATGACATGTGGTGCGCTGGGAAGCGACTGGAGAAGAGCAGCATCTCCACTTGCGCCATTGTACATAGTAGTATGGATGAGGGGCAGCGTTGATCGAGGGTACCCCAGATTGTTGATGTAATCGCTAGGCCGTATGGACGCTGGCAAGCAATGCCTGGCCGGCTCGATGGTCGACCAACCATGACCGCCATCATGGTTTCTCGTCCATGTCCTATAGCGTGCCGCAACCCAAACGCCCGATGGAAAGAATCCCAATCATGGAAAGGAGGGAAAGAGGCAGACTACGTCAGTCGAAACCCGCTGGCCTCGCAGACGACACCACACCCCCTTGCGGCTTATTCTCTGTCGGTTGAAACCTCCGTCATACTCAACACAGGCAGATACCCAGGGCCACATAAACCGTAGATTACCTTTGGTGGGTTTACTGCCTCATCCTAGACGTGCAAGCTGGCACCCGCGTCATACATGTAACAGTCTTCCTAGTGTCCCAGATGCAGCCACGGGAAAGCCAATATTGACTCGATTCCCGTGCATCATTCATGGAGGGGCTACTATCAATGAGCGGTTCAAGTTCGTCACCGGAAACCCAGGCTCGCGCCTGCGTGCAGGGAATTGGAAAGCAACAGGATTTCCATGTGCCAAAAGTCGCTTCTCTCGTTCCGTGCCATATAATAGAGATATTGGAAGGATGGACCAAGTGCCTGAATTCTACAGTGATCACCGCGACTTGGTCAAGCGGCAGCATTTGGAAGCTGCACACTGTTTGCCTGCTCCGTGGTTAGCAGCACTGGCTTGGTTGATTCGTTTGTGTCGAAAGCGGTAGCCGTACGCATAGCTGGACAAAGTACGTGACCTCGACCACTACTTCATTTGAGGCTCAGTGGCTGTTGTTAGTCATGGCTGCCGGAATTGACACTCCCGCAGGAAGTGCAGCTGGGCGCTCTCTCAGCGACGTGGTCAAGTCAAGAACATTTTTGCTCGGCAACATACACATGTCTTGGTTGTGTTTGGTGATGTGTTGCAGGCATGGGCTGTCGGCGTAACAGAGATGCCATGATATGACGACAAAGTCGAACCCTTCTGTCTTTGGTCATGCATTCTTGCTGCCCAAGCCCACGGTTGCGATGTGGTTCCAGCAGCATCCTCTCATTCAAGACCGCCCGCTCTCATCTTGTGGCACGTCCCATGTCATATCCCCTCCTACTATGTATGTAATAACAGGACAGGACAAACCCTGACCTGCAGTAAGTACTCCTGTATGCTTCCCACTTCGTGACCGTGTGACTTTCTTCCGAGTCTTGCAGGTACGTATCTGGCCCATCGTCGACACTTCTGCTGGCTAACATATTCCGTAGGAGAGAGGCAATTTTTTAATTGTTTTTTTGTTTGTGACATACGGATATGGATACTTCACAATACCTATTCAAAGCATGGGGGACTGTTATCCGCTTCGACTTGCGCTCGAATGGAATTGGCGGCTCCCCTTCCCCCTCCTTATTCGCTTCCCTCCACTTCGATACATCGACTTCGTTTCTGTCGAACCAAGGGCACAATACCCAAAGCCCCCTCTTCCTCTCTTCCTCGTCCCCTGCCAATTGATGACAGCAGTGTCTGGGTGGGCACTGTGGAGGTTGTTTCAATCTTGCGCACCCCTGCTCGAAACGCAGCGATACATTAACGTGCCTTACGTCAGTGGTTGCCGTCGAAAGACGCCCTAGTCTCCAATTGGGGGTTAAGCACACGCCGCACCACCACCACCCTCCTCTCTTTGCCACGCCCCCGCTTCTCTCCCTTCTCCTTGTCGACAGAGAGCCCCTGCTCTCAAGTTGCTCAGGATTCGTCCGGGAGAGGTATTTCTTGGCGCTCTCATCGACATCGGCGTGTGGTTGCTTATTTCTTCGCAGGCACAGGAACGGTGGGAGGAGAGACGAGACGAGCAGTGCCAAGAGAAGAAGAAGGTATTCGGTACGGATACAGCCCACGGGCCCACTTTGTCTGATTCTTTGCGCCATCCTCCAGGGCTCACCCCTATGTTTGCCCTTTCAAACGCCTGCGCTACCTCTCGAACCCGCCCTGGTCTCTCCTCTTGGCAAGGATACCATTGACATTGTTTGGATGCCAGCAAGTGGGTGCCCCAAGGCGCCCCCAAGCGGACGAGCGCAGAGGCGAATTTGCCTGTGCCTGTGTTTGAGTGGGAAGGAGACAAGAGAGAGATGAAAGAGATGAGGGACCGACGAACAGATTGCGCCTACGGCATTACAACCTTAGAGCCTGGCACCTGGGTACGGATGCTTGCGATACCCTCTGGCTTTGGGGACCCAAGGCCTTTTCAGCAAATTGGCGGGAGCCACTTGAGAGAGGAGCCAAACCCGGTATTTCGACACCCGTGATGTGCTGCGGTTGGTCTGGTCGACGGAAGGTGGGCAAAATGTCACTATCCAGAGCCGTCCTCCCCGTGTGCCCTCCACTCTTTTTACTTTCATGCCCCGTCTTGACACTTTCCGAGTGCAGAGAGGCGATGCCATCACACGGCACACCATCACCCCTCATCGTTTGCTCTTTTCAGCCTGCGGGACGGCGAGGAGTCCTGTCATCAGGCATTTAGCTTCGTGGGAAAAGGATGCTATCAAAAAGTCGTTGGACCGGAATACATGATCCCCTACCCCGGTCCTGGAGCCATTCCCCTCTCAGATATCGCGACATCCATCTCAGCCCAAGGGGAACTATGTGGCGAGCAAGCGCCGTTCCGAGTCAAGCCATGGCAGGTCTGAATCTGGGCATGACGCTGGCTGGCTAGGTATCCGGAATGGCGTAGATGGTAGTGTCGGAGAAACGAGTTTGAAGTATTTTCCCCCCCTTCCTTTCCTTGAGCAAAGAAAGACCCTGCATATCCCATCTCTACAAGGCATTGGCGATTGATTTAACGCATGGCTTGGACGTCAGGCCAGCCGCCGCAAGAGTTCACCTGGAAAAATTCGTCACCCCTACCCTCCCACGCCTCGTCACCCTCACTACAAATTACATACGTGGGAGCAGGAAAAGAGCAGAAATGCAACGCACACGCCCTTCTCTCTCCTTTAGACCCCGATGCTAGCATCGTACCCGTACGAATATTCTAGTTTTCGCACCGAGATGCGCGAGGAAGAAGACCCTGCGCACCTACTCAATCCCCCCGATGCCCCCATCCCATCCCATCCCATCCCATCACATTCCATGCCCGCCCCTCCCCTCTCTTGGTCTCCGTGCCCTTGCCTGCGTGCCTGCCCATCATCAGTGGCGCTTTTTTGGCTTCTTCTGTTTCTTCCTACTCCGAGGGAGGCGCAATGCACATCTGCATACCCTAGACGCTGTACGGATACCCTATCACCCTATCCTACGTTACCATGACCTTAAGTCGACTAGCCTAGTTTGACCTGCTCGGATTGGAGAGATGGGGGAGAACAGAGCTCTTGCCTGTCCATGGCATAGCGCTAGAGGCGATGGCGAGCGGGAGAGACAGATACCGGCACCTTGTGGACTGGGGCTTCACCAATGCTGGCGGCGCACGAAAGCCTACCTGGCTGTACTCTGTAAGGTAGGCAAAGGCCAATGCTGCTCGAGCCTACCAGCCTTGCCCAAAGTATAGACGACGTACTCGGGTACTTGGGACGGGACGTGGTCGAGGCGTTGATAGCCGCGCTTTTCGTTGGTAGTTCTGGACGTCATCCTCGGTACCTTCGAGGCACACACCTTACTTGGACAGTACAAGCCTAAGCCCGGCTCTTCCCTCACAGATTTCCGCATCTGCAGTGCGGATACCGCTCCTCTGATGTATGTCCGCTCTCAGTCTCCTCTCACTGGAGAGAGAAGAGAGGTGGATGTGTGCGTGTGTGTGTGCACTCTCTTGCCTGGCTTAGGACACCGGGTATCCACTTCCCTTGGTCCCTGCCTTCCTCCTCTCTCCACCCACTCCTCTTAGCTCACCACCCCCCCTTCCCATCCGTTGTCTTCCTTCTCTCCTTCCTTGCCCGCCCCCCCCTCACACCCTGTCAACCCCCATCCCTCCTTCCAAACTAAAGCTACACCACCACAAACCCTCTTTTTCTTTTCGTCGCCAAATGCACACCCTTCTCCACCGGCTTCTCACACCCCACCCCCTTCTATCATCGCTCCACACGACGTACTTTAACACCAAGTAAAGCGACATCATAGCTTCATCTGCTGTCTCTCCTGCCTGACCCGGAAGCACCACAGATGAAAAAGCGTTGTTCCCTCGCCTCCCCCATCCCTCTGTGCGAATTCTACACCTTTGACCCAATTTTCTGAACGCTCATCATCAGAGAGATCATCAGCTCCATCGTCCAACCTCATACCTCAAACCAAACCACGCATTACAGACGCGCGCTCCGCCTTCTTTTCTACATACCCTGTGCTTTCGGTTCATCACAACTGAACACAACGAGAGAGCATTGAGACGCAGCAAAAAAATAAATAAAAAATAAGCAACTCTTCACTGTCCCCTTCTCTCTCTCCAGAACGAGGGAAAGATACTGGTACCTACCTCGCACACACCAACAATAGCACTCGACATACACACGCACACACACACACACGCACACACACACACAACACGGGAGAGCCCCACTCGTGCCAACTTGAGGAAAAAGGGAAAAAAACAATAAACACACTCAACACACCTATTATCTCTGCGCCTACTCCCGGCTGACCTCAGAGCCGTCCGCACTTTACACCGCGCTACTGAACTACACCTGGGGTCCCTGTCACGGCTCCCCAATTGACCTCGAGACTTTTCACCAAACTGTCCTCGACACCGCAGATCTTTCTCCCATTTCGACTTCGTTCCAGGGACGTACTCCAGGTCTCCTCCTTTCCATTTCTTTCTCTCTAGTGTACACCACGCTACGCACTACCGCGCATCCGCTCCGCTCTCGCTGGTCTACCACCTGGTCGTCCCTCCCTCAAGGCTCCTCCTCAGCCTCCCCCCCCGGTCCTAATCTGAACCATCCTGCTACCCTACCTAATCGCCCCCAACCCTGTCCGCCTCGGCCTCTTTCCCACGGGATATTGGCGCTGTCGATCACTCTGAGTCGGAGTCGTCACAGCTGTCTGCAGAGAACGGGTCTCCACACTCCTCCCATGTCCCGCTGACCACTGTGCAACAAGCTTCATACGACTCTTGCCTGGTCGGCCCAAACGATTGGTCTCAGCTCTCAACTGGTTCAAATACTCGTGTGTCAGTAGTCCACAGGCACACACTTAAACCTCGCTGATCCCCCAACCTCAACCCGATCAACTCCCACGGGATCATCCAGTTCTACTTGATCCGTAACACGACTTGGCTTTCCTCAAAGCCGTTACACTTGCATCTGATCAGCAAACGCTATCCTGCCGGACATCTACCTTTGTTGACGGTCAACCTCGTCATCCCATCTAACCACCACCACTACCAACCATCATGACTATGACATTAGATTCGCAGAGACAATTCGGACCCTTAAACACATTCGACCACATGTCTTCCTACGCACATTCATCCGCCTCCTCCCCCCAGTTCTCAAACCCTTGGGCAAATACCTCGTCACCTCAAGCTCCTCAGGGCCTGTATGCCCCTCACGGTCACTCTCTCAACTCTGGTTTGGGTTTGGACAGGTCACACACTGCTAGGACTAGCACCAGCAGCAATGCCTCGTCTCTGGGTTCATACGGACAGATCCCAGTGACGGCAGCCTCAGCAGGTAGTCTCCCCATGGCAGACCCTCTGCCTAGGTCGGACTTACTCACTCTTCCCCAAGATATCCTCAGTATCAACCGCATGGCTGCCACCTCCGCGCCTGCCTATGGTGATGCTCCATACGCGACCGCCGCCTCTCCCGTTAACGCCTCTTACACGGCTTCTCCCACTCCCTACGAGACCATGGGCTATGCTCCTGCTCCCATGCGCTCTACCTTCGCCCTTGCTCCGGAACCCGAACACGCGCGGAGATTCTCTCACTCGTCAGTACCCTCAACTTCCCTGGTCGACGTTACGGACCCCAATGATTTGGCCCGACCCCAGCGCAACTCAATGATTGACTTTGACAACAGAGGAATTCACCACCACGATGAACGGAGGAGCTTCGCTGACGCTCTCGACGCAAGCCATGGCATGCTCGCCATGAGCCAAGAGACCCCTCGCAACATTTACGGCGCTCGCAGCGATAGGGCTTCAGGTGATTCGTACGGCTTCCCTTCGACGCACTCCACCAGCTCTTCTGTATCCTCAGCCTCTGGATTCGGAAACTACTATGGCGCCGACTCTGTCAGCGACTACTCTACTGCCGGATCGGACATCGAGTCTGTCACCTCCCGGACGCTCCCCCGACCCCATGGACTCATGGCGCCTCAGATCCCGCCTGCCCCCCAGTCCATGATGGGTCAGTTCAGTTCCAAGGTGTCGTCGAGCACGCAGAAGAAGCACAAGTGCAAGGTTTGCGATAAGCGATTCACTCGCCCTTCCTCGCTCCAGACGCATATGTACAGCCATACTGGCGAGAAGCGTATGTTATACTCAATCTCCATATATGCCTAGGCATACTTATTGGCCATCCATATTAATATTACTGTAGCCTTTGCTTGCGAAGTCGAAGGATGCGGTCGTCACTTCTCCGTTGTCTCAAATCTGCGTAGGCACAAGAAGGTGCACAAGGGCGACGCTCGGTCTGAGGCTGGCTCTGAGGACCACCACTCCGATTAAATCGGGGTTTACTCGCCATTTTACATGTACAACAAGCTGCACCGGCAGCATTGATGTCCTCGAAACGATCCGCGGCGAGTAGGATTTGTACGAGCTCACGAGTGTCCCCGGTTCGAGTCATGACCAACAGTCCATACCCACTCTCGACACCAAACACCCTCTACCAATGCAATTGGTTTAACAACGGGGTTGTGACATTTCAAATTTTCTTATAGACGGCTGGGGTTTTTTTTTCTTCTGGTTTTCACACGATACCATTCTTACAATCGTTATAATATCCACCTATCTGCGAGCGAAAGAGGCAAAAAGTCGGATGGCGGCACAGGAATTGGCGGGCGGTTTGTCACTTTCGGTTCATCGTCTGAAAGGGTGTCTCACGATATGTTGGTGATATCCTACCATCATCAAAAATTTCCCCTTTTCCTCCGAGACAGTTTGAGCCCGTGGGCTCCAGAAGGATGCGGCAGAGTCGACAGCGTCTCATGGTTGAGAAACACAGAGGGAAGGGGTGGAAGGCAGGCGAAGAAAGGGGAACAAGGGCATGATTTCACTTTTCTGTCGATCCCTCAACCCCACACCACGCAACGCACTCGCTTCTCCCCAGGATACAGGTCAGCTTGGTGGCTGGATCAACCACGTTTTTGTGCTTTTCGGTTCTCAAATATCCGAAAGAGGAAGAAGATCTCCAAGAGGTCATGGAGGACCTGGCGATACCCTCACCCTTGGCGTTGAAATGGATATTGGGCTGCGGTTTTTTTTTTTTTTTTTTTGCTGTGGATTTATCATCCAATGTTTTGTTGCGCGCTCATCATGTCGTTTCTCACCCTTTGGGTTGTGTTACCAAGGGACTTCTAGATGACGAATGAGAGGGTCCGTAGTTTCGGCGGCACACCTCGCAAACCTCGACCCTGTTCCCAAAAACGGGAGGGCGACTTGTACTACTAGTTTCCACACACGATGATTATACCCATCATACTAAGAAATGCCACTGTGCATTTTCTAGTTTGCATCGTCTGGGATTTTCTTTTGGCTTTTGATACTCTACTGCTCCTTCGTCTTCTAGCTCACTGGAGGGAAGGATGATTTGAGGGGCAGAGAAACAGAGACAAAATGACGGTGGCGGCGGCGGCCGCCGCGACGATGGCAAAGGAATGGGCTCAGGACCCAGCTCGCGGATTGGCTGGAAATCCGCAGGATATGGACACCGCACATGGTACATTGCGAACAGTATAATATAATAGTAGTGCTAAGGAGACTGAATTCCAAGAAGAATCCAGATCAACATTCGTCGTTTCCCCTTATCGTGATTCTCTAACGTGCACAAGAGGGAGTCATGAACGTTTGCTAGATCGGCAAGGCAAGAAACATCAGACCATCTGGCAAACAAAATGAACGCTCGCTGGGCGTAGGAACGTTCGATCGATTAGTTGCAGACGGTCGAGCATCAAATAAGGTAGTGGTCGCCGAGGGCACGGAGGGACAGTTTCTCTGCATCAAGATGGGGAAAACGACAATCTGCATCCCTCTCCAAGCAGCCTAGCAGTCGCCAAAGCACCATGCCCTCCCATCTATCTCATTACAGATGCATCTCCCCGCAATGGGGGAGTAAACCGGAGGCATGGGGTGGGTGATGGTCTTGGGCTTGGACGTTCGGCTCCCACCGACTCGCCACCTGCCATGCGTTGCGGTCGATTCGGGCAATGATATGTCATGGCCCTGAAATTTCGAGTATTGGTAGCAAGTGGTTCCAACCACGGCGCGCTTTTGTCTCATCTCACCAAACCCCAATCGCCTCCGCCGGGGGGGCGGAAGCTCAAAAGTGTGTGAATACTATAGGCCGGCACCGCATATGCGTACGTGACAACCCAATGGGAGGGATAAGCCTAAATGAGGGTCGAGCTCGCTACCTCTCTGACGAAACCCAGCGGAGCGCCATGGTTTTGACAGAAACAGGGGGCCCTTTGGGTAAAGAGGAAAGAGGCTGCGTCGATCTCTCAGAAAGGGGTGGGGGAGGGGGAGGGGAGCGGTTGTGCAAGTGTTTGTGTGAGAAGGTGGGAAAAGCTGCCGCGTGGTCAGCGATCAGCGCGCGGTTGCGTTCGATAGGCGGGGCGCGGGGCGCTCTCACACATGTGCGCATTCTTAGTATGTGCTAAGGTAGGTAGGTAGGCACGAAAGTACGGAATGCGCCCAGGGTCAGATAAGATCGTTTATCTTGAACATGAGTGACGAGTGGGTGGATTGGACGCCGAGGGAGGGGAGTTTGGGTCGGGAGGCAAGAAAAAAAAAAGAAAAAAGAAAGGGGGGAGGGAGGGGGGGGGGGGGGGGGGGGGGGGGGGGGGGGGGGGGGGGTGGGGGGAGAGGAAAAAAAAAAAAAAAAAAAAAAAAAAGGAAAAAATACTGTTGAAGTGAAGGCTCATGGTGCGACGTGATTGTTGTTGTTGTGGTGGTCGTCGTCTGCCCTGAGTGACTGTCAAGGTCATCTGGTCCGGGCACGTTAGCGGCGACTTTGTTTTTGGATCAAGGCGCCGTTGCGGCAACTGAGTCGAACGCGGCGACACGGAAGGGCGGCTAAAAGGGAGGGGGTTTGACTCGCCCTGATGGAGGCGTTTCGGGGCGGAGAATCGGGGAGGCTACGGAAAGAGGCTAACGCTAACGGAGACGGGGACGAAGCAATCCTGAGTTACGTAGAGAGAGAGGGGGGGAGCGCTATCAAGGATGGATACGTCCTTACGTAGTTTACGGAGTCCCCAAGGGGATTTCGCCAAGAGGGCACTAGACTATGTTTTTGCTGTGAAGTGACGGATGGCGTATGGGCCAAAACGGACATGACTAATTTAGTGCCATGTACGATGTATCCGTAGTGTCACAAGAAGAGACCGACTCCAAAGAGACCACTACCTTAGAGTGCGCAATCTGCAATTTTGCCGCAGACACTAAGTCGTGCCGTATGCCCGTCCGTTAAAGGTCATGTACGGAATGGTACGGATATGAGCTGAATGAGAGAGGGGAGGGACGGGGACAAGGGACAAGGACGGGAAGACCAATGTGAGAGATATGCGAGTTGGAAGATCGCGCATACAGCTGGGCACTGACAGGTTGGCAACTTGGTAGGTGTGCTCTAGGTGGAGCACAGAGAGAAAGGGGGAAAAAAAAAAAAAAAAAAAAAAAAAAGGGTCCAACCTTGGCCTTCGATATGGGATGAATGTTGATGGGGATTGAGAAGGATGATGGGCCTATTGTCATTGGCAATTTGGGAACTGGGATTCTTGGGGAAACGGAACAAGGAAATGATAGAGCTCCGCGGGACTGGATGAGTTGGAGATGGATGGGCTGGGGATGACGAAACTGGAACCGTAACAAATGGGACACTGCGGACTTGTGTCGTAGTCACGGTCGTCGTCGTCGTCGTTCTCAGCATCGACTTGCCCCATCCCAGCCGCAGCCCCAGCTCTCCCACGGCCCACGGCCCACGGGCGAGAAGAAGAGCCAACTTCGGAGCAACCAGAGATGAAGGGAAAAGTGGATGCGCGTGTTTCAGCAACATGTCAGACTCCGCACATGGGCACGCGTCGAGCAGCGAGCATCAGTTTGCTGGGATTTGGCACCAAGACGAGCTCTGATCATTTCCTGCTCGAGAGACATACTGAAGTCAAGCTCGATCAAGCTTTGTGGGGGGCTGAATAGGAGTGATTGGATGATGGCGCTTCGGGCGGGGCGATCTTGGATGACACGGATCCCGGTTTCCGACGGCGTTGAAGTCTGAACTATGGACCGGCTGGGGATGTCGTAAACTTGATGCCTGGCGGTTTGGGCCATAATATCGGTGATGTGTCCGTCCAGAGCAAAGCGTGAAAGCCCATCTTTCATCAGGCATCCGTATCTCTCCTCCGTTGGGTAGGTACTCTGTAAAGCAGGCAGATATTTGCGCGCAATGGGCCCATTTGGGACGGTATTTGGTCCGGGTCAAGACGAAGACGCTCCCGGGTTTGCGAGGGCTCCTCCCGCTGGCTCCCTGCGCGATAAGATAGAGACCTCAGATCCTTGTGGAGCAGGGTGAGGTTACCCACAGCAACACTCAGTGCGCCAGATGTATCATATCTTACCGTACCAAAAGCAGCGAAAGGGGGGCCATATTCACCCGGAATTTGGCTGGGATTTCTGGTCGCGAAGCACCCGATTCGACGGAACCAAATGATACTATACAAAACATGATTTCTTTGAAGCTCCATGTCCCGGGCCATCCCTGGTGCTAGGTTTCGCTGGACATCTACCATGGAGGACGGTCGACGAATGAGGCGACAAGGCGAACATTGTCAAGCCCGCCTGACAACCGAAGATCTGCCAGGTACCGATACACTCCTGTCCATCCTTCAGCGGATAAGCGCCTGACAAGTCTCTATTGTGCACGTAGTAGGCCTGCCGTGTCCGGCTCTCCTACCCCAGATCACAGAAACGGGGATGTCCAGTCGTGGGTCTGCAAGGATTCTGCCATTACACCATCAGCATCGTCTTGTGCTTGCATCGTGATGTGGTGCGTTACTAGTCTGGCAAAGTGATGCGTGATATGAAGCCCTGTAGTGCCGGATGCGAGGCGATGCTGAGCAAGCGAGTGAGTGCTTTGCTTGGCATCCGTCTTTTGATACCGCCTTTGTCCACCTTTCGAGGTTTGTGATGGCATGCGGAGGTTCTCCCCATCTAGGTAGTGTACTAGCGAGGTAGCATGCGATACTCAAAGTGCAGCGGGCGCGCCAATGACGGCAGCGCAGCGCAACAGCAAAAAGTTGGCGAGGCGTCAAAATGCCTGCAGCCGACGACGGAATGTGAAAGCCCTCCCGTCGAGGCGTCGTCAAGGGGCTCTCCTCAAGCGCTCAAGAGCGGAGCGCCGTCATTGACGAACGATACAGATGGCTGCTTCAGGGGGGGCGGTGCCTGCTGACGTCAACGTCATGGTGGCCGTGACACGCCGCACGGGCTTCGCTCTCCTCTTTCGTATCGTGAGCGGGGATTTAGGTTGTGAGTGCTGATTGGAGTCGGTTGTCGAGTTGGAAGTGGTGGGTGGATAGATATGGATTCCTAGGTATTGCTTGCTAGGGCGCCTGCATGGGTGCTTTGGGGGATGGATGGGTGGGCGGGAGTGTACTCGTTGTTTGGTCGACTTCAACTGTGTGCATGCCCGCAGGCCGCTGCCCGCAGCCCGTGTGGCACGGCATCGGCAGCGACGCTGGCGGCGCCACAGCGGACCGTTTGGCGGCCGGGGAATGTCACGGAGGGACTTAATCGTAAGGTAGCCCAAAAGTCCACGGTTGGAGGATTCTTGGACTGAAAGCAGCCAACAAGGGGACGCGCTAGTGCGGCTAGCTGCACGCAGCCCCAGCGTCGTTGGATTGGGGCAGGGCAGACAGACGCCTCTCGAGATGGGATCTTCAGGGTCCTTCTGCTGTTCCTATAAACCCAGGGTCTGAACGCCCACCCCGGTTTTTTTTGTTCGATGGGGAAGAGCGCGGCGTGGGTGGTCGTGGTCGTCGTGGTCGTCGTGCAAGCTTGGATGAGGTCTGGTCCCAGATCGGCTCGCAAGGGATAATGCATGTTTATGAAGCAATGTCATGTCATTGCCGTCTCGATCATTGAGTGTCTGGTTATTCGTTTGTCTTCCTTGGTCGCGATCTGTTTGCCACAAGGCTAGGAGTAAGTTGAGGATGGCTTCCATCTGTAAAGGGGGTGCGCAGAGAATAATGGGAGGAAACTTAGACTTAGAGGAGGTGGCTGAAGTTGGAGGGTTGGTGACTTGGGGACTTGGGGGTGGCCTGTTGTCACACTCACCCTCGTCCCCGTCCTTGCTCGCTTTCCCGTCCTCACCACGTTCTTCCACACCACACATCCGTGGCCTAGCAAGGCCGAACCGAAGAATGACATGCTGTCCTAAGTAACACGAGCGACAAGGAACTCTCTATTGGGCAACTGCATCAAGACATCACCAGCTGCTCCGTCCTCCGATGCAAGTCATCGTCACTACCAACCTGCAAACACACCGCCAATTTCCCACGCATGAGCAGCTGCGGATATGGGCAGAAAAAAAATCGGATATGACCAGTAAACAATGTGACGGGGCTCATCGACCCCCAATCGGCAGGCACGCCCGGCCGATACTGCGGGCAGGTATCTAGCAGTGTCGTACGGACACATACTAAAGCTGCACTCCATCCTCCTAGGCTAAGGCATGTGCTATGGTAAAAAAAAAAAGGCATACTAGAGTACGGAGGGAAAGGCAACGGGAAAGCGAAGAGGGTGTGGAGGATAGGTGGATGCTGTGGTTCGTCGTTAGAATTAACAACCCGGCCTCGGTGACGTCGGTGGCTGCAGAAGCGGGACTAAAGCGGGGATAAAGTCTCTGCGGTATTCCCAGTCTGAGCCGGCATCCACAAACGTCATTGTGCCGAGGCCGCCTTAGGGTCCGGCTCTTCTGACTGGTCTATCCGCAAATTTCGCCCATGGAGGGATGGATGGGGTGGGGGGGTGAGGGAAGGGAAGGGGGTGAACTAGCAAATATCCAAGATTTCAGGTTGGATACTTTGACGTATTCACACCCCACCCGCGGCTGCCAAAAAGGAACGCGACAACCATTTTTGGCTAATGCATGCAAGGTAGCAAGGTATCGTGACAAAGATGAATGATGCCTGCCTCAGATCCCGGAGCGATGCTTCTTTCATATCTGACTCGGTACCGAGAGATATATCACTGAAAAAAATTTACAGGAAAATGAAGAGACAGAAAATCATCAGTTCAGCTCCCTGCTACTCCAGGACCCTGCCGCCTGGCCCAAAAGCTCTGATTGACATTTCGACTCCACCGGGAAAATACCATCCCCGGCAGCAAGTGTTCGTACGGATATTTGTACGGCACAGGCATGCCGCATGGCGCATGCTCTCTCAACCGAAGTTTCACGTTCCCTGTCGACGCATTTCATCTCATCAAAGAAAGAAAGAGGATGCCAACCGACCCCTGCTACCTTGATTTCTATTTTTCGCATCCACCTACAACCATGTCGAAACACAGCATCTGCCGCAGGCCCGCAGCCTAATTGATACCATTGCCATCTCCAACAGACCGTGGGCCATGAACCGTCCAGCATCCTTCGTCCCTTAGCACCCTTCCCCACAGACATGTCCGTGTCTTGTCCTTGCGCTGCCTGTGTCGCAGTCGCCTCGTCTCTTGGGACGGAATGATGGTAAATAGGGGTTGAGGCATGTTCCTGGCAAACACTGCACGCTCAAGCCCCAAAGTACCAGACGACAACACGGGATACCTTTCCAGAAGAAACCGCGTTCCTGACCACTGCCCACTGACCACTAACCACTAACCACTGACCGCTAGCTGCACAAAAGACTTAGGTTTACACCTACGGTAACGACTGCCCTGCCAAACCGAGGGCGTACAGCGTCTTTCCTGGTTCGGACTCGTTCCCTCCAAACGTGAAAAGAACCTAGGTATACGCAGTAGTGACGCGCACTGCACACTCTCGAGCGCTGCTCTGCACACCATGGCATTTTGTACATGTCCATGTTTACAATCCAGGCGCCAGGAAATACCATCATCGTCCTGAGGCGGCGCGCAGCCCGCCGAACCAACGCCAACCGAATTGCACTGCGATGGCACTTTTCCCGGCGTCCGCGTTTATGCGTACACCTCCGACCCCTTTTGTCTACTCCGACAGACGGCTATGGCATCGACAGCGGGACGATGCGGCCACATCCCCGACTACCGTAACGCCAATGGTCTTATAGCAGACATACTTGGAGTAGACCAGACGAGAGGTGCTCGATCCTCTTTGGTCCCTCCTCTACGGGTACTCAGTGGACTCAAATCTTTCATGGCTCTGTGCAACGGCGCGGGAGCCATGTCATTAGCACCAGATAACCAGCACCCTTACTCATAGAGCCAGTCTAACTGCTCCTTCGTCATCAATCTCTCTGTACGGAAACAAACCAAAGAGGTTGCAAAGACCACCATGCTCACGAGTATACGTACAGAGTACCACGAAAGACTCACAAACCAATCATGGAGGCCAAGCAACCGCTAAATTCAGCAACCTGATTTGCTACCACGAAACTGCCGGGCGTCTTCCCCTTCAATCATAAACCAGGCAGACACTTTGCCCCAACCACCAGCCATGGCCAATCCCCGAGTCTTTGGCCTTCAAGGAGGACAATCTTCCTCCCGCCCCCGGTCCCTGTAAAGTCCCCGCGGCGCCGGCCTCTTCACCGCTCAAATCAGACAATGGTCCCCGTAATCGCACTTGCGCAAACGGACAGGGACAGACCATCCAAGGTTCGCCCTAACTTGCCTACCTTGCCTTGCTGCGGTGCGGTCCCCCGTCCCCATCCTGTCTCGCGCTATATCAAATTCGTGCCTACTTAGTACATTCAATCGTACTGGTTAACAAGACCCCCCTTGCGAGATTTTCTGACACCCGTCGGCCTTGTTTTCTAGTCTGCTTGAATAATTTTTTTTCGCCACCAAGATGGCCCATTCAGCATCACCACCATTGTCAGTTCAGACCCAAGACAAGGAAAGTGAGTGTACGAATATGTAATGCCTCAACTTGAAGCAATTGGCTCTGGATCCTGCCGGGGCAGCGGAGGGGCCCAAGGATCCTCTCCGAGATGAAGGCAATATAGCCTCGACGACGGAGGAGCTCCCGATCAGGAAGGCTGCAGCCAGATTTCGCATCATCTTCTGCGTGAATGTTCTGATGCAACAAAGCAAGGAAGCAAGCATGTAGGTAGGGGTCGTCCGCTGTTGTGTATGTTGCCCTGGCCTCCGCTACCTGATATCGAGGATTAAAGACATGTTCTGTTTGTCGGCAGGCAAAATACGCCCGCATTCGGAACAGGGCACGACAAAGGTTGGGCCTTGGCGCAAGTGCATGGCTGCCAAACCACGAATAGCCATATCTTGGCCACCCTATGGTCGACTTCAAAGTCAGTATCTGTACGGAACTATCATCGAGGAAGTTGTTGCAAGTACATGGCCATGTATTCATGTATTATGTCATTCCGGACGTAAAGTCTACATGTCTTCTTGACGGCGCCTTGAAGTTGGAATGCCTCCACCAGACAATAAGCACGGAGCTCGTTGTCGGTCGTCTCCCCAAAGCTCCATCGTGTCACCGTCAGGTCACAATGTACAGCCATGTTGTTTATTTGCACGGAGAAGGCCGCTCGTGGGCGAGAGAGGTAGAGAGAGAGAGAACCCTTAAGTGAATCAGATCTACGCCCTTGGCTGGCGATCATCCGCAACGCAAGCACAAACAAGTCAATGTCTCACCCACCCAACAACGCCCCTCTCGGGGGCCTGGGAGAGATCTCAACGCCGCGGGTGACATATCAGTGTCTGGTTCGAAGCTTGCGGGCAAGGGCGAGAGAGGAGGCTACATACACCGCGAGCGGACTTGCTTTAACGTTACTTTCCATCGCGCCATCGTTTACGATCTCATTCACCACTGTTCCGTTTCGTTCACTCGATGAGACAAGAAGCCAGTGTGTGTTTGATTTGTGTGTGCTATCTGTTTCCGATGCGATATCGTGAACCTGCTCTGGGCTAAGCGCAGCATCTTCTTTTTTCTTTTTTTCTTTCTCGGGTCGAAGCATAACACAGCAAATCATAGCTGACAATACAAGCCCTCAAGAGCAAAAGCTCAACCAACCTTCGAAGTTCAAAGAGCCTTTTGGTGATATTTCCACGTCACATCACACCCCTTTTCCACCACCGTCTAGCTTGCCAGTCCAATATGCACGAAACAAATCCCCGTCGACCATCTCGCATTCCAGCTGAC